GGCTATAATATATACTGTGGACTATCTGGCATCTAATTGGAGAGCAATTTGATCTGACCGATATACATATTGCCAGATATATATTACATAAAAGACTGCCGTTCTTTGAACTATTATTTATGGAGAGGTGGAGTCCGAAGAAAGGAGGAGCCAACTACTTAGGAAAAACATGATGATTATACGCTGACCGAAAGACGCACGACCATCTTGGAAAACAAGCCGACCGGAAGTAGACAAACTGCCATTTTGGAATCCCGGAAGACGCTCACCGGAAGTAAAGTCCCCTCCATTTTGGAATCCCGGATATTAACCCCTTAAGGACTGTACTGTTTTTGCGATGTTGTACATTTGCGACCAGGCATATTTTTACACTTTTGTGGTGTTTGTGTTTGGCTGGAATTTTCCGCTCTCTCATTTACTGTTCCCATACAAATTATATATTGTTTTTTTCAGGACAAAAGGGGCTTTCTTTACATACCATTATTTATATAATCTCATGTATTTTAATTTAAAAAAAATATGATGACAAATTGAAAAAAAATACATGTTTTTTTACTTTTACTTGAAAAATCTTTTACTCATCTACAAAAGCGAATTAAAAAAACTGCTAAATAGATTAAAAATTTTGTCCTGAGTTTAAAAATACCCCATGTTTACATGCTTTTTTTTTGCATGTTATAGGGCTATAGGTACAAGTAGAATATTGCGGTTTCAAAACATAATTTTTTTTTTAAATTTATCAATAGTGACATTGTAACACTGTCATAAATCTCTAAATAACACCCCACAGGTACATATTTTTTTTAAAGTAGACAACCCAGGGTATTCAATATGGGGTATGTCCAGTCTTTTTTTAGTAGCCACTTAGTTGAAAACACTGGCCAAAGTAAGCATTCATATTTGTTTGTGTGTGAAAAAAGTAAAAAAACTAAATTGAACGCTAATTTTGGCCAGTGTTTGTGACCAAGTGGTTACTAAAAAAGACTGGACATACCCCATTTGCAATACCTTGAGTTGTCTTCTTTTGCAAATGGTATGCCATCATGGGGGCAATTCTCATTCCTGGGCTACCATACGCTCTCAAAGGCAACGTAACCAACCTGGCCATTTTCAATGTAAAAATATTTGACCCATATATTTGACCTTGTAACTTTCAAAAATACTATAAAACCTGTACATGGGGGGTACTGTTTTACTCAGGAGACTTTGCTGAACACAAATATTAGTGTTTAAAAACTGGAAAACGTATCACAACAATTATATCATCAGTAAAAGTGCTGTTTGTGTGTGAAAAATGCAAAAAAAGTAACTTTCACTGACAATATCATCGCTGTGATATGTTTTACCGTTTTGAATCACTAATATTTGTGTTCAGCGAAGTCTCCCGAGTAAAACAGTACCCCCCATGTACAGGTTTTAGGGTGTCGTAGAACGTTACAGGGTAAAATACAGTGCTAGCAAATTCAATTCTCTGGAATTTCGGCCTGGGTTGGCAGGCAGGTCCCTTAAATTGCAATCAATAAAATTACTGAATTATGTAAAACTATTACATAAATACGCACGTAGAATTTAAATATATATGCATATTTATATATTTGAAGTCTACGTGTATATTTATATAATTATTTATGTAATTTTGTATATGGACATATGTATATTTATTATTTTTATTTATTTTTATATACATAGATATATATACAAATTCATTCTAAGTGTATTTTGATATAAATATATATATATTAATTTTAAAATACAGTTAGAATAAAATTTCATATAGATATATAATTTAATTTTAAATTTTTTTTATTTAATTTAAATTACTTTATATTTTATATATATACAATATATAGTTATTATATATATTATATATATATGTGTGTAATTTAATTATAAGTGTATTTTTATATTAATATAAGTACATATTAATATAAAAATACACTTAATGACTATATATATATATATGATTATATAGACATTATATAGATATAATATGTCTATATCATATTTATATACACATATATAAATTTTTTAATTAACATTAACTTTATTTTTTTTTCTGATTTTACACTAGCAGGGAGACTGCCTGTCAGCACAGGCAGTCCCCCTGCAGGCAGACACATGGACTCCTATTGTGACCATGTGATCGCTGTGTTAAGCGATCACATGGCCACAGGGGTCCTAATTCAGTGTGGGGAGACTGTCTGGGCTGCAGGCAGTCTCCCCACAACCGGAGCCACGCTGATCGCCGCCGGGGGAACGACGGCGATCAGGTAAGTAACGGAGACCGTTAGGACGGTTCAGGACAGTCATCGGTCTGCAACGCAAAAATGCCGATGACGGTCCTGAACCGTCCTCGGTCGCTAAGGGGTTAAAATTAACTTTTTTTTTTTTCCTCTCTCTCAATTTATGCATGTCAAAAATGGAAGCACCACCATTTTAGTGGTGTTGAGATGCTTCCTGGAATGACCAAATTTGTGTATGCAATTACCATTTCCTGCTGCTATACCGGACTCCAATATGGTAAATTGGAGGATATACTGCACTTGAAAAATACCCTGGAGGGTGAAAACGTGTTGTGCTAGCTGCCGTGTCAGCAATTTCTGCTTTTATTATTTTATACCAAATAAATGTTTATTTTAACACTTCACCTTACCTAGTTCACGAGTTCCTGCTAAGAAAAACCTGAGGAGGATCAGATCCAGTGTATCCCTTGGTGGATGAAATCCCTTTACAGTCCAGAGCCTAACTTATGTGGCTCTGAAAAGTGTGAGTGAACCTCTTTTATTCTGCACATATTGTAAATAGGTTTTAACAGTATACGCTGTTGTTTTCTTGTATATATTATATATAGGGTCCACAGTTAATGTTTGTTGCTGAAAATAGGACCTATACAAGTTTTTAAAGGTAAAATATTCCACTGTTTGTGCGCTTTCACCTTTTTTCTGTTCACTATATGGAGTATATAGTCTATGGTTGGTTGTGAATACTTATATTAAATGTGCTTTATTTACTTTTAAAAGCCAAACTAGGAACTGCACTCATCCATATATAGAGAAGACTTGGCAACTGACCCAAGGGCCAGCACCAATGCCCAAATAGTAGTTTGCAATAAATAATAAATAAATAAAAAAAAGGGTCCAGGACTTAGGCAAATTTATTGGAACCAAACTGCCGAGTAGGAACGTTGCGACTTATTGGTCCAAATGTTGCTCCTGGACATTTTTGGTCCCAATACATGTGCTTACCTAAGTCTTGGAGTGCCTGGACGACTTCTTCCATTTACTTTTAGACATCTATAAATATGGATTTTTACATTTTCTTTTCGATTTAACTATTCAGCCTATTTTCTGGTGACTATATCTGTTCGTTATTGGAGTACCATAGGTACTGAAGTAGTTGTGAGAGAAAAAAAACTCTCTCAAGCTTTTGTTTTCTGTTATGTTTATGTACCAATTTTTGATTTGATTTTTTTTTTTTCTGTCTACTGCTTGTGTTCCTCTAGAGTTCATTGAGATTGGTGGCATTATATGTAGACATGTCAAATAAATGCTAAAGAGCAGTCCACCATATAAATGTATGTCCTTCCCAAAACATTACTTCTCTATTACTAGATCTACTTCTCACACACTTTCATTAGTGTGAGTTTTTTGTAAGTGTTCCAGGTGAATGTCACATTTTACACCCAAAAAAAACTTTTCCAACAACCTCATATCCTCGTCCTGTCTGAGTCCCTCAAGGTTCAGTTCTTGGTCCCCTTTTGTTCTGTCTCTATACTGCTTCTCTTGGCAAACTCATTAATTGATTTGGATTCCACTACCACCTGTACGCAGACAACACCCAGATATAGCTCTTCTCCCCTGCTGTCCTACAATGAGTCACCAATTGACTTTCTTCTATTTCTGACTGGATGTCCTCCCGCTTTCTGAAACTCAATCTCTCTAAAACAGAGTTTCTTGTTTTTCCTCCTCATAACACTGTTCCTCCACCTTCACTCTTCCTGCTGCTTGACGGTACCTCCCTTACCCCATCCTTTAAAGCTCACTGTCTTGGGTGTCAATTTTGATCCTTGCCTCTCCTTTGCGCTCATGTACAGTCTATTCCAGCTTAACATTGCCTGCCTATGCCCCTTTCTTACACAAGATGCTGCCAAGGAGCTTGTTCATGCTCTAGTAATCTCTTGCATAGATTATTGTAATTATCTCCTAAGTAGTCTCCCCAGAAGCTATGCTGCCCCCCTACAATCTGTGAAGAATGCTGATCTTTCTCTCCTGTCGCTCCTCTCAAACCTCCTTACACTGGCTTCCTCCACCCTACATTTCTCAATTTGAAATACTAACCCTTACTTATAAAGTTCTACCCAACTCTAGCCCCTCTTACATTTCTTCACTGATTCATAGGTATGCCACCTCTCGGTCTCTCCACTCTTCTGGTGACCTTCTATCTGCTGCTTGCACCCTTACTGCATATTCACGCCTCAAGACTTCTCACGAGTGGCTCCTTTCCTTTGGAACAGTCTGCTTACTCCTGCCAGACTCTCCCCTCTCCTTTAAGAAGTCCCTCAAAACCCATCTTTTCAGGAATGCTCATAGCCACCAAGAGTAACTTCTATCTCTCAAACCTTCCTCTTGCTCTCTCCTATAGGGCTCCACTCTCACCCCCAGTTCTGCTACTTTCCCACCATGTCTATTTGCTCTCCCCCCAATACCCTTCCTATTGTGGTTTTTATACCCCCCCTCCTCCTCTAGACTGTTAGCTAGTTTGAGCAGGATCCTCAACTACCTATTGTTCCTGTTACATTTTGTTATTGTCTCATTTGGTAAATTCCCCTTTTATTGTAAAGCACTGCGGAATAAGCTGGCGCTGTATAAATACCTTACATTACTGACCATTCCCATTTCAGTTAATACTCCTGTAAATGAAGTTACTTGGTAGGTACAAAACTGGAACACAAGACACAATACAATGTTACATCAAACTATGTTTATTTTACAAACACATATGCTGAAAACAAACAATATTGTATGTAGCATTCTATTTTAAACAAGCATTCTGCAAAATAACGCAGTAATATGCAAAGCAATTGGAAATGGCACAGCAGGTTTAAAAATGTTACACAAAAACACAACTGTATAAGGTTTGATTAACAATGTAACATTTCAATCGAGTCTGTAATACAAACAATACAAAAAGTGCAGAATATGACATGAACCCAACACTACAAAATTCTGTCCCCCCATTTGAGATTGACTAGGGAACAACATGAGAAGTACAGCTGCCATGCCAAGGCTGCTAGAGAATGTTAAAATGCCAAAATAGTTCACTGCCAGATTATCCATGGGTGCAGTGTCCTAAGGTGAGCTGGCCTGTGATGATTGAAAAAGGCTATTACAAACTCACTGCTCAAACTACATACCGAGGGTGCTAAACACAATCTTGTAGGATGCATTTTAAACAAATGTGCCCATAGTTTACAAGCTGCTCCTCTTACAGAGGTATTGGCTAATCCTTGCCCCTCAACTGTCTGGACAACCTTTCCCAAGATGTTTACCCCAATATTCATGGTGCCAGGAGCTGGCCATTACTGGCTTAGTGGAACACTGAATTTGATGCAAATCGAATGTGTAAAGTGCATGTTAAGTCAGATTTATTAGAACTGTACAACAAGCATTATTTCATGCTGCAGAACAATCTCAGGCAGAAATACTAATCTGAAATGGCATTCCAAGACACAAAGATCTATAACCATGCTGGTGTAACTATTTTATTAGATGTTCATTCTTATTGTGTTTTTGTGGTACAGGTGACAATAGACCATTAAGGTATACTTTTTTTTTTTTTATTCTTTCAAACCTCAGTCATGTATCTTTAAGAAACCATTTTAGCACTCTGTAAAATGCAGGGCTGAAATCTCTGTTTCTTACTGCAACATTAATGTCATGTTAAAAGACTGTTAAGTGCTTGGACAGGGAGCAGGTTTGAAATTATGCTGTAGAGATGGTACTTTAAGTGAGTCAATACTATATCCTGATCTGCCATAAAATTACAAAAAGAGAACATTAAGGAGGTTTTTTTTTCTTTTTTTTTTTTTTTCTTCAAAACAGGATTGTGATAAACTGCGTTGCAAACATTAGGCTAAATTAAGGGGTGAATTAGTTCACCATAACTACTTACTGTTTCATGATATAAAACTGCACAGAAATTTGAAGCAGGGATGCTGCTTTTAAACCCAACCTCGTATATATTGTTGTCATGTACGAACACATTGTAACACAAAACATTTCTATAACTGACGCCTCAAGAATGGTAAAAAACAAAATAAAATTTTCTGTAATGGATGTTGACATTGTACTATACATGCTTTCAAAACATGGGTTTACATAAAACAGAGAAACACACAAATGATACACCATTGTGGGAGAGAACTGTTTACATTTTTAATTTGGATGCAGCAGTAGATGGCAAAAATGTTCTATATCATTTTTATTTTAATGGTATATTTTGAGTTGACTATCAGTCCCTTACATGTAACATGCATACCTGCCAATTGATCTACAATATATTGATAATGTAACAATACAAAATAAAAATAACAAACGCAATCAAATCGATGAGGTCACAGTGAATTCTATTTGGCACTACTACTGTATAATCTGAAATAAATACAAAATATTACCACCCTCCAAACAAGTTTGTCATTTAGTTAAATTGCATATGGGTTTATAAGCACCATGTGGTTTCATATGGCCGAGAAGATAAAGGATCCAAAGTGCAAATATTTATTATAATTTTATTAGCTACAAAGGATTTAAAAATTATGTTTTTATTAATTTACTACATATTACAAGTTAGCCGGCTGTTTTTCTACCAACATATATTTTGTTCAGAAATAATTAATTATAAGGGACTGCCTGCTCGGTGATTTCTCACTCTTGCTTAGACTGTAACCCCCAGAAATCTTAAGTAACTCCTAGTACGAAGAGCCTTTACATAGAAATGGATATTATTCTTAAGAAAATTACTTTGCAAATTACATCATAAATAACATGAAAATGATTAAACAAATTTATTTCTAGTAAATATTAAATCAGAAAAAAAAATAAAATCTGAAATTGGCCTTGCTAATCTGATGGTTGCCCAGGTTATGTATTGGGCGATAACACTTTTATGTAGATCTCAACTATACTACATTTACTATAGAGAAAATGTAGTAAAGTTCTTTTTTTGGACGTTAACTCCCATAACGGACAGGTATTACCTAATAAGAAATTATGGGATATGTGGTTTCATAAAACTGTCAGTAATGTGAGATGGGGTGGCTAGTTTGCCACCTCTTGCATCCCCATATGTTTGTTGTAAAACCTCATAGGGAGAAAATCGTATTGTATGTTATTTACTTTAAATAAATAACCCCCATTATTCTCAAAGCCATGGCTGTAACCTAGAGGATGATGGTAGTTCTAGTTTCGAAACCGTTTGAAAGTAGAAGTTAAAATATGCATGCAAAGTAAATACAAACGTATTACATTATAAATATATATGTATTTCAAATATATGTGCAAAATAGAATACAACTTCTTTTGTACAAAATAAAAAAGTAATACCCTTGGCTACAATATGCTCTAGAAATACAGGAATAATCTAAAGTGCACCCTTCATTTTGTAGAACTCCACGATCCCAAGCAATCTGCAATTTTCTGACCATTATTGGCAAGTTTAACAGGCAGAAAGGCACGGGATGTCTACATCTGCTCTATCACCTGCAAAGTCCGAGGATTTTTTTTTATTTTTGGCAAAGTTAAGGTATTTTCATCAAAATATATTCTAAAATAGTGCTTGGAATATAGGTATTATTTTTTTAATTTTGCTTTATTGTGCAATTTAATTGGCTTTAAACAATGTTAAAAGATTATCTGGGTGTGATAGCACTTATCTTTTTCATGTTTGATATTTCAGGGGATTGTAAAATTGATACTAAGAGTAGAACTGTAGATTGGTTATTTTCTTCTAAAAATTAAATTTTTATGGTCAACTCATTGCAGTTCCAGGTTTAGAGAATCATGCCCATGGAGTGATTGTGACATACTCTGCAACCTCACATTTGGTTTTAACACCCATCAGCTTTAGACGGTGGGTGATCAAATAGTTGCTATGGCAAGACTAGAGCCTATGGAAACTATTTTAGTTAACTGAAAAGCAAAACGCAACATTGTGGTTTTTAATTTATTAGATTCAGAATTTATTCACTAAATTGTGACTTGTCGGGATTTCTAAAGGAATTTCAATTGCAGGCCAACATAGCCAAACTGAAAATGTAGTATATTTCCAGTGTGGATGCTATGGATTACAGTTTCACATTAATTATGAATTACTGACAAATCACACTTTAGTGAGTAACTCTGTCGATGTTTAGTGAATGATCTTTTGAAACTTTCCCTAGTGAAAACATGACATACCAAAAGCCATTCTTCCTCTTTATTGCATAAACCACATACAATTGCCCACTCGGTTGCTAATGTTAAACTCAGGACAGGACTATGTAGATCCATCACTGCCCCATTAAGCCTAAAGAGAACGGGGTTGAGCCAATCTGCAGCCAGAGATTATCAGAAAACACCTTTCAGAAAGAAATTCAATGATGGCATGTATTGCCAAGCTATACAGCCAAATGCTACGTGAGCGGTTGAAACGCTCTGGTTTTGGCTAATAGAAAAAAACAAAACAATGAGAATGGCCAGTGATCAAGAGATCATGCCAGTGGATGATGGTGGTGTTGATCACTTGGTTTGTTTTCATTCAGAGATTACACTTTGTACCTGTAGCCACAGGAAGGCTATAGGTATTGTCCCTTATTTTACTCATCTCTAATGTACGTTCTGTGTGTGTCTCTTTTGTATCTCACTCTGCAGTGGAGGGGGTTTCCACCACTTGAAAAATCCGCATTGTTGTATAGAGGGAAACAAAAGTCGGTCACTAGAACTATTTATGCTTTCTGAGTCTGTATAGCTCATTTCCACGAGTTGGTCAGGTGGGTGATTTAGGGTCATAAAGGAGGCCCATTCATTAAAGGCTACATTGATATGTGACATATTAAATAAATATAGTTTATTTATAAGCTCAGAAGATTAGTTATAAGAGATCTAAACCCTGCAACTGAACTCAGCAGTTAAACAGCTCAGACACTGCAAAATCCAGAGTTAAATATTTGGAAACTTCTACTGTGAAGTCAATTTGGTCTTGACATAACATCAATTGCGAGGTCTTTGAGCAACTTGGTGTATGGGAAATGTTCTAGCGGAGACTTTTTATTTGGCAAAATCCAATACATAAAACTCACAGCTCCATAAACAGAAATCTGACTCTTACATTTTTTTTTCTGGCACTACACTCCAGTGTTAACCTGGGCCATCAGGTTCTGATTTGAACAATCTGTGTTCCACCATCTGGTCACTCCTAAATAACGGACAATTATGGTTTCTTCTGTGTGTGGTTTTAAATCATGTTAAAAATAATGTAGGTAGTTTTCGTGCTATATAGGGTATAGATGTACTATATTTTTTTTTTTTTTTGGTCACGTAAAGCCATGACTGTCTACTGAAAATGCTCAGATCAGCCACGGTAATGCAAATTAATGTGAATTGCCCTTCAATTCTCCTTTTGTTGAAATTGTGCCAGTGAGTATAATCTGCTTGTGCTCGTGAGATATCCGTGAATCCCCTCTAGCTTTACAACTGAAGAAAATTTTAGCAGCAAAATGGTATCTGCACATTCAAGGGAAATGGTTATTTGCTAAATTCACCCAAATTCTGAATGGCAAAACAGAGGCAAAAATAGTTGATCCTGAAAATGTATCAAACACAGCCATATTAATATTTGTCATTCAGATAGCATTCATAAAAATGTAGTTTAGTTAAAAAAAACAAAAAACCCCTGTAAATAAACTGCTTCTTTCCGAAGTCAACCATGCCAAGCTTGTGAGTTTGCTGACAGTCTGACAGAGGGATCACTTCATTTGCAGAGTAAAAATTATGACATTCACTTAACTGATCAGTTGCAGAGTTGGCAAGCCTATTTCACATAGAGTTTTGTTTGAATTTCATGTGTGACATGTAAACAGAGATTATGGGCCTTGATACACAAATAAACAAAATCAGAAATGTGACCGCTCATATTTTAACAGTATTGATTGTCATTAAAGGAAACTGTATTCACTATTTTCTACTGGATAAACTCTTAAAATGTTTAAAAACAAACACCCTAATATTTTTGAACACTGAATAACTAACTGAATGTGGCAGGCTCCTTCCCAGCACACTTTTTTTTTTAATTCCGATTCTAAGTGACGTCAGACTGTAATCGATTGCCATTCTGTAAATAGCTATTTATGATGGCACCTGCCAATCAGTGAACTGTAAATGCTGAAAATCTGAAAGTGTTTGAAAAGAGTGGGAGGGTCAAGCTGCTCTGCTGGCGGTAACTCTGAATTCTGAAACATTTAGCTTAAATGCCTTTTTTACAGTACTGCTTACTTCTATCCTGTTGTGTAAAGCGCTTAGTGATCAAGAAAAAAAAATGCTACAATTTCCTTTAACAACTGGAGGGCAAGCACTGATATATATATATTTTTTAAATATATAAAAGTACAACACACTGAACGTTGACTATATGTATACAAAAATTTTATTTTTAGAATGTTCTGAATAAGTAGCTTAGAGAGAAAAATATGAATTAATCATATTGATGAAAAAAGACCCTGAAACTCAGACATTCCAAATGAACACTTGGCTGACAAACAGTCAGAATCAGAAAAGTTTACTCCTTTTAAGAAAAATACCTTCTCATTCCTGCCTTCATAATGTAATATATTATATCTTACATGTATCCTGCAGAGCTGCTTCTATAAAGATTCTTAGAATAATGACACGTCTGCAGCGGTTGCAGATAGAGGTAATACTGTCCTGTTCTACAACGGAACATTCATTATTCTGATGAAAATTAAGCATTGTTTTACCTTGAATGGAATGTCAGCAATTCTAATGAGAAAGATTTATCGAATTTGTCGGCCTATTATTTTCTATGAACAAAGAAAATATGACACCATTAGCTTTACAAAGAACCAAGTCACTTAGGAAAATAATCTGTTACTCAATAATGTAGTTTAGATGGGAGTGATTAAAATAATAGTTAAGAAAAACAAAGTATATAAATTAAAGTCAAAGCCCTGCCTTAACCACCGTTAAGACAAGATCTAGAACTCTATTTTTAAAGGTTAAATAATCTCCTGTTGATCTATTTTGATAAAGAGATGTGTGCAATCCTTGGGCATGTGAGCTCCTTATTGGTTCTTTTGACGGGACTATCACACTATAGTCAATACGAACGTACAGGATTGCTAGAAAATGTGGACCTCCATCAGAACTAAACCTAAAGCCTTCAGTTGGATGTAACTTGGAAATAGCAGATTCCAGCTGAACAATTTAAACTATCCATATACAAATCTTTTCATTAGTAAATACTCCCATTCCACCAAGTCAAACTGAATATTTCAATTATTTACTTTTTTAGGTCTTCATATCTCTCTTGTTTAAGAATTCTGATAAAACAAATTTCAACCACTCTGATGAACTGGGTCGTATGTGAAGACATTTCCTATTAAATACCGTATCTAGTGCCTCAAGCGTGCAAATCATTATTCTGCTACAACAAACCATTCACGATGGGTAAACATCAGAACAGCGACATGCCAGTTGCAGATTGCGCTACAAAGAAGCCAATAGCACTGATTCAGTGTCAAGTAATTTATATGCTAGTTCTGGTTTGCATACATAATGCATATTTCTATATAATCCTCTCTTTGGTCATTTAGCTCGGTATGCTATTAGCCAAAAGATTTTTTTTTTTTTTTTTATATCCAGGTTTGCAAAAAATTACTGAAATGTTGCCTTCATTCTTCTTAGGGTGTCCTGTATCTTTCGAGAATGTTTTTCTGACGGCATGTGATGAAAATTGGTGTTATTGGAAGCTGCCAGAGCTGAAATGTCTGCATCACTAAAATGTGCAATTCGCTGTCTAAGGTAAAACTGAAGTTCTGGATCAGGAGCGAAGGAGTACGGGATCTCTTGAAATGCATGAACCTGGCTGACAACCTTTGCAATATTCCTGTGGAATAAAAGAGCAAATGGAGAGCAATTACGACTAGAAACTTGGTAAACCTCTGGTCATTCATATTTACTAGCCATTATCCTGCACCACTGGGGTATATCAGATCATTCTAGGGCAGCACATTGCATTATTGTGTAGGGTGGTAAAAATCCTTGCACTGGCCCAGCTCACACCGATATAGCAATACAATTATAAATCAGGTTCTTGCAATAGAAAACGATAACTCTATGTCTGATAACAAATGCCTATGATTGCTAGCTTCAAGCCCTCGTGTTCAAGCTAAAGCAGACCAGAAGTTGAATCACTCAACAATGATTTGTATAAAGGATCTACAAGAAATTACTGCAGAAGTTTTGTTGCATCATAGACGACGTGTCTATGGCCATATACAGAGGCATTTGTTATCATACATAGAGTTCTCGTTCTCTATTGAGAACCTGATTTATAGTTGTATTGCAATATAGGTGGGATCTGGGCCAGTGCAAGGATTTTTACCACCATAGGCAATAATGCAGTGTGCTGCCCCCCTCTTAAAACTTCAGTCTCTTTTCCCAAGGATTCCATCTCTTTAGTTCCTCCCTCTATCAGTTTCCCTAAGTCTATTTCCACTGATTATCTTTCTATACATTGAATATAGAATGATACGAATGGGACCCTGTCATCTACACATATCTGATGCCTGGTACACAAAAGCAAACTAACAAGCTGGTAGAGCTAGCATTTGTTTCATAGATAAACGTGTATTGCAACACAAACACTGCATAAGGAAGTTTTTAGTTCCTCTGCTAGTCACAAGACTAAAGCCTTCTGAGAAGTTTCTTGTATATTCACAGGGCTCACTGTCACAACAGGTAACAGGTAAACTGTTACATTTTTTTTTCCCAAGTAAAAGCAAACCGAATCACTATGTATGTATTGATCACTTCCGCTATTTAAAACTTAGAATAATAAAAAAAAAGGTCTATTTTTTTTCTAACTGTAGAAATTGATCTGACTTTAAGCTGGTATTGTTTAGTTTTCTAGGTTTTGCAAAAGTGAATTGCTGATGTGATAAAATCATTGCTAATGCCATCTGGTGCCAAGAAATCAATATTAACATTTAACTAAAAAAGCAGCCTAACAATAAGTGCACAAATCTGTCTGTGCAGTGGTGGGGGTCGTTCCCCGGAACAAAAACGTTTCCACTTGTGATACACTGCAGGCAGCTCCTTCTCTCAGGGATGCTCAGTCCAGGATAAGAGATTTATAATGTTTTTAGTTTTCCATTTTGTATGATTTTAAAATGAAATGATGGGGAAGAATAAAAGGTTGCTTTGGGCTCAAGCCTCAGATATTTTTGAAACCTAGCAATGCCCCAGAAATGCACAAAATTTAAACTCACCTTAGTTTATTCCACTTGAAAGCCCCGTTAGCCATAGTGAAGCCACCCGTCTCAAGCTGCTGAATGTGCATTGCTAACACATAAGCTGATGGAATTGTGGGTAATGTTCTAAATCGGTCTCCTTTCATCAAACACAAGCTGTCACTTTTTAGAAACACCTAGAACATAAAGGAAAATATATATCCTCAACACATGCATGGAGCGAATGGTAAATTTGCCACTACCTGACAGAGAGTAAAAATTATTGATATAGATATATAGAATACTAAAGAAATCAAGTAAAGAAGATGCTGTGAACACAATTATATAGTGAAAGAAACTTAAAAAAAACACACAAAAAAAAACAACACATTCCGAGTATTCAAAAGGTACGAATCACTAATACAAGTGAAAACGGCTCAAAAACACTCAATATAACATGATATGGAAAAAAGTGCACTATGCCTTTTAGATACTTAAATGTGTGTGTGTGTGTGTATATATATATATATATATATATATATATATATATATATATATATATATATATATATACACACATACACACACACAAAGAGAAAAATCTATATAGTTAAAATGCAATATCAAGTGCACTATATAAGGTACTACAATAATGCAAATTATGCAATATTGTCAAAAAGAGATTGTGGACTATCCAACCATTGTGCACTCTGTGGTAAGGAAAAAAAAAAAAAAAAAAAAAAGAGCACTTACTCCTTTTGTAACTTGAGGAAAGGGACTAGGCAATATAGTGTTCCAGATATGGGTAGTGCAGCGCAGAACATAAAACTGGGAAAAGAAATAAGGGGACATATAGTGTAACTCTGTAACAAAAGTATTATCTGAAATACAAGAATCAGGCAACTCACGAGAGTGGAGCTGTGAAAGTCTGCTCTAACTTTGACATCTTTGGTGTCCTATGTGCAGGACCCCGATGTAACAAGCAGGACGATGTGATAAGATGTAACAGACAGGACGGCAACTGGATACAAGTCCTTTATTTGTAACATAAACAGCAAAAAAAATGAACTCTCTCCTTAGTGGAATGCTGATGGTGTTTTTCCTCAGACTCTCTGACACGCGGCTAGCACTAGCGGTCCTCTGGTAGCCGATACACTTCTGGGAGTTAGAATTTCATATGACACACACTGACGTTGTGTTACGTGAGGACGCGTTTCACCTGGGCAGCTTCCTCAGATCACGTTTTGGGTTTGCCGTCCATCTGAATTTATATTCACCTCCATGGGTGTGATAACTTAGAATCACATACTGATTGGTCCTAGCATAAAACGTGTTATAAGTCCTTATGCAAATAGGAAAAAGGCCTACTTGTATCCAGTTGCCGTCCTGCCTGTTACATTGCGGTTCTGCACATAGGACACCAAAGCTGTCAAAGTTAGAGCAGACTTTCACTGCTCAGTTGCCTGATTCTTTTATTTCATATAATACTTTTGTTACACTATATGTCGTCCCCCCTTTTTTTTTTTTTTCCAATTTTATGTTCTGAGCTGCACTACCCATATCTAGAAATGTCCCTTTCCTCAAGTTACAAAGGAGTAAGTGCTCTTTTTTTTCTTACCACAGATGGCACAATGGTTGGGTAGTCTACAAAGTCTTTGTGATAATATTGCATAATTTGCACTATTGTAGTGCCTTGTATAGTGCACTTGATATTGAAGTTTCACCATATATAATATATATGAAATTCCATAGATTTGCCATTGCTGCTGCTGCTGTTGTTGAACTGCAATACTTGTCCAACAATGGGCTGCTTCTTTTTGTTATTAGGAAGAGCATCATGGCATATGGTGCAGACCATAAAGGACATGCCCTCGAAAATTACTCTCAATTACATTGACTAAATGGTATCTAAAAGAGACTATGCCTAAAATAAATGGATTTCCCCCATAAAAAATACTTTCTACAGGTACCATAAACTTCTTGTGTTTTGACATTTAATGCAACATTAAAAAGAGAGGCTAAAATTGAAGAAAATAGCATTAATATTGTACTTTGTTACATGTAGTTATTAATATTCTGGCTGTTAGAATTTTGTTGGTAAATACTTACTTTTTTATAACAAATGGCTAGCCTGTTCCATCCCTCCACCCTCCCCCTTTTTGCCACTCCCAGCTGTAAATTCCTTTTAAAGTAACTGTTTTATCTCTCTTTCGTAGCCCCAAATCATCATCCAGGTAAATAGATTTCACAAATGCACATTACAAGATGCAAAGTATCAACTCTTATATAACAGACAATGAAAACATGTACGGTGTACATGTACACAGAAAACATTGTGTTCCACTTTCCACATGGGTCATTATGCTGTGTACATACGTTTGGCATATCCCCGTAGGGGTGTATTGTATTTTTAAAGGGGCATTGTAGGCACTATAACCATTTAATCTCATTGAATTATTTATAGTGCTTGGAGTCCCTGGCACTTTCAGTGTTAAGCCACTAAATGAAGTTCCCTGGTCACCGGAGCAGTGACTAAGGCAAGAAATTACATACTTCCTTATAGCCATACCAATTCATAACCGCAATGGCACTGTGATAGGCTAAATAAGGTCCGTAGACACTCACAGCCCCCTCAGTAACCCGGGCATCACATAGGGGATGGGCTGTTGGGGACTCTTGCATACAATTAAAACCGTAAAAATGGTTTAATGCTGAACAGAAGGACAGCACTAGGGCACTCCAGACGCTACAGCCACTTCAATGAGATGAAGCTGTTATGGTGCCTACAGTGTCCCTTTGAGAGAAGCTTGTTACATTTAAAGGGACACTATAGTAACTAAAACAATGTTAGCTTAATGAAGTAGTTTTGCTGTATAGAGAATGCCCTGGCAGTCTCACTGCTCAATTATCCATTTAGGAGTTAAATCGCTTTGTTTATGCAGCTCTAGCCACACCTCCTTGCATGTGACTTGCACAGCCTTCCTACACACTTTCTGTAAAGAGACAGTTAATGTTTATACTTGGTATATTGCAAATTATGTTAAACTTAGAATTCCTTACCTCCTGCACTATCAATAAGATTGCTAGACCCTACAGGAGCCTCCTGTGTTCAATTCACAGAGTAGGAGATAAAAACTTTTAAAGTAAGTTAAAATGTGATTGAAAATTAAAGCATTTTGTTTTAATGCCGACTGTCTCAGTCACAGTCACAGCCAGGGAAGGTGTGGCTAGGGCTGCATAAACAGAAACAAACATGATTTAACTCTTAAATGGCAGATAAATGAGCAGTGAAACTTCGGACACGATCTATACACAAAACACGCTTCACTAACTAAAGTTGTTTTGGTAACAATAGTGTCCCTTTTATCCAAAATGAAGGTCACATTCATTCAACATGCTTAGCTTAGAATGCACATAATACAATCACTTTTAGTTGAAAAACAGATGTAAACATTTTTTTTTTTACCTCTACAGCTTTGAGTTCTTCAAGAATTTCGCACACCTTAGAGGGTAAACTCTTCCATGCCTTAAAAAAAACCAAAGACATTTATAATTTGTGGACATTTTCAAATACTTAAAACCAAAACACACAAACAAAATTCCATAACCTGCTTATTGAAAGCGTAATACTCACTGGAAGTTGTCGCACAATAAGGTTTTCCAGCCCGCCCAATATCTGAACAGCACTTGCGAAATCTCGTTGTTCATAGCACAGTTTTGCAACAAGAAGAAACTTTGTCAGTACGCTTGCCTGCAACTACAGCGGATGAAAAATGTAATTTAGACCTTGAGATTATAAGGAACATTTTAATCGACTAATATAAAAAAACCGTAACATTTACAAATTATTTGCAGGTTCTCAAAAATGTAAAGTGGTGACAAGTATGAAGGTATACATAACTTGGTGTAGGATTCTTGATTGATTTAAAATAAGCCACCCTTGGCACTGAGTTTTCTAAACTACATTAGCAAACTTAAAGTAAAAGTCAGCTCAAAAACATCTTTGATGCCAAATTAAGCTTTCTCTAGTAAGACTGTAGATAGAGACTACAATCAACAACAACAAAAAACCTCTGGAACCGGGTGCGGCCACACTCCCAACAGTAGTCAACTGAAAGGAAGGACCAGGCACTCCAAGTTCCATACAATTGGGGATTACAAACAGCAGCCATCTCAGGCCTTGTGTCAAGTTTAGCCTTCATTGTCTTGCAAATTACCCAAATCCTATACTATCTTTTAAGGAACATTATAGTATTAAGAATAAAAAGCTACCCCACTAATGCGCATGCCACGCCTGCATTAGCCCTTTCCCTTAGAAAAGCACTGAGTCAATGCTTCCTACTGGGGGTTTGAAGACGCTGGATGTCCAGCATTGTTTCACGGAGTGAAACAGCAGGAAGTGCCTCTAGTGACTGTGTAATAGAGGCATTTTTAACCCTGCAATATAAACATTGCGGTTTCTCTGAACGAGATGAAACGGTCTGGGTGACTATAGTGTGTCTTTTAGCAACTTCCTTGATTACAGTAAAAAAGCTCTCTGGCCATCAACATCTTTGGAGGGTTTTAAAACTGGTTTATTAAATCCTTAGAGGACACTATGTCTGAAATATAAAGCAGTTTTCTTTATTAATGTAATGTTGTGGGTGCTAGTTTGTGATATTAACATTGCTCCTCAGTGCTTCTTCATAAAGCTAAGGATATGGAAGTGGAGGAGAGCAGTTAGTCTGGGGCTGGTAAAACTGTGGTTACTTGCATTGGAGACGCTGACACTACTAGGATTCACACACATTTATTCATTAAAGTGAGAATTGTCAGAAGTTAAAACTGCATTTCATATTTATAGCCAAACTAGCAGAGCTGGGGACATTTTCTAAGTAAACTAAGCTTCTAGTTAGAGCCTTAAATTTACTTTTAAATCCTGACAATTCGCACTTTACTGAATAAGCCTGAAAGTACATAGTTACATAGGCTGAAAAATGACTTGCGTCCATTAAAGGAACACTATAGGGCCAAGAACACAAACATGTATTCCTGACCCTATAGTGTTAAGCTATCTATTTAGCCCCTTGTCACCCTTAAAGCTAGTAAAAACTCCCCTTACTTCCAGTGCCGTGAGGGTCTTCCGGTGCTGGCTTCGCCTCCAATCTGCCTCCTTGGTTGACATCATCAGAATTTATGATTTCAGACAATCACAATGCTTTCCCATAGCAAAGCATTGGTTGAATTAGTCAATTATACTGATCTCAGGCAAGGAAGTGGGCTGGGGGTGAAGCAAAACGCCACCCTGGCCAATTAGCATCTCCTCATTGATATGCATTAAATCAAAGTTCAGCGGTTCAATGCAGAGCGTGGAGATGCTGAACGTCAGTGCTGCACAGTGTTTATGGTCAGTCCCTGCAGGCTTTATGACAAAGTCTGCAGGGATTGATTATACTCACCAGAACAACTACAATAAGCTGTATTTGTTCTGGTGACTATAAAGCTCAGCCTCTCTCTCTCTCTCATTTGTTTCTGCTGTTGCTCCAAAAGAAGGCAAAAACCCAGTTTGAAGTGTTTCCACTTGTGCAACAAACTAGAAAAAAATCCTTCTTTACCTCAATGGCACCTTGATCTCTCCTTGGATCAAGAAGCTGTAAATACAGTAGAAGTTTTGTGCTTTACACAAAAGAAAAAGCATATAAAATATATTTTTGAGAGAAGTTCAACATGTCTTTTTCACACATTACTACACAATTCTCACCTTAGAAGTAGCACTGGTCACAATCTCAGCAGCAACCCAGGAGCTGACATTATCTGCAAACCGTAGCAGCTGTAATAGATATTTATCTTGAGTGCAGTTTGGCATAAAGAGGCTGCAGATTTCAGCAGGAAGAGTCTCCGCAAAAAAGGCCCTGATAACACAAATTCAAAGATGGGTATTTTTGCAATCTTGTGTTCTAGGGTTTTTGTTTGTTTTGTAAGCAGAGTTTGTGGTGCTCACATGTTACTCTAGTGTGTGTGTACAAGATGATTTGCAGCCTTTATTAAACAAGTAAATACACAGTGAAACCTATGGAACTGGGTGAAATGCGTTCTACTGGTGCTGCAACAGTATTATGATCTTCTAGGTCTGACCTCTATATTTCCCAGGCATCTTGCAATGCGTGTGACAGAGTTGCACATGGCATTCATTTCTCCTTTTGGCATATACTGTTCTAAAAGCATTCAGGATACAATACAGCATTTAAAACCTGATATTTACTAACAGGCAGTGCAATGAGTTGACCTCACACTGGCTATGTCATGCTCATCTGGACAGCAGAGTTATGACTGCCCACCCACCTTCCACCTGACTCACAGGCAAGTGTAACAGTCATGATGGGAGGTCGTTTGTCTCTCAGACCAGAGCAGTAAAACTGCAGGAAAGCTTCACAGGAAGTAACATCAATTATCACAGTGGCCAATAAAGATTACTCATAGCCAAATGCACAGCCATGGATGACTAAACACGAAGTTCTGCAGCAGCTAAGGTAGATAAATATTTGTCTTCAATATAACGGACGTTCCAATCAATGACCTCCCCCCAGTTACACTTATCAAAACATTGGCCACTGAAGTAAACTTGCATCCCTTCTCATCCATCTTTTGTAGTGAAATTTGTCACCTAAGCGGAGACAGACACGTACGGCAATCATGAAACAGTTAGTGTCCACATATAGATATATTGCAAAGATGATTGCAGGAACCGCACTCAATCTCCAGCAGCCACCGGTGCTCCAGAATAGGACCAGCAATCCCAACACGTTAAGGCAACAAAAATTCCCAGGCACTCAGAGTGTTAATGAAACAAAAAAAAGGCAGCAATATTTCGACCTTTTAAGAGGTATTTTTCAAGCATTTATAGATTTAAACCCAACACACGTACTAGTGATACAGCTGCAGATAACTATTAATTGTGTGACAAAGGGTTACGTCAACACAAAAAATAAATACTGATCATAATAAAAAAAAAAAAAACAAACAACAAAAAAAAACAACTAAAATTCACCACGATCCAGCATCAGATTCTCCCTGCATCCTGATCCTGGTGAGGGGGATGGATGCCAGGAGGACATGGGTGGTGCCATTTGCTGTTTGGTGGCTTCATGCTGTGCATACTGGCGTTAGACAACAAACATGCAAATAATTAATTTAGCCACTTGTCACTGGACAATTTTGTTCCGGGCTGACTAATGACGCCACTAGAGGTGGAGTTACATGTCTAGCAGCAGAAGAGATAAATCCATTTTACCTGAAATGGTAATGGTGCTTAGAGTAACCCAAAAACACAATCCAGATTGCGCGCAAATTCGCCATACAGGGATTGTGAATCCAATATTCATACATTTTACATGACAATTCCACAATTGTTGCAAAATTATTTCTATATTGACATATGAACATGTCAGAGAATCTCTCTCTCATCGTGGTAAATTATTTGTATCCAAAGACCTAGTCACAAGAGTGCACAATTTTTTTGATCGTTGTATTATGCTAGAATTGTATGACATCCTGTATCTGATCGTATATATCTACTTTATGAAAACTCACCACGTAAAATTAAAAAAAAGTTTCAAACATTGTATGTAAAGTCACAATCATGTATTTTTTTTGGGGGGGGGAAGAAACCGATTCAGATAAATACGCATTTATATAGAAAAAAAATGATTACTATCAAATGGATAATGCTTTTAAAAAAGAAACTATTTATTTAAACATATGTTCGAAAAGTAAAGTAATCGTTATAAAATCCAGAATTTTCTACTAATAGAACTTCACAGCATAAATAAACCCCTATTGCATGGCTTTGAAAAACTTACTTTGGGACATTGGTGGATTTATCTTTAACTCCCAGTGCTCTTGAATTCAGGAAGTGGACAGGATGACATTTCTGGAACATTTCCTAATAATCCAAGGGAAATAAAATATGGTAAATTAATGGGGACACTAACGCTTAACACGGTGGGGCTTGTAAAGTAGTGTAGTGGCAGGGGAATGATTGTTGGGAATTCAAAGTTCCCAATAAAAAATATTTTTAAAAGTGTTTTTTTTTTTTTCATAGCAGTCCTGTATAAAATGGATTAGGTAGTCTGTATTACATCAAATGTATACAAAATTAGGTTATTTTTCTACAACCACTGGATTGTAACTATTTTTCATTTTACGGTTTCTATTTTATTGTTTCATACCTTTTTTTGCATCACAACTTAAGAATTTTATGAGTACATTTGCCATAGAAAGATGAAGACTTGTCAAAACTGAACTTTTTTTTTTTTTAATTTTAGGTGCAAACTGGGCTCTTCACTGGCATTGTACTAAATGCGGTACAGACTTTGTTGTGGGAAGACATGGCATTAACATGGCACTATATGTCTTTTGGGGGGTGGGGACATCAAAATATTAAGAGCCATGGGATAGGAATAACAGTTTGCACGTTCTTTAACCAGGGCTGAAAAGTTGAAGTAATATGCTACTAGCCATTATTTAAAGCTTAGTCACCACTTCAAGCTATAGTATACTTGCCAGGGCTAAATTTTCACTCACCAATGACTAGTGGCAAGTGGAAGTTTTAAACCTTGCTTAAACTGTATTTTGCAGAACCACGGCAGTCTTAGAGATACCCTAGTCAGGACTCCAAATTTTCACCAACCACTAGCCAGCGAGTGAAAATTTTGCCCTTGTGACTAGAAATGCAACTTGGTGGGTACTGGTGAGTTCGCCATGGATCTTCCAGGCTTGCAATGGTGAATAACTTTTTATGGCATGGCTAATATCACAGGACATGATAGTCAGAGCCCTGCCTTAGTTATAAGTTTGTTGTCTAGAGAATCACAGGATGGTAATAGCTCCCTGAGAATATTTTTCCAACACCATTTGTTTTATTCAGCTGTTTCTAGAAACAAGGCATTGTAGCCTAATTAAAAAACAAAACTATAAATGTTAATAAATACAAAATGTTTACAAACTGTATTTTCTGAACATTTTCAAGGAAATTGCAAGGTTGTAAGATCTAGATTGGGGGAGATGTTACCCAATGTAGCAACGTTACATATAAAAAATATTTAATATGTAAAATATGAGCAGTGATGCAATGGTCTTAGTTTTACTGCAACTGCATGTGTGAAACAGAAAATTTCCCACAAGACATTAAGATAGTGTTTAGCTCCCTCCAGTGGCATAGAATTGAAAATGTATTTTAAAGCATGGGTAATGGTAAAACGAAAATAAATGGGTAAATTTATTTTCACTGGACCTCCTGATCTGCTAACAGACTAATTTAATATATATAACAATTTTCATTCGTATCAATTCATCCTGTAGAACAGATGAACCTTCGAAAAATAGCAATAATTAGTAAAAAAAAAAGTAAAAAAAAAAAAGTTAAACTACATACTTCAGAGATACAAGTGGTAAATTGAAGACATCAAAACGAACAGATACATTTTTACTATTACAGACATTAATAAATGACACAACACAACTTGCTCTGACTTTATGCCACTATGCATTCATTAGACACAGCAACAGGTTCACTAGTGTAGTACCAAAGCCAGTCAATTTCTAGATGCGTCAACAGGTCAGCAGTCTGGCGTTATAGTTTACCATTATGTATGCAAAACTTGTGGGAGGTACTAACCCAGGACATACTATAATTATACAATCTGTAACAAATGTACCTTGCCATGTGTAAATGTTATCAGTTTGCCCAAATCAGTCCTGAAGTATGCTTTTTAAACCAAGGAACAAATAAGCAACACAGTCTCAATTGTCAGATGCTAATACAGTGACCTTTTATTTTTTATTTTATTTTTCTCAAACTAAACAAGATTCTAGTTAAAGATATACTGAGGATTAGATTTGTACGAGATTTAATCCAAGGATTAGCAATCCAAAATAGATTGTATGTTAATTGTATGACGATAGGTATCCAAACTAAACCAAACACTTCACATATAGTGACCTCAACGAATATTGGCAGGCTTGGAAAATATGAGCAAAAAAGGTTGTTAAATTGTATTTATTTTTTTCCTTTTGAGAAATAAACTAATTGTTAAATATATATGGCATAATTATTGGCACTACTATGAATTCATATGAGAAAAATATATTTGCTAGTTGACATTTTCTTAGTACACCTGGGTGAGTAGGAACAGGAAATTGTTCACCCATGACTTCCTGTGAAAAGGATACTTTGAGTGGCAAAAAAAATCTACAAGGATCACAGCTGGAGAATTGCTGAAGTTCGTTTTGTCTTGGGGTCAGAGAGACTCCAAAACTACAATCCAATGTCACTTACATCACCAGCTGTTTTTCCACCAGAGGACCTGTACATTTATTTAACAAAAGCAGAGTATCTTGTGTCTTTAACAAAATATCAAAAGGTAAAAAAAATTAAATTTTAAGTCTACTTCGCTCATATTTACCAAGTGTTCCAATATTAGTGGTGAGCAAAACATATCACGCACATCCGAAGAATGATGTGTCTGAATATTTAGTAATTACTTTTTGTTAGCTTGTTAATGTTACTTTTGGGTTTATTCCCTAAACAGCGTATTGCAGAGTGTTGGTGAAACCTGACTTTTTATTTAATAAAATAATATTACTTTTCATATTCTGTCTATATAACTATCAAATATTTTTACTACCTTCCAGGACTTAAGCCCTCCTCCTCTGTGTTGTTGTTTTTTTGTTGTTGTTTTTTGAATAATCCTTATTGGGGCTTATACACTAACCAGTTAAGTGAAAACTGAATTATAAAAATGTCTGGCCCAAATAAACGAATAAAAAACAAAAACAAAACACTACACTAAACTTTAATGTTTGTTTTACTGAATCTCAGTGAATAATCCCTTATATGGCTCAAATGTTGTCTGATTCAGTAATCAATTACACTACATGGCAAGGAATTCTAACAGTCACATGGACAGGAAGTTTAATATTCTTAACGAATGATAACTTGAAAAATTGGACATATTCAAAAAGAGAGAAAATAAATAATGGGGCAAACATTTTAGTAACAGTTTGCCCTCGAACTTGGGTACCTCTCAGGTTCCTAAGCTCCCTGGTTTATGTAATAACACGCTTCTGCAGAATTGCTGAAGTCCATCCATTTGCCATTCATTGGCGTCAGCTGAGTGCGCTCAGCCAAGGAATGGCACACTGCACAAAAAAACTAGCATTAGTGAACATAAGTGCACAACTCTAGTTCCATGCTGGCTGAAGACACCCATGACACTGCTGGAGTTACACCTCCGGTAGCCAAGTGGCTAGATTCGGTATGTGCAGCGTTTCAAAGCGAAATAGATTCCAGGCACCACGGCCACTTCAAATGTCATGGTACTTGGAGTAGCCCTTTAAGTAAATTATTATGATTCATTCATTAGGTTAATTCTTACTTCTTGAAGTATTGTCAATTGTGATGCAATCTGCCCAACACTGCATTCATATATGGAGTACATTCCATTTTCATCTCCTTTCATATAAGACGGTGAATAATCTTCCACAATGCTTGGATAGCATGGACGAGGTAAAGCAGATGCTAAAGAGTAATGCTTATCCTTATTATACACATTGGATCCATTTCCCTTGGACAGTTTCCAGTTAAAGCTCTGTAACACAAGAGTTTACGGTAGACCGGTAGTTCTCGTATTTTTAAAAATTCGCAAATGTGAAGCAACCCCATATACTTAGATTTATGGTTTTTCTTAGGTGCTATTTTTGTAATTAATCATATTCATCCATAAAATTTAAGGGTACATTTCCAGTATTCTTGATTTGGCACAAAAAATAGACAGTAAAAGCAGGTTACACTGGCATTGTTATGTTAATGTGATACCCAAGAACTATCAATCTGAGTATTTGATTAAAAAAATAAATACATACATAAATAGATTTTGATTTGAGGTCAGACTGACAGATAAATTTGCTCTGTGTCCCAAAATTCCAGATTGGGGAATTTGCTCAAATGGATTTTGGAATAGCATTAGTGAACATAATTGTATACTTTTATTTTACATCTAATGCCAAAACACTATAATATATATATATTGCTCTTGCACTCATGCTTTAAAGTCCCTTAATAACCAGGTGCTAGCAGACCAAGGCTAGTAATATCCACTCTTCCAAACAGGTAGCAGCACTCTCGGATTTTAAAAGTCCAAAATTTATTAGTGCAAGGTTAAAAGACGATCAACGTTTGAGTCCTACACAGAGGACTTTCATCAGGATCAAATACGTATACACATATATGTGTGTGTGTATATATATATATATATATATATATATATATATATATATATATATATATATACACACACATATATATATATACACACACACACACACACACACACACACATACATACACACACACACGTATTATGTATGTACTGTTATGAGGTATCGGTCACACTGACTTATTAAGATACTAAAATACCAACATCACTCATACCTTTCTGGATAGGTTATCATCGGACAACTTTGTACACAAGGAGTGTAGAGATTTGGTATCTTCCTTTTTATCACCAGAATTAAAACTTGGAGAGGAAAATGTATATTTTCGATTGGAAATTTCTTGCAGCAAAGACAATAGGTAATCACCATATTCATTGTGTGGAAGAACCTGAAAAGAGATTTAATCAGGAACTTCTGAAATAGTAACAGGCACTAAAATCATTGGAATTTGTAATGTTAGACATGTGCGAAAAGCACCAAGAGAAAACAGTCCATGCACAAGCTAATATTAGAGATGTATTTGGAACCTACTGTATATGAACAGACTCCATAATGTTTTAATGTGGCACAGTCACAGCAATGTAGAGACTACATTGTCTTATGTAAGTACTGAATTTTAGCAAAAAACGTGACAAAGAGCAGACCTTCAAATATTTCACATTTTGCCATTTCCCAGAGAGGTTACACAAGATAAACACTGGAAGATCTTGTAATTTCACAAAATCATCCACACCACTGGAGCAGGTCCTGGAAGATGATCCCCGCCAGGAGCTGAAGACTAGGCCAAACTAGAACATGGCAGTGCGTTAAGATGAGTATATCTGCTGTCCCCCAGGAGCCATCATGTAAGTAGATATGTCTGTTGTTGGGTAGTTGGGTACATAGCTCCAGGTTGTCACAAATGTGTTTGGTGCAGAAGACCTTGACCGGTTTACACAATTTCAAAATGAGCTTGGTTTACCATTCTAGACTTCGCCGTACCATTGCCATATATTTATTTTATATCCATTAATAAGTTTGCATTGCTATTCTAGAACAATACCTGGGAATTGGATAAATGTTCAAGCTTGTCCAGAAGATCAGGATCTGAAATAAAATCTATATGCCAACAGTCTTCAATCCATGTCTGTAGCAGAACAAGAGAACGATGGTAGACCTTTTCCTTTTCTTCTAGTGGTGAGGGATCTTTCCCCTCCCTACAAACAGAGACCATCTCTTTAGTCACAGCAAACGTAGAAATAATTGTATCTATGCTGTATCAGATAACATTACACAGAATAAACAAAAAAATTATCATCTTTTTTACTTTGATTAGTGACTAGTACAAACTTCCCACAATTTCTCCTTCCCATATAAGAAGTTATTGAATCCTTATTCATTGTTTTTTAATATCTCTATGTGAACCTTAACTCAATTTATTTTTTTGTGGCATTAGTGTCAGTCAGCTCTTACACAATTCAATGAAGCCCCCAAGTGGAGACTAGGGACTGACCTACCTAGATCTACCTTGTCTATCAAATATTTATTATCATGCAAGGCAGTTTATAGATTCGCTAGGTATCATGGGGTTACAAAGTCACCGTGGCTTATGCTGTGCAATAACATATTTTGTAACCGAATAAACAACTTTATATACGTTTTAATGTTCGTTTGAAATGGAGTATTGGCATCAATGAAGCATAGTTTCTCTACTGTGTTATTTGTCTTGCTTTTGTTTGCTGACACTCTTATACATGCCAACAACACTGTTTTTCATATATGAACCAATTCATTACCTGAGGAAGTTGTTATCGATTTGTTCTATAAAAAATTGGAGAAGATCTTCTTGAGAACAGAAATATCGGAAGGTGTAGAGGAAATGCTGAACATACCCATCGTGGAAAGCATTGCTGCAAGAAAAATATAAAGAATCAATGGAAAACTATATTAATTCGTAAACGTATTTGTGAGGATTCATAATATTAATAAGTACTGGATGTTTACACGGTAACAGATAGTGATCAACAGGATCAAGGAATGAACTCTATAATTCTAATGCACCAACACAAAGGAAATAGTGGCCATGGAACCTCTTTGATAAATGTCAAATGCTGTGGCCTACGTTTGGTTATATCAGGCTTCCCCAAACTCCTGCTGAACTAAAACTCCCATGATTCTCAGCCTATTTCGTTCATAGAATCATGGGAGTTTAAGTTCAGCAACATTTGGGGGGCCGGAGTTTGTGAAAGCCTGGGTTATATGGACCCAAGTTAAGGAACTAAAAACAATAGTGGTTACTGGTGGCAATTTCTTGAACATTGTGTGCTTTATTCATGTTTTGTTGTTGTTTTTAGTAATATGACTGGGAATAGATTAGAGGAAGTAGATGTAACTGGAGGATATAGCTTAATTGAGAATGATGTGATGAATATAGCTGCAGTATGACGTGGAGGGATAAGACTGAAATGAACAGGTGAATGTAGGATTTGGGGGAGAGAGGATGGGTCACATGAAATGACGTTTGCGGATAAATTGGGAGAATATGGCTATAAGTTGGGGGATCGCGATACAGGGATATTACATTCTGTGGGGCAGGCAATGGTAGCAAACCTGATGGTAGTGGAAGAGTGATGTAAGAGATGGGGACGTATATGAATTGGGGGGGATTGTTGGCGTTTCTTCAGAAGATTTTTTTTTTTTTGGTGAGTCAGGGCACAGGCAGCATTTTGTATTTGGATTTAGACAGCAGAGTGTCATAGTTGGTATTTGGTTTTAGACAGCTGCAGTTATTTGTACTTGCTAGATAGAAAGTTAGTACGTGGGTAATTTGGTTGGAATAATTTTTCCTAGCGGTGCTGAAGAAACATTACTGCAGTGAAACTGAACATACCAGGAGTAGAGATGCACCATCAGTCCAAGTGGGGTACCAGACTGTAAACTTTTTGATGTGTTGTTGTGACTTGTTTTCCCTCTTTGATTATAAATCAGCATAAAGGTGGTATCTTCATCAGGACCCCGGTCTTTTTCTTGGCTTGAACATTCTGCGACTGTAGGAAGCACATGTGGTTCAACTCCCCACTGTTCTGCATAAGACACCTGCAAGCAGAAATAAGCGAATATAAAGAATAAGCTATAGGTTGTTTATAGAAACAATATGGACAATTCCATACAGGTGAAAAGGGTATATTTTAAATGTAATGACATAAAAAAATGCAAATATAATGTATAGCTACTCGTGTACACATTTATTAGACTGGTGAATAAAACATCACCAGTGAATGACCATCACAGCCTGTGATGAAATCTGAGCAGGCATATATACTTCTGATACACAATTGTAATTCCCCCATGAAAACAGTCCAAGATTTCATTATCTAGGTCAATTTTAAGCTTGTAGGTTATAGTTTTAAGCAACAGAGGAAAAGATGGAGCAAAAGATTATGGAGAAATCAAAAACACACACAACTCTAAAGACTATAATACATAAAAAGGAAAAAAAAACGCATTTTAAAGCATGTGGCGGTTTGCCTTATGCTGGAGAAATACAAAGAGGAAAGTGTTGTAATGTAAATTGTTATCTGTATAATGAATAGAATAAAAAAAGATGGGAACTTCAACCTCTAGAGTGTACATCTATTTATATACTATATAAATACAAGCCATCAAAAGAATACCTAATGTAAGAAATGAAAACCGCATTTAAGCTGGGGATCAACCCCTTTTGTTAATAAACCATATGGATAATGTATAATAAAACGCAAAATAAATACACCCCTGGCTTTGCAGCTGCTGCGGTGATTTCTGCATCGCTAAGGAGGATGCAGACATATTCCATTACCCCTACTCAGCAGAGATTTATGGGACATGTAACTTCATTAGTTATACAAGATGTGTAGAATATGCCGATGTACCTTAACCATATCTCCAAATCCTTACCAGTTTACTATTTCAGTCTATTGATTTTCTTAACCATCTATTACACTTGTTTTCAGTGTCATTGGCTATAGTCCTCAGTCTTGTCATCGCTAAACATTTATAAGGTTAGGTCAAAGGATTTGGTGATGGCAAATATTGGCACTACAGTTGTGGAGTGCATTCCATGTAATCCTCAGGGAAAAGTTATTCCAGCTGATAAGATAACCTTCAATTTCACTTTTCATAATCACAAAAATGAAACTCTTAAGATTGTCTGCCAAACATCCAAACTAAATAATATCCGACTGCTTACCTGAAGTAACTTTCTACACAATTCAAGAAACTGCACCTTTGTTTTCATTTCCTCCAAATGCCCTTTTAGCTTGGGTAGCAATTCTTTAACGTCCGAACCTTAAAAAAAAAAAAAAAGGAGTCAGAATAGAAACTATTACAGGGGTCAACAACCTTCGGCAGGTGTGCCATGTATGGCACTCAAGGCTACCAGAGCCAAACAGGCAGGGCCTTTAAGGAGACCTTTGTGCAAGTGGGGATTGCAGGGGGTGAAGGCCAATCCTTAATTTTTCGCATTGCAGCATTGGTGAACAAAACAGCTATTTCAGTTCCTGCCCTTGACCTGTACCTGGCCAGTCTGTTCCCTACTGGGTCCCAGGTAAGTCACCCACACTAGAAAAACACACAACTGCATAATAAGCCTCCCACTTTTACAAATAATAGAAACAGTCCACACACAAACACAACACTACGGATTATCCACACATATACACATATCATCCACACACACAATTCCACAAGCAGCCCACATGGATAGGTATCATACACAACCATACACAATGCCAAAAACTACTCATGAATGTATTCTATACAATATCACAGCCCACATAGGCAAAAATACAACGCTGCATAGTAACTGCAGCACCCACAAGTAATACAAGCAGAATACGGCAACATACCTCAATTTAAACATACAAAAACATTGTATGTATACGTTAAACAAACCGTAAGAAGAGCATTTATACGAACAAATCTTTGTCACAATCACACAGGGAACACCACTCCTTTAGTTAACGCAAGCAATGATCTCACATGAACTAGATGAATTAGACATCACTTGCAAGGTTCAATTACCCAAAATCATTGGGGAAGCAGGTATGGAAAATAAAGGGGTTTGGGTTAATACCATATCTCACTAGGAAGGTGAAACAAAATAGGGTGTAAGGCAGCTAAGTTGTACATTAATAATGTCATTCTCTCTTCTAAAGGAAAAAAAAAAAAAAAAGTTTGGCTAATGAAAATCTGCATTAACTGTGCTTCAAATATATTGGTATTGGGTTCTGGTATTAATCATATACTCACCTTTATTTTTCTTCCCTTTAAGCAACGAGTTTTGGTATAACTTAATGGTTTTCCGATAATTTTTAGTTTCAATCATAAGCTGCTGTTCAAGTTCCTATAATGGAAACAAAGTTTTAATTTTATAATTGAGTCAGATGACAGTGTTGGTGTTAAAGCACTATGTCACATTTAATATAAATGCAAGAATCCTGCAAAAAGTGTTTTACTATGACATTGTTCCCTTTCTGTATTAGGTATATCAGTTCCACCCATATTTAGATGTACTGTAATTTATTAGTTGAGAGCCTTAACTGTAACTCTTAAAGGGACACTATAGTCCTAACCCTATAGTGTTAACACGACCATATAGTACCCCTTAGTCCCTCATGCCTCCATAAATATAGTAAAAATCTTACTGTATTTAAGCCAGAAGCTGTAAATCTGCATGCGGAGACTCAGGAAAAACAAGCAGTGTGCTGACATGTGATAGCCTGATCCAATCACAGTGCTTCCCCATAGGATTGGCTGAGACTGACAAGGAGGCAGATTAGGGGCAGAGCCAGCATGATTCAAACACAGCCCTGGCCAATCAGCATCTCCTCATAGAGATGAATTGAATCAATGAATCTCTATGAGGAAAGTTCAGTGTCTGCATGCAGTGGGAGGAGATACTGAATCACAGGATGCTCGTGCACAGCAGATCTGAGTGGATGGAGGCATATTATGCATATTATTCTCAGCCCTTCTCTGTGGAGTAGGCATGTCATATAATGCATAACAACATTTACATATAGAGAATATCCAGTTGTACACATCGTTGTCTAAATAACATCTTGTAATATGCTGACTGGTGAGCTGAGGGGTTTTATGTGTTTAAATTAATCGCATTAGTCTAGTGTAGGTGTTCCATCGCGTGCATGGTCCATGACCTGAGTGTACCCTGTTTGCTAGGTAAGTATCTCCATGCGTGGGGTGTATTGCCTTCTGCGTGTATGCCCCTGCCAGAGGGTCAGTAGACCAATTAGTATGTAGTGTTTGACGCAGTGGGTGTCACATAATGGGGACTGACAGGTAAATTTATGTGTAGCACGCTGGGGGCTAGGCGCTGGGGCGATATGTTAGGGCCACGGCCTGTGATCGGGTCTAAGTGGCCAAGTTGATTCACAGTGAAACAGGCCCTTGGCCCCAAAGGCTAATTTCACCTCTGTCATTCCCCTGGTTGTTACAAGGGGACAGAGGCGGAGGAGGGGGAGGGAGGGGGAGATCAGAGCCGCTGTGTCTACAGGCCATCACCGCTTGGTCAGTGAGCAGAAGGGAGAATCATATCTTAGCTTTGCAGGTTTGTCTGAGCAACATAAACAATCATGAACAAAATCATAGAACCAAAACTGGTAAACTGTAGGGTGCCTGGCACCATTCAACTCAAAGTCCCGGTGGAGTCCTAACCGTTAGAGGATAGCGTTCCGACATCCAGGGAGCTAGCCCTGTGCTTCAGGTAGGGGCCAGTGCCGGGGCAATGGAGCGTGCCTGTGATGGTTTGGACGGTGCAGCCCTTTTCATATCTCATGGTTGCCGTCCCGTGGAAGTCCCCTTTGTTGTGGGCAATGAGAGAGACTCTCTTGGTAGGCCCAGGGCTTCCAGTATTCCAGCCGCTTGTTGTAAGGTCTGCACCGGGTAGGTTGCATCTCCTTTTAATACTTGGAGTATTCTCGGTGATCGCCATCTGTACAGAATGTCGTGGGCTCTTAGAAGGCTCGTAGGGACCTCCTCCACTGCATAGTGTCCCCTCTGAGGTCCGCGTAGAATGAGAGTTCCATATTTTCAAAAACGTGGGTTAAAGCCCCTTTCAAAGCGGTTTTCACCAACACTTTGTCCCTGAGGCTGTGGAACCGGACTACTACGTCTCGGGTATCCTTTTCGGGGGCTCTCCTTGGCTTCGGGATCCGAAACACTCCCTCAAAGGCAAGGCTTTTTGCCTGTTTGGGGTGCAGGAGGGACTCCACTAGTCTTCTCATGAGATGTGGGAGCTCCGCGTTTGGTATCTCCTCCGAGAACCCACGTACTTTTAACCCACGTACACACCTCCACCCCCACCCCCTCTTTAAATTAGGTTTTTTCCCCCCTTCTTGTTACCTCATATAATAACTGTTAAGTTTCTTTTTTATTCCAATATTGTATTGTTCAATAAAAAACGGTTAATAAAAAGAATTTGAACAAAATAAAAACATTTACATAAAAAAAGCAATATCATCACTGATGTGGAAGTAGGAATGGCTGCATTCATGATCTCAGAAGAAGACGCCAGACCAAAGGCACCCAGGTAAGTGTGAAACATTTTGAAAATAAGTGGATTACAATCAGAGGGATGCTGCCATGGCAGCGTCCATAGACAGCCACTTAAAGACTGTTAGATTATCTATGTATAGATATCGCCAGATGGATAGGATAATACTTTTGCCATGATATGTGTATTTTGAAATTGTGTATGCAATGTAATTAGCATTTGCAGATTTTCACCCATACACCAATCATTTGATGAATCTTTTTTCACATCCTTTTTAAAGGACCACTCTAGGCACCCAGACCACTTCAGCTTAATGAAGTGGTCTGGGTGCCAGGTCCAGCTAGGGTTAACCCATTTTTTCATAAACATAGCAGTTTCAGAGAAACTGCTATGTTTATAAATGGGTTAAGCCTTCCCCCTAATCCTCTAGTGGCTGTCTCATTGACAGCCACTAGAAGCGCTTGCGTGCTTCTCACTGTGATTTTCACAGTGAGAGCACGCAAGCGTCCATAGGAAAGCACTGTAAATGCTTTCCTATGCGACGGGCTGAATGCGCGCGCAGCTCTTGCCGCGCGTGCGCATTCAGCCCAGGAGGAGGAACGGAGGAGGAGAGGAAGCAGAGAGCTCCCCGCCCAGCGCTGGAAAAAGGTAAGTTTTTAACCCTTTCCCCTTTCCAGAGCCGGGCGGGAGGGGGTCCCTGAGGGTGGGGGCACCCTCAGGGCACTATAGTGCCAGGAAAACGAATATGTTTTCCTGGCACTATAGTGGTCCTTTAATCCAGTGGGTTTCAGAGGAAGGTTGTCTTGTTAAAAAGGCAAATGAGACATAACTGCCAGGGGACTGTGCAAGGTTTCAATATATTTGTCTCGTTATTAAAGGACCACTATAGTGCCAGGAAAACACTTGTTTTCCTGGCACTATAGTGCCCTGAGAGTGCCCCCACCCTCAGGGTCCCCCTACCGTCTTTCTCCAGCGCAGGGCGGGGGACTCTCTTCCCCCTCTCCTCCTCCTCGGCTGAATGCACATGCGCGGCAGGAGCTGGGCGCGCATTCAGCCAGTCCATTGGAAAGCATTCTCAATGCTTTCCTTTGGACGCTGGCGTCTTCTCACTGTGAAAATCACAGTGAGAAGTGCGGAAGCGCCTCTAGGGGCTGGATTAACCCATATATAAACATAGCAGTTTCTCTGAAACTGCTATGTTTATAGAAAAAAGGGTTAAACCTAGCTGGACCTGGCACCCAGACCATTTCATTAAGCTGAAGTGGTCTGGGTGCCTATAGTGGTCCTTTAAGAAATACTTGGCGTAAAACCATCATTACAAATTAACCTTTGATTTGTGGCATTTGATAGTAAAATAAGCCATGTTGTAAAGTTGCAAAGGTCATCGCAATTGGCATTAAAAAAAAAGTTGAGCAGAGAATAAAAAGACTAATATATACGTCTATGGACATTATAACTTTGCTGATATTAATCTATACTATAACATAGGTTATATTTTAAAGGGACACTCCTAGCACTATAGCCATTACTACCTGCTCTGGTGGTTATGATGTCAAAAGAGCCACTACACGGTCCAACAGTAAGCAGTCAAACAGTTTTAGTATGGTGTGACAAGATAGCTCGGTCCAGCTAGGTGTCTGTGGCTGCAGCCTGGGCTTCCAGTTTTCATAGAAACATAGAATGTGATGGCAGATAAGAACCATTCGGCCCATCTAGTCTGCCCAATATTTCGACATACATTTAAATAGTCCCTGGCCTTAGCTTAAGTCTAGGATAGCCTTAGGCCTATCCCACACATGCTTAAACTCCCTCACTGTGTTAACCTCTACCACTTCAGCTGGAAGGCTATTCCATGCATCCACTACCCTCTTAGTAAAGTAATACTTCCTGATATTTTTATACCTTTGCCCATCTAATTTAAGACTATGTCCTCTTGTTGTGGTAGTTTTTCTTCTTTTAAATATATAGTTTCCTCCTTTACTGTGTTGATTCCCTTTATGTATTTAAATGTTTCTATCATATCCCCCCGTCTCGTCTTTCCTCCAAGCTATACATGTTAAGCTCCTTTAACCTTTCCTTGTAAGTTGTATCCTGCAATCCATGAACCAGTTTAGTAGCCCTTCTCTGAACTGTCTCTAAAGTATCAATATCCTTCTGAAGATACGGTCTCCAGTACTGTGTACAATACTCAAAGTGAGGTCTCACCGGTGTTCTGTACAATGGCATGAGCACTTCTCTCTTTATACTGATAATACCTCTCCCTATACAACCAAGCATTCTGCTAGCATTGTCAGCTGCTCTAGTACATTGTCTTCCTACCTTTAAGTCATCTGAAATAATTACTCCTAGATCGCTTTCCTCAGATGTTGAGGTTAGTAGGGTATCAAATATCATATACTCTGCCCTTGGGTTTTTACATCCAAGGTGCATAATCTTGCACTTATCCATATTAAGTGTCAGTTGCCACAGCTCTGACCATTTTTCTAGTTTACCTAAATCATTTTCCATTTGGCTTATCCCTCCTGTAACATCAACCCTGTTACATATCTTAGTATCATCAGCAAAAAGACGTATCATCAAGACCTTCTACAATATCACTAATAAAAATATTAAAGAGAATGGGTCCAAGTACAGGTACCCCACTGGTAACTAGAACTTGCGTCGAATAAACTCCATTGACAACAACCCTCTGTTGCCTGTCACTCAGCCACTGCCTTACCCATTTAACAATATTGGAATACAAACTTAAAGATTGCAGTTTATTGATAAGCCTTCTATGTGGAACAGTGTCAAAAAACTTACTGAAATCTAGGTAGGCAATGTCTTCTGCACCAACATGATCTATTATTTTAGTTACCCAATCAAAAAAATCAATAAGATTAGTTTGGCATGATCTCCCTGAAGTAAACTCATGTTGTCTCTGATCTTGAAATCCATGTGATTTTAGATGTTCAACAATCCTATCCTTTAATATGGTTTCCATTACTTTCCCCACTACTGAAGTAAGGCCTAATTGTCTATAGTTGCCCGACTCCTCCCTACTACCTTTCTTGTGAATGGACACAACATTCGCTAATTTCCAATCTTCTGGGACTCCTCCTGTTATTATTAATTATTATTATTATTGCCATTTATATAGCGCCAACAAATTCCGTAGCGTTTTACAATATTTTGAGAGGGGGGGTGTAACAATAAATAGGACAATTACAAGAAAACTCACAGGAACAATAGGTTGAAGAGGACCCTGCTCAAACGAGCTTACAGACTCCTGTTAATGATTGGTTAAATAAATCCGTTAGGGTTTTGCTAGTACACCACTAAGCTCTAAATAATAAATTTTGGGTGTATTCCATCAGGTCCCATTAACTTATTTGTCTTTTCTTTTGACAGTTGAAATGGTACCTCTTCCTTTGTAAACTCACATGTAACAAATGACCAATTTGTCCTTTTTCTTAATTGAAGTCTGAATGACTCTTCCTCTTCACCAGCAGAAAGATCCTGTTAGCTCTACTGAGCAAAGAAGAGTCCGACAGAACGCCCCTGCTGACTGCATCAGCATTGCTTAACTCTTAGCTTGTAAGTTGTCAAATAGCACTAAAACGGTTTGATTGATTGGCACCATAACCACTAACACGGACTGTAGTTGTTATAGGGCTTGGAATGTTTCTTTAATAGCAGTTATCATCCCTTTAATGTATGGAAATGAACACTGACAAAAGCTAAAAGCATTAATGATAAAACAGGGTCAATATGCAAAGCTGAATGGATTCCTGTATTTAACCCTTTAAAATCCAATGAAGGCATCGAACGTCATGACATTAAAAAGAGTATTCCCTGCAGGCATGGGGGACGTTTAACGGACCCCAAGGCTGACTTATTAGCTGGCCACAGCACTCCAAGTTACCTTGGCTTCATCATCTTAATACCACAAAGACTGAATAAAATTAGGGAAAAACAGCCACTTGAGAAGGCTTAAAGAAAACCAATTCCAACACCTCATGGTGTCTTCTTTTACAAATGCACCTGTGGTATAATTATAATTTGTGAGCTAAACAATGCTCCTAAATGAGATCTATAACCTGTATATCAATATTACAAGAATACTGGAATGGCAAGTCTTAACCCCTTAAGCTTCTGAAATAAAAGGGAATCATGACATGTCATATGTCCTTAAGGGGTTAAAGGAATACTATAGCATTAGGAATACAAATATGCTTTCCTAATGCTATAGTGCCCTAGTCACCGTTTATGTGATGAGACCAGCGCTGCCAGTGTTAAATAAAACATAAATAAAAAAAATAAAAAAATATATATATATATATATAAAAAACACCTTTTTTTCCCACACTGTGCCATGTCTCCGTGCTCAAATTCCGCCTCTTTGGTTGAGATAATCTATATCGATGATCTCAGCCAATCCAATGCTAGTGATGTAAAACACAGTGCTGAGCCAATCAGATGGTGTTTCTGAGACCATATGACTAAAACAGATTTTTACTCCTCTATTTTATGACAGAGCCTCTAGTTGTCATTCTGGCAGTCACTAGAGGCAGGTTGACCCTTGCAATGTTTGCCATTACAGCAAAGCAGCAATGTTTTCCACTGCAGGGTTAATGGGATGGCATTTAGTTGAGATAAAGTGTTACTTTAATTTGGCCCTGTAAGTGTCATGTGTAAAAAAAAAAAAAAAATGAGAAAAACACAAAATGAGAAAAACACAAAATGAGAAAAACACAAAATGAGAAAAACACAAAATGAGAAAAACACAAAATGAGAAAAACACAAAACGAGAAAAACACAAAACGAGAAAAACACAAAACGAGAAAAACACAAAACGAGAAAAACACAAAATGACCCATAACGTTACTACATATTTTGAGCAAATACTGGTGCTAAAGTTGGCAAATGAAAAGTGACAAAATGCATCCAACAGAATACGTTCTGCTTTAAAAAAATATTTTATTTTTGTGTTGGTAAAAGTTGAAATAATGAATAACTTAATTTCAACATCTCTTGCTCTGAAATAACGGTGTTTCTGATCTACATTGCCTATCGTGCACAACCAGCATTTATAGGCAAATCTGGGGTGTCAACGATTTCCATCAGCGCTCTAAACAATTACAATTATTTATATAGCACCAACATATTGCACAACACAAAAGAAAAAAGACTGCAAGTGAAATGTTTGAGGACAACAACAACCCGTACACCTATGATGGGCTCATAAATTACAAAATTAACGGCCTCAACAATCAGACACAAGAAAGTTATAGAAGTTAACATAAAAGTTAAATACTTACCAGCCTTTTGGCCTCTATGGTTTCTGAGTATTTATCTTTTTGTCTTCCAAGAAAGTTAACATACTGATGTACTTCTGAATCAAATAGCTTGGCACCGTAGAAAGCACTTGCCCAGCCTGTGCTACATTTGTAGAGCTCATCAGGGCTGATGGACATAGCTTGGCTGCTGTCTCGATGCCTCACTATGGAGTCATCGAGGTTATCTTCATGCTCCTCTGTAAAATCTGGACTGAGGCAGTAATGGTTACAAACTGAGAGCTCTCTGTGCCTGCTGTTCTCTTCAAAAGGTCTTGTCACATTGGGAGATTGTGATTGCTGATCCTTTTCGGTCGTCTCTGGCACAATATCAGTCATGTCCACCTCATCAAATGAAGCACGTCTGCTAGTGTCAACCACCACCTGTATCTCAGTGCCTTTAAAAAGGGAAAAAGAAAGATCATGTGTAGGATAGTTCATGCTGTGCTTTTTTCAGGAACATAAAATGCCACAAAATTAGTGAAACCTCAAGCTACATTATGTAGTGTTGGAGGAAAAAACAATTATGAAAATGATTCTCTGGTTTGTGCCTTTCAATACAAAATTTAAATTCTACTGCGTGTATAAGAGCACCTGCTCTATAATAAGTTGGTGAAACTAATAATAGATATTAAGTGTATATTACTCAGTCGATTGGTCTATTTATAATGAACATTTGATCATAATAATAAATAAAGAAATGTATTAGGCAACAGGGTGAGGCATCTCCCCTGATGCTTTGCCAGCATTAGGGTTTTAAGAGCAATACGGGAGATGTAGTGGAATCTTCTGATAGAAAGACACTGGCTGGTTAGATCACACTGATCGATTTATACAGTTTGCAAAATCAAACAGTACAATTTCTGTGGTTTTTAAGACTGTATGGTGGTAGAATTATACATAGGAGAAAAAACAAGTGAAAAAGTATTATCGTTGAGATATTTAAAAAAATTTAATAAACGTTCCTCAGACCCCTTCCATATCACAAGGATATCGTCAATATAACGACGCCAGAGCACCAGATCTGCCCCGAATGGATTATGTTCTGGGAACTTTTTCACTTGTTTTTTCTCCTATGTATAATTCTACCACCATAGATTTTCTAGATCTGACCATATTTATACAAGAAGGTCACATTCAAACCAAAAAACATACTTCAAACCCACAGACACTAATAATTATATCGAATCATCAAGCGGACACCACCCAAGATGGTTGTCGGGAGTACCCAGAAGTCAATATACCCGACTTCGGAGAAATTGTTCCAATAAAGAAGTTTTTTTAGAACAAGCAAATATTCTGACTAGGAAATTTACCGAGAAAGGTTATAACAGGGAGGTTTTGGATAGAGAAATAGAGAAAATAACGAATACTCAAAGAGGTGATCTTTTAATTGATAAGATCAAACGCACTGAGAACTCGAATAGGAAATTTGAATTCTCATTTCATACTAATTATAATTCCAAAGCTTTTGCAACCAATAAAATTTTTAAAAAACATTGGGAGATTTTAAGACATGACCAATTTATAGGCTCCAAATTACCCTTATACCCTCAGATAGTATATAGGAAAGGGAGGAGTTTTTCATCTTACTTAGCACCTAGCCATTTTCGAAGTGGGGAACAACAGGAACTGAAGGTGAAAAAAGGGTTTTATACCTGTGGCGTCTGCAAAGCATGTAAAGGCTTACCCCCTTATACTTGTTCTTTTAAGAGCTTTATAACCCAAGAAATTTTTCAGATCCAAAGTCGGGTGACCTGTTCTTCCTCACATGTTGTATACCTCCTCACATGTGGGTGTGGTGTCCAATATGTGGGGAGAACAGGAAGAAAAGCCAAATTGCGTTTCTTGGAACATCTAAACAATATTAGACACAAAAAGATGGATCATTCTGTTCCTGTTCATTGCAATCAGTGTCCCCTTTTCTCTTCTCATGTTTTCTCTTGGGTGATTATTGAACAAGTAACACTTGACGCAAGAGGTGGAGATATTATTCTAAAATTAAGACAGAGGGAAGGATTTTGGATCCACAAACTCAAAACCCTTCAACCTTATGGGTTGAATGTGGATTTTGATTTTGTTTGTTTTCTTTAATAATATATACATTTTTTATTTTTATTTTCTATTTTTTTTTTTTATTATTTATTATTTATTTTTGATTTTTGATTTTGATTTTTATTCTATTTTATTTTTAATTTTATTTTTATTTTTATTATTATTTATATTTATCATTTATTATTATTATTTATTATTATTATTATTATTTTTATTTTTATATTTATTTTCATTATTATCAATATCCTTTAAATTTATATTTTTCTACTCATTTTCTTATTTATTTTTTCATCCATGTTTTTTCATCCATGTTTATTCATTTATAGATGTATCCAAGATCCTTCCCTTTGGGCATATTACTTTTTCTTTCTCTCTCCCCTTTTTTGCACTAGCTTTATGTGTATATATATATATATTATGTATGTTCTGTATATATAACTCTATTTCTCCGTTATATCATCTCTCTTACAAGTACGAACTATTTTTAGTGGAGATAATGGCTTAGCGGCCAATTTGGAACGCACGTGCGTTCCAAATGATGACGTTGATAGAAGAGATCTTTCCCCTTCCGGCTAGGTGGAACGCAGATGCGCTCCACGAAGTGAATTACGGAAGTCCATATATGGAATGGGACTTCTGTTTATTGCAATCAGCTGCTACTAAGTGCACAGATTGGACGGCGTGGATGAGAACCCGGCAAAAGAGATTTATAAAGAAGACCGAACAGAAGATAAGAGCAACATTGATGGACTCAGTACATTTGTAGTTTATATGATTGTTTTTATTGCTCCTGAGGAAGTCTAAGTCTTTTAGACGAAACGCGTAGAGCTGTTTTGATTTTATTTTATTTGATCTGCCATCTCTGTATTTGCAACCTCGGATTACCATCTTACAAAGGAGACATTTACTTGATGGGCGTTTTTATCTACAACTTGTGTAAGTGCTTCCAATAAAATGTAATTATTTTTTACCATACAATTCTATACTATGTTCGGTTTTTCTTCATTTTGAGGCATTAACCATCTCCTCACAAGACTTCTTGACAAGATCAAAGAAAATCTAGATGGGCTTGATTTTCATCACAATTTCGTGAGTGCAATATCACCTTAGGGTACCATCTACTAAACGGTGTTTCCCTATGATTGTTTCCCTTCTTGTTATTTTCATCTAGGTGTATCTTATATCTTGTATGCATTTTTTGAAGCTCTGAGGAACTTGTTACAACCTAGACCTTTTAAGGGAAGTAATTTTTTACCTTATTTTATATATTTTGCTGCACTTGGGTGGTCTTCTATTAGATACGTTTTTAAGACTGTACCTGAATTGAAGATCAAAGGGCGTCTCTGGGATACGGGTGACATTTCTTTTTGTGGAGTCAAAACTTCATTTGAATTATTGGATATGTCCATTTCTTCAAGGGTAGAAAGCTGCTCAAGCTTTCTAGATTTCCGTGACCTTCTGTGCACTCTTTTTAATATCTGGGTAGGAGCACAATGATCCTTTGGATTTGTTCTGAAAAAAAAAAAAAATAATCAAAAAAAATAATCAAGTTTTGTTATTATGCAACAGAGTACGAAGATCGAGGAAAATAATTCCAAAACAAAAGAATAGCTGCTCTTAAAAAAACAAAAACAAAGATTAATTGATTAGAAAGGAATCTAGTTTAATATAGCACTACTAGGCCCTAAATAATTAAGCATTAAAATTAAAATGGAAAAAAAAAAAAATATAATAAAGAACAATGTCAAGGTATAAATGATCTTCAGTTTGTCCTGTTGAATTCTGAGATAGTGACGGATTTACTATGTTTTAACTTGACCCTACCCAGAGATTATTCAGATGTAGGAATTCAAAATTCATCATCTCGGTATTCATTAAGATTTACTAGTTTAGAAGACAACCAATACATAAAGATGCTTTAAATCACACTGTCTCTACCAAGCTCAATGTCAGTACACCAATTCACATTGCCTGCCATGTGGAACTACTTGTACACCAATTCACATTGCCTGCCATGTGGAACTACTTGTACAATGGGTGAGATCACGATTTTTCTCCAGAATTCCCATGCTTGCTGTTTTAATGGTCTTGGGCTTTCCACCACTATTTTAGACATCGACTTAGACAGACTTGCATGTCTATGGATGGGTGTACATCCATAGATACTGTGTAAGGTCTCTTTTGCCAACAGAAAAGCCTGGATTCTTGGAACCAAATAATATTCTGCAGGCAAAGACAATATCTTCCCCATTCTGACATTTGGTTTGAACTGAACCTCTTGACCATGTCTACATACTTTTATTCAAAGCCTGTAACCACACAATTGACCAACTGGATATTTGCATTAATTAGCAACTGTCCAGGTGCACCCTATAAGAATATTTGACATATGTAGAAAGCAAAGCCTCGTGCAGTAATATTACATTAATTTGAATGGTGACTGCAACTCCTAACAAAAATTATGCTGGTTACATATGACCTGGTACTTTTATGCAAACATTTTATTTGAATTTTGGATGCATATATACTATATGTTACATATGTTACAGTAAAGTAGAATTTATAAGTAATGCAATAAAATTAATTAGAATGGAAGATGTCTTAGTACTTGAAAGATGGGGGAGATTTTCCATTTACGACTTGGAAGAGGTTTTCAAGCAGCTGGTCATCCCAGTAGAGATCACAAAACTTCTCACTTATTGCACCGCAGAACGTTGTGTATTGGAGGCCTTCCAAGGAAAAAATATATTCACCTACAGAAGAGAGAGTACTTTTATTAAATAAATAATGTTATCAAAGTATTTAACCAGGAAATTATCTTCCATAGTTTTCATCTTGGTTCTAGACGTTTTTATTCAACTAGCACTCAAATGAATAAATAAAATAAAACAAGTAAATATACCAATGTGAAACATTATATTGGAGCAGAAATCACAATATGAATCATAGAAGATGCATGAATGATGTAAGATTAAAGGTTTCCTGTGAAAAGACTCTGATCGACATAATCAAGACAGATAGGAAAGCATTGGATTTGCTGAAGTCATCCTTTCTGATTATCTCAGCCAACGAGGTGGGGCTGGGGGCAAAGCCAAAGGCTGCACTGGCCAATTAGCATCTACTCAGAGACACTTCAATGTAATGCATCTCTATGTGGAAAGTTATGCGTCTCCATGCAGACCGTGGAGATGATGAATGTCAGTGCTGCACACTGTGCAGCACTGACCCAGGAAGCATCTCTAGAGGTCATCTGAGGAGTAGCCACTAGAGGTGTCCCTAGGCAGTAATGCAAACACTGCTTTTTCTCTGAAAAGGCAGTGTTTACAGCAAAATGCCTGCAGGAACACCTATAGACACCAGAACAACTACAATAAGTTGCAGTTATTCTAGTAACTATAGTGTCCCTTTAAATTGTAGCAGATAGCAACATATATGTATACCAAGCTGAAATGTAAACACATATGTTAGTAATAGTAGTAATACACCAATACTGAGGTGCTCCGGCAAAATTTAGTGTTAGCCTATATGATTTGAATAAATCTCCATATTTAGTATGCAAGACAGGTGATTTTAAATAGCATTGAAAGAGATTTTAAAAATATTTAATTCATGTTTGTGTAATATATATATATATATATATATATATATACATACACATATATACACACACACACACACACACACACATATATATATATATACATACATACCCACACATACACATACTCTGGTCGTTTCAGGTCAGGCTCCAACAGCGCCACTGTTAAATAATGCATGCTTTGGATAAGCCCACAATGTTTTTTTTGTAAAATTAAATCCATGGCTGAAATTACATGTTTAGATTTTGTCTGATACTTGGTAGGTGAAAATGAATTTCTCTAGAGAATATTACTGTGAATTTCACGAGACCTATCACCACTAAACAATCTATTCTGAAGATGCACAATCATTTATAGACATTTTAAAGTAACACTATAGGGTCAGTAACACAACGTGTATTAAAAAAATAAAAAAAAAATACCAGTGTTAAAACCACCATTTAGGTGGCATGTCCCCCCCTTCCCTCCCTTAAAATGTAAGAACACTTACCTTATTTATAGGGTCGCGCAGGTCCGCCGGTACTGGCCCTGACTCCGATCCACCTCCTTGGCTGACACCACCAGAACTGATTATCTCAGCCAATCCAATGCTTTCTGATAAGGAAAGATTGTCACGGAGGTGGGGCAGGGCCAAACATTGGCCTGGCCAGTCAGCATCTCCTCCTAAATATGCATTTATTCAATGCATCTCTATGGGGAAAGTATAGCGTCTCCATGCCAAGGAAGCACCTCTAGTAGCTGTCTGAGGAGCAGCACTAGAGGTGTCCGTAGGTAGCAAAGTAAATATTGCCATTTCCCTGAAAAGGCAGAGTTCACAGCAAAAAGCCTACAGTGACTGACTATACTATCAGAACAAGTACATTAAGCTTTAGTTGTTCTGGAGACTATATAGTGCTCCTTTGAGGTAAAATAACAGTTTTTTCAGAACTTCAGAAGGCACTTACCTTGGTTTCATTATGCAACGGGTCTTGTGTTCCTACAATAATAAAACGTCTACATATACCGCTTTTGCAAATCTTGTCAACTGTAAACGTGCATGTCTAACTAGTGTTTGCTGCCATTATATTATTTCATGTAAATAGTTTTAGAGGTAATTCACAAAATACTGAATGGTTATCAAAATTGCTAAGATCAAACAAAGTGCAAGCTGCCAGATAAGGATATCCACTATATACATATATGTTACTGCAATAAGTGATTTGAAAGCACCACTGTTTGGCTTGGTAGAATTAGAGAAAACAGAGTGCTTTTTTTAAATGTCCAAACCAAATGCCATAATCCTCTATATTCCAAGCATTATACGGGAAGCTTTCCTTTTAATGTTTCTGCATTTTGTTGCTTGCAGCTAAAGTAATCAGCAAATATTAATTATAGCTGCAAGCACATCGTACATGTTTCTGCCCGTCTCTAGAATTACTTGAAAAGCAGATTGTCTAGATCTAGCTCCAGCCTTCACTGAACCATTCTAAAAGTTTATAAAATAAATTTAATTTTTTATATTTTAAATTCATACCACTCGCAGTAGCACTTTTCTACCACAACAGTGCCACCTAGCAGAGAAAAGGTAGAAACATTCCATTCGGTTTTAAAGCCGATGATACAAACCAAAGGATTATACCTCAAACTCAAAGCCTCCCACTTCTAAGTCACTCTAATCATACCCAGTGACCCCTTAACAATCCAAGGATACCCCTAACCTAAATTCTCCCCCCTAAACCTGACTCTTACATTAGTAGCATTTCTATGCTTGTAGCAGGAAAACTGAGCTGCAATTCGGTTGAGCTATTTTCAAATGACTCTCGTTGCAGCAATGAGATCCATCTAAAAATAGCAGGAATACATTCGACTCATTTTAGTTACCATTTGGTTCTTAGTGAAGATAATGAACCACATTGAACCACAGTGGCATGGACTGTGCAGAGGGGGCCCAGCACACTCTTACTTACCTTCCCAGCAGCTCCCCTGGCCAAAGCTCGCGGCCTTGTTAGCGAGGTTTAGACAGGGAAACTGAAGGGAGCTGCTGGGAAGGTAAGTAAGAGTGTGCTGGGCCACCCAGGACCCTGATGGTGGCCCTGGTCTGAATTATCGGCAATATCGGTATCTTTATTGGCCGATACCGATATTGCTGAAAATACAGAATATCGGCCGATATCGGCCAGACCGATAAATCGGTGGATCCCTCATGTTTTTTACCATAGCTGAAAACTTTAGAGCTCTGCATGTATAATAAATGACAGGTATTTAGTGATCAGTATATTTGCAAAAATTCAACTTAACCCCCCCCAAACCCCTCCAAAAAAAACAAGCTAAAACAAAAGAAGAAAAAAAAACATGCATTTTCTTTTATGTATACAGTTTCAGAAAGCATCCTTGTATGTTATATACTTAAAGTAACCCTTTATCACATTAAATAAATTTAACTATCCCAATGGACAGAATCTAAAATTCGATACTTGGGCATAAGGCTAACTAAGCATAGTACAGACTTATAAGCGGATGATTTCGCCCCTATGCTGAGCACATATATCGTTGCTGGGCCACATCCAGGTGGCCAAGATGAACTTCCTTCCATGGTTACTTTACGTTTTACAGGCCATCCCTATCCTGATCCCGAGGACGTACTATAACTCCCTACATGCGGCGTTGGGGACATATGTCTGGAACGGAAAAATGACCTAGAGTTAAATATAACCTACTCACACAGCCCAAGAAGAGGGGAGGCCTGGCACTGCCGGTCTTTTCCCTTTACTACGTCGCATATCAGTACAAAAACTCTGGAAAAAGGTGGAGGAAACAGATGTAGGGACGCCCATGACCCTGCTCCCGTGGGGGGCTGGGAGAGACGCATCCATATACACACAAGGATAGCAGGAAGGTATGACCTCACCTCACACCCATCACCACTGTTCCCATTGAGACACAACGTGGACTTTCAACCAGGCCTGGACCCGAATACATTCCGAGACCTGTTCAAAGACTCGCTACCTTGGGTACTCCACATCCATCCCGAGACGGGACTAAAAGCCCTACCAGACATCTTCAGTGAGTCAACCCCGACCTTTACGCAATTATTCAAATACAAACAGCGGACTAGCTTCCTTAAAACACTACCACAGGGACAGGCGCTGAAGCGCGCACCTACGTTATTTGAACGGACATGCATGGATCCGGAGCCGCTCCCCCATGAGGTGTCCTTTCTATACTCCATGTTGCATACACACGTCCCCGTCAAACCACAGAGATTTATGGGAAGGTGGGGACACGGCCCTGGACCGCAGGTCTAGTGATGGGGACTGGGAGAAAATATGATCTTTAACACACAAATGCGATGTCTTTAGCAAAACCCAAGAGATGGCATATAAACTGCTTAAGCATTGGTATCGCACCACCAACATGTTAAACTGGGTGAACCTGGAACATCCCGCACAGTGCTGGAGATGCGAGGCTGCGGTAGGGATGGCACTGAATATATGGTGGCAGTGCAATAGGATTCAACCCTTCTGAAAGGGGATACACGACATGCCGCAGGAATTCACTGATAAACTGCCCCCCCTTCAACCCTGCTGCAATGCTCCTACATCACACGACAATACCAAGTAATAAATATAAAAGAACGATCACGAAACAGATGATCCCCCAGCACTGGAAAAGTCAGGAAACACCCACACTAGACAAATAGTTCACCCAGATGGAGGACTTAAGGGCTATAGACAAGCTACCTATGAAGTCAACCGATAAGTCCCAAAAATATCTAGACATATGGGCACACTGGCTACTGACCACAGTAGGGGAAAGATTTGCTAACAAAATCCACCAGTGAGTCGACACTCCTAGCATTCCATACAAAGGGAGTAAACCCCCAAACATAGTGCAAGCCACGACAGAGGCCTGCTTCCCCCCTTCTTCCGCACCCCCCCACCTCAATCTCTCTTCTAAAATGGTCCCATGCTCGACATCCACCAGACACACTATATACACGATAGCTAAATGATTGCACACCTTTCACGTATACAAATTACTGGAATGTTTTAATGTGAGTTTCACTTCAAGGGACCTGCGAGTCCTGCTCAGGTTACGATAAATCTCAAAATAGAGACCTGAGCGTCTCATCTAATGATATGCATGAGACTGATATGAGACCTGTGTGTCTCATATGACAGTATTTACTATTCTCAATTTACACGCTGTAAAGACCGGGACCTGGAGTCTCACCCCTGTTTGACAATATAACATGCAAAACAAAACACAATAAAAATACATTTAAAAAAAAAAAAATACATTTAACCATCATCAGTAACTTTGAATCTGTGTTACATTATGCCAGCCAATTGCAATACTTATTTATATCCCATAGCCTGCAAATTATATTATGCTGCTCGGGCATTGCATAATAATTTTTAAGCAAATAATTACTTATTTGGATGCTATTCCAGGACATTTTAATTATTTATTGTTTTCTGATTTTTATCCCACTTTGATTTGTCTTTTATAGAATACTGCAAATTTAATCTGAATTAGAAAAGAAAAAAAAAACAAAAAAAAAAAATCATGCAACAAACTAATGTGATTAAACAATATGCTCAATATTTATTGTTGAAGCCTTGACACATACCCATTGCAAGATCTTCTATGCCATTTTCCAAATACCCATCAAAAGCAAATTCATCTCGTATAAGGTCCACCACTTTTTGCAGAGGTGAGGATACTGTCCTCTTAGCGGGTGAATCGCCATTAGCAGCATTCAGTTCTGAAACATTGTTCGTTTTGTTCTCGCAGTCCTTAACTGCTTCATGAGTCCTAGCAGTATTGGAGCTGGAAGTCAATACCCCATTAGTCAGTGGAAGCTCACTTGTGACATCATTAACTTTAGTATGCGTCTCTTTACATTTAGAAAGGTCAGAAATGGGGAGCTTTTCAGAGTTTTTGAAATTATTGATATTAACATCATTATTTGTTACAGTGTTTGAGCTTGATGTATTAACAGCCCCAAAGACCATGGATTCAGATTCTAGAGATACATTTTGTATGTGATCAGGAATGTTTAGATGAACACGTACAAGCTTAAGACTCCCAGTTTTTGGGTCTTGCTTTAGCAAATAATTGTTTATTAATGGGCTGTTCCTCAATGTTGAGGAACTGGAAGAAATTGAAGAAGCTGCAGAGGAAATGTTTTCTTTACAATCAGACAAACAGTCAGAAACCGTGGAATTGGCCTTATTTGAACTTAAGGTTCTTGGAGAAATAACACAGTTTTGATTTTCAGATGTCTTGTCTTCTGTATTGTCTTCCAAATCTGTAACTGATATCTCCTCTCCAAAAGGGTCATTTTCAACCGAATCTCCAAATTCTTTCACACCAGACGAATATGGAGTCTTTTTGCTAAAGAGAGAAAAAAATATATTTGCGTCATGTAAAAATGAATTGATTACGACAATCTACACAAAGGAAGCAAATTATAACATACCCAGAAGTATCTTCATTTTGCATAAGAATAATTGGTTTAAAATATGAGGCCGAAGATATGAATGCAGCAGGTAAATTCAGATGTTCTTCTTTCATAGGGACAGGACCCTTAACTGCCTTAAGTTTGCTGGTCGTAGAAACAGGTAAAAATCCTATAAATGGATAGCACACTGTTAATTTTTTTTTTTTTTACTATGTTGATTTAACTGTCCACTTACAACACACGAAGAAAGAAATAATCACAGCCAGGTATGCTAATCAACCTTCAACAAAAAGCTAAGAAACATTTTATATGTACAACAGGGCAGTATAGGACACACACAATGCTTCTAATGACAGCAAACGGAGGGCAAGGATTACAAAATGGGGGGTTGAGTCAGCGCTAGTCAGAGAGGCAGCAGTCCCAAACAAGGACTCCCTCTAGTGTCCTTGGAATACAAATGGTAGGAGCAGAAAAGATGGGGGATAGGTCTGCGCCGATGTGTACACTGAGTGTTGAGTCCAATGTATATTATCGTGTCCAAAGTTCTACTTTTGGTGGGATTCAGAAGGTATCGGTATCGTGGAGAGTAATCCAAATATAAAAAATAGAAGAGATCTTACTTACAATTAACAGAGCTTAACCCAGCTCTGGTGTGGATAGCTTGCAGCGGTATTATCCCCGCTTACAGGATATTCGGCAGGTATCCTCTTCTTTGTGGTAACAGGTGGCCGAAGTTGGGGAAGATAAAATGAAGACAGTAATGGTGCAATATTTTTTACTATTTTATATATTGTTAATAAAAGATTTTGGTCATTTTTACGTTTATACCATCATCTTTTCTATTACCTGGCTATTTTATAAACTTTTTATTTACATTTGATCTTTTTTTATTATTTTAAAGTCCTGTATACCATACTCCAAGAATCCTAGGTGGGGATTATACCACCTACGCTGTTACATAGAGCAGTTAGTCTGCCCTATACACTGTGAGTATATTTTATTATTTTATTTTACCAATTAAGATTTTACTGAGAGCACTATCGCTGTTTTACCTTCTCTTCGAGCTCCTGACATTCCGATCAAGATCACTCCTCATATATCCCATAAGCGGGGATGATACCGCTGTACGCCTAACCAACTAGAGCTAGCCTAAGCTCTACCGAATGTGAGTGTATCTACCATATTTTATAATATTTTTTATCAGTGTAGAACATACTGCACCATTACTGTCTTCATTTTATCTTCCCCAACTTCGGCCACCTGTTACCACAAAGAAGAGGATACCTGCCGAATATCCTGTAAGCGGGGATAATACCGCTGCAAGCTATCCACACCAGAGCTGGGTTAAGCTCTGTTAATTGTAAGTAAGATCTCTTCTATTTTTTATATTTGGAGGGTAGGGATTGGCTGAGAAACCCTGGCTGTTTCCTGCTACATGGGTTTGTTATTGCAGAATGAACAGCCTCCTAGATTTCCCAAATAAGATGCACTGAGCTGGTAACTATCACAGAGGAAAGAAAACTGCAAAAGTAGTGGAACACATAAGATAATTTTTCACAAACAATATAGAACGGGGGTAGGGTAACCTTTGGCACTCAAGATGTTGTGAACTATATCTCCCATAATGCTCTTAGAGCCATCATCAGGGGAGATGTAGTACAAAACACCTGGAGTGCAGAAAGTTACCTACCCCAGATATAAACTCCAAACCACAGTTTTTCTATCAAATCAAGGAAGGTCAAGGGAGGATGAGGTAAAGCAAGGGTCTTTACGACAGCATACAAGCATATCTTATTTAAAATACCTGATGAAGTCTCTGAAAAGTTGGTAGGTTCTGCTTGAAATCCAGAGTCTGGACGACACTAAACATCAACACAAATTTTACAAGGAATAATTAAAATGTAATGTTTTTTCCCAGTACATGTTGACTATTTCTAATAAGGATTAACAGAGCATGACACCACAAGCATCCTTCTAGGTAAACACATACCATAGTGATATATATATATATATAGTGTAGATTGGATTAGCCGTATTAGTCCAGTAGATTGGATTAGCCGTATTAGTCCAGTAGACAAGATGCCAAAATACCAGAGTATTGCAGTATGCAATGATACCTTTTTTTTTATTGGACTAACATAATATTTCAAAGAAAAGCTTTCAAGAGTTTTCCTCTCTTCAGGTCTGAAGCAATACTGATCAAGCTGATAGAGTTCAACACTTAAAACTGATGTTAGAGAAGGATAGGGAGGGGTGTGAGTGGGGTGTCATAAATAGCAGAAGATGTGCCTGAAAGTGAAAGGTGCAGGTTGGCTGAGAATAACCAGAAAAAGAAAAACAGAGGAGAGTCAATAAGCTAGTTGGAAAAAAAAAACAAAAAAAAAAAAAAACAACACAGCAGAGCAGGGCATGCAAGTATATAACTTGCATATATGTTTGTATATAAATTGATCCAATAAAGGTGAAGAATATTGAAAAAGATAGTTACATACAACTTAACTCTAGAAGGAGTATGTAAAATTATTAAAGAGCTGCAACCATTACTTTCAGAGGACCCCACACTCAAATAAATATTTCCTAAACCCCCGACACTAGCATTCAAACAACCACCTAACCTGAGACAGAGATTGGTCCGCAGCAAACACACAGAATGGCACTGTATGATGCAACAAATCACTCTGCAAACTGCATCAACATATATATGGCAATAACACAGCCAGACAATAACAAATCATACAACATTAAGGGATCACATTTATGCACATCTGCAAATGTGGTGTACATGATACAGTATACAGTGTGTGACAAAGGTTGTTACATTGGAGAAACTGACATTAAAGGAACACTATAGTCACCTAAATTACTTTAAATAAAACAGATTTAGTGTATAGATCATTCCCCTGCAATTTCACTGCTCAATTCACTGCCATTTAGGAGTTAAATCACGTTGTTCCTGTTTATGCAGCCCTAGCTACACCTCCCCTGGCTATGATTGACAGAGCCTGCATGAAAAAAAAAAATGGTTTCACATTCAAAAAGATGTAATTTACCTTAAATAATTGTACCTCAAATCTCTAAATTGAATTTTAATCACATACAGGAGGCTCTTACAGGGTCTAGCAAGCTATCAACATAGCAGGGGATAAGAAAATCTTAATTAAACTGAACTTGCAACAAAGAAAGCCTACATAGGGCTCTCTTTACAGGAAGTGTTTATGGAAGGCTGTGCAAGTCACATGCAGGGAGGTGTGACTAGGGTTCATAAACAAAGGGATTTAACTCCTAAAGGGCAGAGGATTGAGCAGTGAGGCTGCAGGGGCATGTTCTATACACCAAAACGGTTTCATTAAGCTAAAGTTGTTCAGGTGACTATAGTGTCCCTTTAAGCTGCATCAGAAACTCAATCAAGAACCACAAGGAAAACGGATATTGTACCCCTGTTGATCATCACTTTACCCAGACTGGTTACTCCATCCAAAAATGTTCTTAAGTGGAATTTCAAAGACTCTCTTGAACAAAAGACATTTAAGATGAAAATGATCACACATTTCAACATCAGAAATGAAGGACTTAATGTAGATTCTGGCTTTCTCACACACTAACAAAACTTTATATAAACACACACATCTTAATGTCTTATATAGTTCTTTTTAAATATTCCTGCTTCACCTTTATTGGATCAATTTATATAGATACATATATGCAGCTATATACTTGCCCTGCTCTGCTGTTTTCTTGTTTTTTGTTTTTCTTTTCAATTAAACTCTATCAGATTGATCAGTATTGCTTCAGACCTGAGGAAGAGAGGAAAACTCACAAAAGCTTGTCTTTGAAATATTAGGTTAGTCCAATAAAAAAATTTATCATTGTATACTGCATACTCTGGTATATATATATATATATATATATATATACACACACATATATATACATACACACACACATACATACATATAAACACACACACACACACACACACACACACACACACGTACGTTTCAGTAAAATGGTAGAAACAGAAAGGATTCAAATTCCAGAAGTACTGGAAAGAAGTACAGAAAGACGACAGAAACAGAACAAGTACAATTATTTATTCTAACGACAACAAATTCTGCAGTGCTGTACAATAGGAAACATGGGGTATTTTTGGAGGACTGCAGAGATGAGGTGAATTGGTTGTCCCGCGGGAGGGCATTCCATAAAGAAGGAGCGATAACCAGCAGCCAGGAAAGATAGGAGTAAAAAAATAAAAATAATATATATATATATATATATATATATATATATATATATATATATATATATATATATATATATATATATATATATATAACCATAGGACCCATGCTTGAGGCGGTCACCTCCTCCTCAATAGATCAAAGGGCCTCAAGACTGAATATCTAATAATTTGTTTGCTGTTGAATTAAATACACACATATCTAACATGCACAGAGCAGCAGTGGGAGGTAACCTCTGTAATGTAAATATGGTCCTAGCTACAAGAGTTAGGCTTAAGGGTAATAACTATGTCATGTAAGTCAATAAATAAACATTAATTATCCACTTCCTCACCTGATATGCAAGTCTGTACAAACTGGCCCAGGTATCTTTACCGTCTATATTTCTTGGCTGTAGATAATTTCTGCAAACCTTGAAAGCAAAATAAAGAAGTGCAATAAAAAAAGGTTTAACAGATTATAAAACATAAATACAAAACATAACCCTTTGCATTTTTAGTCCAAGAATCAATGTTTACAGATGTTGACGCACTGCACATCCCATGATTGCTAGCCACAGTGCACATTACACACGCATGCAAGATCTAATGACAACATACATGGCTATGAAGGCAGTTGAGACACGTAAGGCGAGATTATTATTATTATTAGTGCTTTTCAAACATTGCATTTTCTTATTCATTTTAATTTACACAGAATATATGCATTATAATCAAAAAGTCTGGACTAAATCTACAAGATTGTTTGCTTGCAAATATGACATCGGATTTTGTTTACAACACTTATTGTTTTGTATTTCATCCCCCACTAGGCACCCTTTCTTTTTGTCCTGTAGCAACCCCTTTCCCTCCCCCTCAAGGTTCTTTATTTCTTGAGGGGGAGGGAAAGGGGTTGCTTTATTTTAAAATCTCAATGTGGGCTGATTAACTCCAATTTGAATCCTCATCCTTGAATATAAATGATTGCCAACATCTGGTGCACTGACTCACTTTCCCAAGATGCACAGCAAACTACTTGGACATCCTTTCCCTGGGCATGTCCAGCAGGCAATTACCTTACTACCTCAGCTAAAAGTTAAATCCACCCCTCACTTGAAAAAAATTAATATAAACAAATATTTGACCACATTGCATAGGGAATTTTACTAAAGTTGACGTATGCAGCTACTTTTATCACCAAATCATATACAGCTACATCCCTACAGTACATAAGCATCCACATGTATACTTCAGCCTCACATTTTGTGAAGTTTGAAGGTCAAATTTGGGCCTTCATTTTGATATGTCTCTTAGCTAGCTCCCCAGGATGTTATCTGATGATACTGGCAAGTGATGTGACGCTATCTGACGATACTGGCCAGTGCCAAACTTTGACCCAATGTCAGTAGCAAAGGGGCATTTATATAGCAAGCCTCTGAGCTTCTAAAAAAAAAAAAAAAAAAGAAAGACACAAGGATAGGAAATAGTGATGTGTCCCAAGGAAGTACGTGTCCCTCCAAAATGGGAGCCCCTGAGAGATAGTTTTTACACATTCTGCACTGATTATTACATCCTCACCATAAGTCTTTTCTTTAACAGAAACAGGCTGTACAATATATATATATATATATATATATATATATATATATATATATATACACACATACACATACATACATACAACAAATATACTTTTTATTATTGGTTACTTTAATTGTGCAAACAACGAATAGATATATGTATACTATTCTGTTCATATGATAGTTTTACATCATATACCATGCACATATAAAAAAAAAAACAAAAGAATCTGAAAATAAAAGTGTAAAATAAAATCTATTCTGGCTTAGCCAATGTAAGTACCTGCAAAGCTTCAGTTAAATTAGGCCGTTCGACAGAATCCCGTTTTGCCATATGCAGAAGAAACCGTTTAAGTTTTTTTGGCAGTGCTAGTTTGTGATTACATGGGAAATTTAGTTTTGCGGCTGACCATAAAATAGCTGCAATGCCATAAACACAACCCTGTAAAATGGAAATTCACTCACATTAATTCTGCAGGAGAATGAAAAGGAAACCAGACAAAAGAAAATCACAAACGCTATAATGTTAAAATTATTGTATAAAATCCAGAAATACAATTGAATCAGAAATGTAATAAACTAGAAGACATTGCTTTACAAGACCAGACTATAACCAATAAGAAATGTAAAATATACTCAACAACCAGGTACAATTCAAAAGACTATAATCTTGCAAATAAGAGGAGACATCAATACAGTGTACTGCATACTATTTAACCTATGCATTGTGCAAATCAAATTGCTTCTATATTCATCCATTTTTATTTATTTTTTAATACAAAAACTTACGTGCATAACCTACATGTATGTTGGTTGGTCTGGGTGTATATGCATACGTGACATTTCACACATATGTTTAAAACCATAGACAGCGGGTTACAAACTTCAGGCAAGCATAATTTTTAATCTGAACAATATCTAGCCATTTCACTAGTACAATATTTTGTTTGACTTGCAGGACTCATGTGATGGAGACCTTATTATCCAAAATTGGCCTGATCCAGATTCCACATCGTGTTGAACAAAGGTTCAAACATAGGCTCATACTACAACTGTCCCACAACCATCTGGAAAAGTAGTTATCATATTATAGACTGGCGTGTATAGGACATTATGGACAGTACCAGGTGTAGTTGTCATTCAGTCACATGCTTATGACTACAAAAAAAAATGGTGGTTGAGAATAGACAACTGCCTGGCATGCTGTTTTTCTAAAAGCAAGTCTGTATTCTAAAGCAGGTTGTGGGCCATGCATTAGCACTGTTGTGATATAACTACGCATTACATAATTGTAAACTGCAATGATTACCATAATCTGTATAGTTTTGATTCTCTCTCTAAATTGTAAGCTCATTTGAGCAGGGTTCTCATCAACGCATTGTTCCGGTCAAAATGTGTAAATAAATAAATGCCAATAATAATACAAGCTAAAATATAACAGTTCTAAGAAGTCTCATCTGACAAAATATCTACCATGATTTACTGTGATTACATGATAATATAACAAGGAAAGTTAGTTACCTTCTCTGTTCCCACTCCCTCAGGGTCATATTCAGGAGGTACACAAAAAGCATCATATGGTTCTAAGGTGAAAGATAAAAGGAAGGGGAAAATAAGCAGCTTATGTCTAGCTTTCATTGTTATTTTCAATTTATCCTGAAACATGAGTGGGATACAAAAATTTTCAATTAAGCTATAAAGTATAAGTGACCACCTAAATAACAGAGTAAATTATTGGGCCTTGAAACATGCAAATACCACAAGATATATAGGACTGGCCTTACCTTCATTCAGGTGAGGGACAAAGAGGACTTCTCCTCTGTGATCAATCAGGACAGATTCGAGACATAAAATTGCTGAATAAAACAAAAGAAAAACTTTTCAGTTTTTTGACAAGTTTGACATATGAAAACATTTGAATGCATTATATTATATAATAGTTTAAACTTTAAACGTAACAAAGTGGGGTTGAAGTATACCTTAGGGTGCCTATGCACTGGGACTGTAGCTGAATATGATTTGTGGGTTAAAGTAATTGGAAAAGTCAACTTTGATAAAACTTCCCAAAGATTGCATAAAAAATAAAAATAAAACAAAATAATGAAATAAAATCTGCAAATGTTGGCTAAAATTGATTATTAAAATAAACATGTTAAGACAAAGACTTAACACTTCATTAGACATAACATATCATCGATCATAATTGTTTATGATAGTTCTCATGGCTTAAAGGACCACTATAGTGCCAAGAAAACAAACTGGTTTTCCTGGCACTACAGTGTTAATAGGTCCCCTCCACCCTCATGGCCCCTCTCCCACCAGGCTCTAGAGGGAGGAAGTGGTTAAAGTCTTACTTTTCTCCAGCGTCAGGCTCCCTTGGCACTGGGGACTCTCCTCCCTCTTCCGCCGAATGCGCATGCGCGACAAGAGCCACGCGCACATTCAGTCCATAGGAAAGCATTCTCAATGCTTTCCTATGGATGCTGGCATCTTCTCACTGTGAAAAATCACAGTGAGAATTGCTGAAGCACCAACGAGACAGCCACTAGAGGCTGGATTAACCCTATTGTAAACATATGTTTACAGCTGCAGGGTTAACCCTAGATGGACCTGGCACCCAGACCACTTCATTGAGCTGAAGTGGTCTGGGTGCCTATAGTGGTCCTTTAAAGAGATATTCGGTTAAATGTAGTTAATGTCCAGTGCTGAGAACACGGCCATCGTGATGGTTTTGAGTGTATTACACTTCGCATGTACCTTCCTTATTCAGTTGGTGAAGCTTGGGAGCACTTTCCCTAAAACAGTGATAAAAGAGGGCGCGGAGGTTAGTTAGAATTGGGGATGGCTGTATTAGAGATGGCAGGAAAAATAAAGAGTTTAGATCTCGTCATTTGATTTCTACACCAATAATTTACAGATTCGCTGAACAGCAGTTCCACCCATCACATATTAAAGGGGGTGATTACTTCTCTGGAAATTACCAAATTGTAAAAATCACGGAAAATCTCCTATAACATCTGTTAACTTTTTTTCCCAGTGGGATGTTCTATTTTCTTTTAGTCATATTACAAATTTAGCAATTAGCATCACAGTCCAGTTATGCTCAGCACAGCAAGGGCACATGGTGCAATGAAGGAGGAGAAACTGGGACGCTGTTTTGGTTTATCATCCCTTCTCTATGCTGTCTGAAAGGTGTGGAGAGTAGAACTTATAACAATAGGAGCCAAGATGAAGGAGCTCAGTAAAAGGGCAGAGTAACATACAGAGGTATGGAGAACTTTATTCAATTGTAATTTTCAGATCGCACAAACATATTATTTCACATACAGTGGCTAAGGGAACACAATAGTAAAAGTCATGGAATAAGCTGGTCTCCTTTAACTCAAAACTCAATGCAAGCAGGATGAGTGGGAGGACCATTTTAACATTAAGTTAATAGGAAAAAAAATTTGGCGGGGGGGGGGGGGCTCGTTTAAATTTGCAGATGGAGTGGCAAAGAGGATTATTTCATGTTACAGTCTAGTAGTGGAGATTTCAGCTTCAGATTTCACACAATAAAACACAGTGGTTCTGCCAAGTCCAATACAATGCATTTCTCACAACTAGCACTAAAACGATTTTCTGTGTGCATGCGATTACGTAAAAATTAATTTGCTTCTTTTTGTCTGGCACTATTTTTTTTTTTTTGTAGCAAGAAGGATCTTTTGTGTACTTTATACAAACAACCTCTGTCACCATTCTGCTGAGCAAGCAAGTAATAAAGGGGTCTTTCTATGGATGTGATGACAGCCGTTTAGATCTTATACTTTCCATCCTTTAATTCGATAGCTTCAACAATGATTTGCAAAACTGGGCATTTCTATTTTTAATAATTCACAGTCACAGAGGCTTTAGTAAAACTTTATCACCAAAAGGAAGATTCTTCCATAGTGTCCCTTTAATTGGTTGATGTAAAAAAATAAATATAAAAAGTCTTAATTTTCAGATCAATCCTGCCAAAAGGCTTGTGTTTTGGGGAAAACAAAATCCATACCTCATTCAGCAACAGTTTCAGGAACAAAAAGTCAATTTCCTACCCTCGCTTCATCTTCATTGCGCACTCAACCCCAGCTTTCCAACCATTTCAGCTCTAACTATGCCCTTACATTTTATCTTTTTTCTCTTTTTTCATCATAATACTCCCTTTCCCTCTCATTAATTTGTTCTCCATCCCCATGCATTTGGTTTGTGTATTTGCCCATACATTCATTACAATAATTCTGAAATGTTGCCAATTAATTTCTTACCAGCTTTAAAATATACCCATCTTGATTTTATTTATAAACACAATATAATATGAGAAGGCCTAACTTACCTGGACAATCTATGTACGTTTGAAGAGTACATAAGCACTCGTGGCATAATGCCCATAGTTCCTCTTCTTTTAATGGTTGTCCATAGCGTAACAGAAGGTCTTTCAATGAAATCCACTTAAAAGAACAAAAAAAAAGGTTATCAAATTTGCAGCGTTGTGTAATGCAACATATATGCATTGTGTGATGATTTTATAGTGAATTCACATAGGATGAAATATAGCTCATTTACCATTGGTGAATGTTAGCTTTTCTGATATTTCTCAATTTAATACTGTTGGAAAAATGTTCCAAGTTATTTATCTACAAAATTCCCAGACTTAAAGGGAACACTATAGTCACCAGAACAACTACAGCTTATAGTAGTTGTTCTGGTGAGTATTATCATTCCCCTGCAGTCATTTTAATGTAAACACTGTCTTTCAGAGAAAAGGCAGTGTTTACATTGCCCCCTAGGAAAACCACCAGTGGTCACTTCTCAGATGGCCACTGGAGGTGCTTCCTGAGGCAGTGCTGCACTTTGTTTTCCTAGCACTAGTTTCCCTTTAATTGCCAACTTCATTATCAAAAGAATTACATAGAAATCTACATACATATACATACACACACAGGTTTCTTCTCACCCACAATGTTGTAATCGGCATTGGACAGATTCATCTGATAGGACCGACACAGAGAGGAGGAAGCAGGTATAAGACTAGTATGTCTCTTATCCTTATCTGATCATTTCTATATCATATTGCACAGATTATGGACAAAATAAAAACATTCCCTAAACTGAACTGTAAAAATTGCAATAGTTAACCAGAAATATCCTACATTTCATTTTTAGGCTCTTTTCATTGTAATTCACTGTAAACTCTACAATATAACATCCCTGAAGAGGACCAAAGTGGTCAACTCATCTGTGAACAATAAATAAATATCAACACAGATTATCATACCACGCTACATAATGCAAAACTGCATTTAACAAAAAAAAAACAAAAAGTAAAAAAAATAAAAATAATACCATCTCTGATTTTTTTTTTTTACCTCCTGCTCTTCATTTTCTTCTTCTATATCAAAACATTGTTCAGGAGAGTTATTTAATCTAGAAACAACTGCATTATCACTACTATGATCCGGCACTGGATTAAGTCTTTCATGTATGCTAACGTGTTTACTTCCATTATGCCTGATGGGATGCGGAATACTTTCATCCAAAGTGAGATTGTTCCCTAAAGTCATTGGCTCATCTATATTTTGGGAATGCTGGTTTTCTTCTGCAAGAGCAGCAACTAAATTTTCATAGGAAACTTGGGAATGGAACTCGGACAGCCCTAGGGGAGAGTTACAGTTTTTAGGTTTTGGCATAGAAATATTTGAAAACATGGTGTCATTTGAGGTCTTTGAATCCACAAAACATATATTTTTTGGCTTATCTCGGCAATCCAGACTTTCCTCATTCTCGACATCTTCATTTGGGGAAAGGCAGCTAGGCATTGACGGCCAGCTTTTAAGACTAGTTTTTCCAACAAGTGGTGGAGAGGGAGAAAAAGAACGTTTGTCTGACATACTAGCACCAGGCTGTGTTTTATTTCTACGATGTTTCTTTAAAGAAAGTCTTGACATTTCATCCTCCAGTTTTCCTTTCTCACAATTCTCATATTTTTCCCAACAAAGCAGTTGTGCTCTGTCGCCTTTATTTTTTTTTACATGATTTACTAACGGTAAACATGGCTTTGTATATGGTTTTTCCACTCTAATATCGGGTTCTCTCCACCAATTTTTATTTTCGATCTCCTGTGACGTAAGGATGTTGTGACAGATGTCTGGGTAGCGGCTACATGCGGGATTATCTATAACTGTCATTGTGTGAACTGGAACATTTTCACCTGCTTGTAGCTTCATTCCCCGGTCCATTTTGTCTATCCCTTTCCATAGGTTTTCCAAGCCATCTATACCAAGAAAATAAGAGTTATGCAGAGATTATACAAGGTCTCCATAACCTTTCACACCTCTTTACTTTCTCACATTTTGTAGTATTACCACCTCTCTTGTGGACACACTTCCATAGTAGGAGGTGCGCAAGTACTTGTCCTCTTTAAACAAGGTGATAACAAAAACTTAAATTAGGAAGCTTTACATTACTTTCTTAGGGGAGCTATGCAACTTCAGAGATTATAAACCATGTGAATATCCTTCGAATCACAGGAAGAGAAAAAAAATAAAATAAAAACGTGTAGCATAATACCCCTTTATTACACAAATTAAAATTAAACAACAATGCTTACTGGCTTAGTGGTGGAAACCAAGTGTATTTTAAATCCACAGAATGTATTTAGAGGTTGATATGTGTTGTAATATCTATGTTTTATAGTTTGATAGTGTGACAGTAGTCACCATCACTGGGAGCAGAAGGACACTTTACAACGGCTCCTATGAGCCATAGGAGATTTTACAATGGTTCCTAAATGGCTCCTATGAGCCATAAGCCACTTCACAATGGTTCCTAAGGCTCCTATGAGCCATAGTAGACTCTACAATGGTTCCTAAATAGCTCCTATGTATCATGTATCATAGGAGCCATTTAGGAACCATTGTAAAGTGTCCTTCTGCCAGTGATGGTGACTACCTTCATAGTAGTCATCAATACGATTTCCTCACAGAATATAATCATTGTAGCTGCCCTAAGGACTATTTAAAAAAAAAAAAAAGTATATTGTATTTTGTGTGTATCTTCTTGAAATATACTTGCACACCACTCATTACTTTGTTAAAAGTTTATATTAACACACCTAAAACACTACTAATAAATTGGGCATTAAAATAGTTATTTACTTAAGTGAGAATTCAAAGTGAATTTACAATTTAAGGCCAAAGTATGTAAACGAAAAGCATAGCTGACTTAGAAAGTTATTCGGGTTTGGCTATTTCGACATTAAATGTGAAATTTACTTTGAATTCACCTCTCTTTAGTTAATAATCGTGTCAGTGACACACATGTGAACAGATGTTAAAACATGTTTGTGAAACATTACAGATAATCGATACTAAAATGATGGCTACAATGATTTAAGAATTCTAGTATATAAAGAAGGTTATGTACAAGGGAGAGACTTTGCATTTTTAAGCTAAAAAATACAATAAAAAACTGGTACTTGTCAGACTAACTCAAATATACACAGAAAAGTTTTCTTGTAATTTGTGTATTAGGGAATGAAAATATTTTCTCCCACACATTGCATTTACTGTAATGTATTGTTGCAATGTATAGTGAAGTATCAGCAATTGTTTTGTGTTCTTTGCCTTCTCTTTCTTGTACAAGTAACTTCTTAAAAACTCAACTTTCCAACATTCTGGGGCTAATGTAATTTAATTTGCAGACTGTATGTGCTTTAAATGAACACCCCAAATACCATAGACACTTTAGCTTGCCAAGTGATTTATGAATTAAGACTGTGTCCTCTGTTTTTCCTTAAAGAAAAAAAGTGTAGATTTCAATGAAAATTGGCACTTTCAAACGTGAACCATGTTACACCCCCCTGGCTGTGAATCAGACAACCGGTTCTGTTACTTCCTTCTTGGTTTGCTCAGTGGAGCTTAACTCAAGAGGCAGCAATTGCCCAGAGCTCATAACTTGCAAATACTTGAGCTGCATTGAGCAGTCTGTGATTGGACAGCCACAGAAAGTCTGGACTGGAAAAGAAGGGGATGATTTGCAAAGGCTGCAGACAAGAGAGTTGCAGTTTTTGCAAGCTGTTTTAGGTATACTACCAATGAAATGCAGAATTATATACATGCATGCTTTTCATGGGGGGTATAACTACCAATTAGAGTTTTTTTTTATTTTTTATTTGGGCAGTGGGGAGTCCATTTAAGGCTGCACAGATTATTTACCTTGGAGAGCACTGACAGACTCAATAGAAAGCACTCTTCTCCCGATGGATGAGAGATTTCGACAGATCATTGAGGACGAAGGAGAGTTCAGTTTATTTTCACATAGTGATATAATGCTCTGCATGGAGGAAACATGTATTTGTAAGGTTAACGTGAGTGTAGAACAGAATAGAATAAATAAATAAAATATTCATTAAGTTCACCAAGCTAAATATTCTCCAAGCTTAAAATTTTTATTTTTAGAGCTGTAAAGAGATACTTATAAAAAGAAATCTATATTTAACCAAGAGGCATGCGTTGAGATTTGCTCTCACTTACAGCCATACAGATGTTACCTAACTGATACTAGTTTGATCGATCACATAAAAGTGAAAGGCTAAAATGACCCTAAGTTTGAACCTATACTACAGTTCATGTCATAACCAACTGTACAATTTAATTTGAAATATAAATTCAACTAAATCAGTTTTAGAACTTATTTATTAAACATTTGTTTTGGAAACACTGCCTTTATTTGTCAAGGACTAAATTAACTGAGCAAAGACACAACTGACTATCTTATCCATCCCTTAAGGACTAATTGCTACACTAGGTGGTATACAATTTTTTTTTGAAATATGCGCAGTTCACAAAAAAGTTCCAAGGGATCTTACCTCGATATCTGGTCTGTCTGCTGGGGTTTCCTGTTGCATGAGATCCAGCAAAGTCTGCAGATCTTGACACATTTCGGTCTCGACTTCTGGTTCAATCACAAATTCGATTGCTGCTTTCAAAGTGGCCCCCAGTGAATATATATGTGCCTGTGTTTTGAATAATAATTTATCAATGTGCTGGAACGCATTAACAAGAATGTCACATAATTAAACATGGGCAGTCTGAAACATGTCTTATAGATAAAACATAAAGCAAGAGGTGAAAAAAGGTTTTAACTCAGTGTTTGACTAATACTGACAAAGATCCAATCAAACTATATTGCAAAAAAAAAAACAAAAAAAACAAAAAACAAATGCAAAACAAATATCTGCAGGTTATCAATGGAAAGTATATAAATGAGTTAAACTCTAGCAATTCCCACAGGAAGGCGGAAGTGCAGTGGATGGTAAATGCTTTAACAAAAAATTTGCTGGTGCGTAACTTTACATAGATATTCATTGCTTTCAATAAATTCAAAGTTGCCTGTAGATGTGTTGGCATATTCTACACAAATCTGACAACCACGTGCATTCATATAAAGTGATCACAACTACATTCTTAAAAAATAAATAAAACAGCACACAATCCACAGAGGTCCATTCCTCACAGGAAATGTATTTATGGAATTTGCAATCGAGGTCTAACAGAATATTACAATACTAATGAGAAGCATTGTTACGCCACTTAATTTGAAAGGGATGAGAGAGCACGACTGCTCTGTAGCACACTTGGTAAAACAGCAGGAGAAGAATATGCCATTTAATTCAGGATGGGTGATCTGCTATGCGTAAGCACTGATAAAGAGCTTTCATTTCTTATGTAGCTCACAAAATATTGTTTTTAATAACGCTTATAATGTATTGTTGTGATCTGACTGTGATCTTTATTCTGTACCGTTTTTGTTTTTTTGAAAAGACAAATATATAAAGCTCAAAATGTAACAAAGTGGGATCAGTGCAATATTTTTTGTTTAAAGACATGTGAAATGTAGCATTTATTGATATTTGAAACAATTAGAAATGGAATGCAACAAACATACTGAGCGAGTGAATACCGTTCTGTAAATAAACATTATCCTAACATTATCCTAGTGAAGAGTTTTTTTTCTTAGAGAAAGGAGGCACCTTATTGATCTGAATAACATATAGCGTGACATATAACTGCCCACCCGCAGTAGGTAGTTACTTTTTTTTATGCGTACTGTACAGTAATGTATCTTTCATTGTATTGTGTATGAGCGGGGGAGGACCAAAACTTATTGCAACGTCTATAGTCCGTGCGTTATGATTAACTCCTTGAAGACACATGACGGAAATATTCCGTCATGATTCCCTTTTATTATAGAAGTTGTGTCCTTAAGGGGTTAAGAAAGTGCTGTGAGTGGGAGCACTTCTATTCTATAGAACAATAGGCATCGCACTTGGAAAATGTTTTTGTAACGCTCCAATATATTTATCTAACAGTAAATGCTATGCATAAATAACACTGTCAAGACAACATAAAACATGTCCAATTGAAGAGGCTTTATAAAAAGAAAAATGCAACAATCTTACTTAAAAACATTTTCAGAAAATCTTTCTACGCATCTGAACACATTATGATTTAACAGTTATTTGATTTAAATTTCAAATCCTTTACTGAACGGTGGGTGACATCATCCTAATATTATTCTCAGTTCAATGCAGGAGGATCTGCATTATCAGGACAGCTCTGGGAAATACATTTCACAACTGACTCTTTTAGCCATTGAATTCTGTCCAAAGATGGACAATATTAATATCACTAATGCGGAACTAGGAATGTATTGCTTTTCTCTGTGACGAGGCTAGCCTGTAACATTTAACAGTATTTATTTTAACCGTAGGACTCATAGTGTAATATATAGACACATCACACAATGCAATAAAGAGTATGGCATGGTGTAACTTACACTGTTCAATACAGGGGCATCCTGTGCCAAAGAATTAAGGACAGAAGCTGGACATAGAAGCTATTGCCTAAGCATGTAACCCCACCAATCTCAAATAGCCCATGAAATCTAAGTCCCAGTGCTATTAAAAGCAAAAAATGATTTATGCATAAAAACACAACTTAACATAAAACTGAAAAGCAAGGAGAAACTCTGGAGCATATATTAGGGGGATTTAAAGCCATCTTGGGGTTTGAAAACCACACAATATTCGTTCTCATGGTTTATTCGATTGTATCTAGAAACATTCAACAGCATTATTGCCCCCAATAAACAAGTCATCACTATCTACACACTATATAAAATGTATATATAAAAAGGTGAAAAACATTTTTTGGAGCAACTTGCTTAGAAATTACCATCGGTGAATTTCATATCATTTTCTGAAACTAGACTTCATTTAGCTATGTTTGTAACTTTGTTGAATAATATAAAGCAGCTCTGTTCACTTTACAGGTTTTGCATTTACATGAATCTTGATGGAGAACATTCAGCTTCTCCTTGCAAATTATGTGCAGCACTGACCTAGGAAGCACCTCTAGTGTTGGTCTGAGTGACTGCCACTAGAGGTGTTACTAGCCAGCAACGTAAACACTGCCTTTTCTCAGAAAAGGCATTGTTTACATTAAAAAGCCTGCAGAGACATGCTATAGACACCAGAACCACTACATTAAGCTGTAGTGATTCTAGTGACTATAATTTCCCTTTTAGTAAAATTCCATTTAAGTTGCCGAGCTAATTAACCCACAGTCCATCAATAAAAAGTAACACACAGGTATTAAGATCCAGCTCAAGAAAGAGAAGATAATAAATAAAGGCAAAAAGGGGAGGGTAATCATTAAGATACAAGGAAAGGATAGAAGAAGGGAAAAAAAAAAAAAAAAACCCTGACAGAGCGGCGTTAAGTAGATCCCATGTGAGGAAACTGCCAGATTATTAGAGATGTCCTGCTTGGCTGGAGGCAACTCAGTTCCATGTTAGTGGGCTCAAGAGAAATAAAATGATTCATGTGGAAGATACACTAGTAAAGACAAACTCTTTTTTTGTAGCTGTTACTATAATAGGGGTTTCACCAATGGTAGTTTAATAACAATAGGTCCTGATTGTCCCTGAGACCAGTGAAAACTGACAACTGCTCTGTCAGTCTAATCTAGCAGTCGTGACATTCATTGCCTGTTACGTCCAGAGATACTGAATGATTATTATACGCAGAAGATTGCTGGAGGCCACAGAGTGAACCATTGTTCTATGATTACAGAGTACCTTGCGTTACACGGTCATTTGATTTAGGGCAGACCTCTAGCATGAGCATATTCCCAGCTGCACATAATTCATATTCCCAACGTGTTAATTTTACAGGTTTTTACTGTTTGGTAGTTTAACTTTGTAAAACAATAGGCAAATTAGCAGATATCAGAAACCCACAAAAGGATCATTAACAAAATAAGTACGTTAGCACATTGGTAAGTATTAAAAGCACACGCTATGGACAAGATGCACAGCTTCTGTATTCCACAGTATTACTGAGAGAATGTGAAAAATCTTATTAGCATTTCTAGAAGAAATACAGCATAGCCCTCAAAATACTTACACAGTGCAACAAACCAAGCACAGAATAACAGGACTTAAGGAGTCACTCCATACACTTTAGCTTGCTTTGTGTGTGAAAAGTATGCCCTATTTTTTAGTTTTGGAAATACTGCAGATTTCAATAGAAATTGACACTTTTATACATTTACCTGTCTATGCCACCTTGGCTTTCAAGCAGACGACAGATCATGTTAGTAAATGGTTTGGTTCGCTTATTTGCACTTGACCCAAGAGGCAGCAATTGCGCAGAGCACCTGCCTTGAAAAGACTTCTAATTGAGCTGCATTGGGAAGATTGTGATTGACCGGGGTTAAAAGGGGAGGGCTTGCAAAATCAGCAGACAAGAAAACTGCAACTTTTGTAAGTTGTTTTCGGAGATACCCCAAATGAAAAAATGCTTAAAGAGACACTATCCAAACATTCAGTGTCTCCTCCTTCTGCATGCAGACACTGAACTTTCCTCATAGATTCAATTAATCTCTATGAGGAGATGCTGATTGGCCAGGGCTGTATTTGAATTGTGCTGGCTCTGCCCCTGATCTGCCTCCTTGTCAGTCTCAGACAATCCTATGGAGAAGCACTGTGATTGGATCAGGCTTGCTATTCTGAGGCAAACAGCATGCAGAGCTACAGCTTCAGGCTTATTTACAAGTAAGATTTTGCCATAATGAGGGAGGCATGAGGGGCCCAGGGGGACTAGATGGTGGTTTTAACACTATAGGGTCAGGAATACATGTTTGTATTACTGACCCTATAGTGTCCCTTTAATAAATGCATGCAAGTTCAAGGTATATAAACTAAACTGTGAATTTTATTTTGTATTTGGGCAGTAGATTGTCCCCTTAATGCCTTATGAGATTACTTTAAACTGGCCATGTTGATGCTACGATTTTTATATAAAAGTTCTTATTAAGGTTTCCTGTTAAATGCAACTTATAGTTAAAATAATAAGTGATCACTGTCCACCACCCTTTGCTCTGTGAAACTTAAGTACAAAAAAGATTACTTACCTTGATTGTAGCCCATAGACTCCTCCGCTGCAGCCTCCAGCTCCTCCACTGGTGTAAGCATCCAAGCTGACAACACCCCCAATCGCCTCTAATCCATTGGATTGGCACCAGGCATGTGCAGCCAAACACCACGCTCTGCCAATCACATGCTGCTATCAGCACCATTTGATTCCAGGACTGAGCTTAACTCGGTTCATTGAGAATACGTGGTTTGGGTGGCCTTAGTGGTCCTTTAAGCATAGAACTACATCCAAACAGGTTTTGTACAGATATGTAGACAGAGAGACACACGACTCACCTCCAAGGTATTGCCCGTTAAATCAAACTCTGGAGGTACAAAATCACCTTCAGGATCATCTAAATTGAGAGAATTAACAGATAAATGTCAGCAATCTGGCTTTCAAATCTATTTATAGTCAAAAATCACGAACACTGCACACGAACAAAGTTTAAAAACAGATGAAACATAAATTGACACTGCAATGTATAAAAGAACATAACAGAGTAATAGCAGCATGAACTTACCTTGGTTGTACCATCTAATTATAAATACAAGCTTGAAAAAGAATACAAATGCTACTAGGGTTTCCTTATACTCATGCGAAAATATAACGGATATGCCTTCAATGCCAAATATATGAATGGAAAATATGATTGTGAAGATAGATATACACTAGTTTTTCTAGTGTGTTTTATGCATGTTAAATAAACTCAATGCGACACCAATTCCATTTAAATTCTTTTGCAAATTGTGAATTAACTTACTTAACTTTACTTTTATCCAATTGTTGGACTTCAAACATTCTAGTAGTGACTAAAGTAACCAAAACAACTTTAGCTTAATAAAGCAGTTTTGATGTACAGATAATTCTCCTGCAGTCTCACTGCTCAATTCTCTGCAATTTAGACGTGAAACCACACTGTTTATACAGCCCTAGTCACACCTCGATGCAAGTAATTTACACAGCCTCTCTAAACACTTCCTGTAAAGAGTCATCTAGTGTTTAGACTTCCTTTATTGTAAATTCTGTTTAATTTTTAGTTTCTTTCTGCTCTTGTAATAGCTCGCTAGACCCTGCAGGATCCTCCTGTATGTAATTAAAGCTTAATTTACAAACCAAGAGATACAAACTTTCAAAGTAAGTTGCATCTGTTTGAAAATGAAACCATTTTGTTTTCATACAGGCTTTGTCAGTAACAGCCAGGGGAGCGGTGTATAGGGCTGCATGAACAGAAACAAAGGTGATTTAACTCTTGAAAGGCAAAGAATTGTGCAGTGAAACTTCACTGACATGATCTATACACAAAAACTGCTTTATTAAGCTAAAGTTGTTTTGGTGAATATAGTGTCCCTTTTAATTTGGCAGCTAAAGTTCCCATGATGTTCAGCCAAAATAACAGATGATTGAGAATCAAGGGAAATCAATTCTCTATACGTCCTAGTACGTCATACTTAGGCATCACTGTTTTATAATTGACAGCTGACTTCCCTGAAATATCAGAATTGAAGTCCAAAAACTTTGAGAAATCAGCAGCTGGTCACCCAAGATCTGAGAAGTATTTGTATCATCCCAGCCATTTGTATCTAAACCACAAATGATAAAACCACTGTTGGTGGTTCGCTATTCTGTACGTTTTCTTTATGAAAGTGCTCAAAAGTAACAAGTTTTCATTGTTTAAAAAGAAAAAGAAAATTGCACTTTTTTTTTTATGTGAAAGTCTCTCACCTATTATATAATTTTGCTTAGTTTCAAAGATATTACTTTCCAAAAAATGAATTGGTGGTTGAATAATCTCCAACGGTCTCACCTCCCCCAATGGTCTCACCTCCCCCAATGCACATTCACAAATCAGACCTTTATATAAGCAGATCAGCCAAATACTGAATGTAATTTTCCAAAGTACTACGCACAACCTGCAGGCTTCCTGCGTGTGGATTTTAAATGCTGCAGAGTGACGATGGCTCGGCTTCACTCCTGCTGAGTCAAGAAGGGAAAGGGGAATACAGAAATAAAGATAATGATGTCAGATGAGACCCAGTTGCCTCATCCACACTTGCTATTCTACTCGTGTACCAATGGGTTTGTTTTATTTCATTATCTCGTATATAGTCATTTTTTCAAGTATAAATCCTGTTGTTTTTTGTTTTTTGTTTTTTTAATCATGTGCACAATGCGTACAGGGGCTGCACAGTGCAGTATCCAGACATAGAACCAACCAATCTAACTTGTTTCATATACATTTTATCATTCTCTGCAACAATGGCTAGTCCCTGAGAAAAAATATTTTAAGATAGAAAGTCTAAGCAGTCCTACTACCTTAAAGTTCCTCTACCCCTCTATTCCGTTATCTTCAGTCTACTAGTTTATTGAATCTGTTAGACCCACTACCCTCCCCCACTCATTCCTGTGTATTTCAACGAATACTCTAAGCACCAAAACAACTTTAGCTTAGTGATGCAGTTTTATTTATAGATCATGCCCCTGCAGTTTCACTGCTCAATCTCTGCCATTTCTGTTTATGCAGCCACACCTCCCCTGGCTGTGACTCACAGAACCTACACAAAAAAAGGTTTTGTTTATAATCAGATGTTATCTTACTTTAGAAGTATTTGTCTCCTGTCTGTAAATTTAACTTTAATCACACACAGGTACAAAAAGAGAAGTCCTGCGCTCACTCCCATCACTACTGGGCCGGCAGCAATAACTACAGTACACATCAGCCCCAATATATAGTAAAAACCAAAGAAAAGAAAAAAGTTACCTGCGCTCTCTCCTTAATCCCTATGTATATTTAGACAAATGGAGGTCATTTATTTGCTCCAATGGCCATTGGAGGGAATGCCCGTCTGCCAACGTCAAGGCAGACCCCCTAAGGGGGTCCTAACACTGACCCTTCAGCCTGCTTCCTTGAGCTTCTGGCAAAGATATCTCTAATAAGACAGAGAGGGGTATTTTTTATATACACCCCTATATACTTAATAACTCTTAGTAGGGGATGGGATGGGCGGCAGCATTGTAACAAAGCTGTGTGATACAAAGTAAATACAAATACAAAAAGAGAAGTCCTGCGCTCAACGTCAAGGCAGACCCCCCTCTCTTTTTGTTTTTGTATTTACTTTGCATCACACAGCCTTGTTACAATGCTGCCGCCCATCCCATGTGCTCCCTATTAAGGGTTAATAAGTATATAGGGGTGTAGATAAAAAATACCCCTCTCTGTCTCATTAGAGATATCTTTGCCAGAAGCTCAAGGAAGCAGGCTGAAGGGTCATTGTTAGGACCCGCTTAGGGGGGTCTGCCTTGATGTTGGCAGGCAGGCATTCCCTCAAATGGCCATTGGAGCAACTAAATGACCTCCATTTGTCTAAATATACATGGGGATTAAAGAAAGAGCGCAGGTAACTTTTTCTTTTCTTTAATCACACACAGGTGTCTGACATTTACAACTTGATTTGAACTTGCCATTATTGACTGTAATATACACACACACTCCTTTCTCATAGGAATATCTATTCAGGTCATACTAAAAATAGCCGGAAAGGCAACAATGCCCACACCTGCTCTAGGACAAGTACATTCACAGATGTTTTCATAACCAGAGATCCAAATATGCTGGAATTGATGCATTTTCTAGTTTACTACAGATCATTTTAAAGGATATACTTTAATACATTAATTTAATTTGATTTGATTAACATAAAACAGAAACCCACCGTCAAAGTTGCTGCCGCTAATATACTGCAAGCTAAATCAACAGGCCCACTCCTCCTCTAAATCAGGGAGAGGTTTCACCAATCAGGATTATCTAATTATGGGGGTAATTACTCATAACATTCTGTCCAGCAGGAATTTAAAGGATGATGAGTGGAAATGCTGAATAAGTCATACTGCAGTTGCTTATTAACTTATTCAAAGCACGGGTCACAGTTTTGTTTCTCCTGAGCTACCAAATGGGCAGAACTACAGGAAGGAGCATGGAGAGTTGTGTGTGCAACAGGTGCATACTGTATGGGAAGTAGTTACTGAATTCATCTCAGTTTGCAAAGGAAGAAGTAGTATCTGTGACTTCACTTGTCCAGAGGGAAGGCATATAGCTGCAACAATGTTTGGAGATATGGACCAGAGTACTTTAGGCACCATACAATTATTATTATTATTATTATTATTATTATTTTATTTATATAGCGCCAACAAATTCCGTAGCGCTGTACAATGGGTGGACTAACAAACACATAATTGAGATCAGACCACTGACGTACAGGAACAGAGGGGGTTGAGGGCCCTGCTCGATGAGCTTACATGCTAGAGGGAGTGGGGTATAGTGACACAAAGGGTTAAAGTAGGGGAATTAAATAGTTTGTTACAGAAGGGTTTATTGAGTGCTTGGTAGGTCATTTCTGACAGGTGAAGGAACGGAGTCATGGGGTGGGGGATGAGAAACCTGCTGACAGTTTAATTGATACGCTTTAATAAAGAAGTGAGTTTTCAAAGATTTTTTGAAGAAATGGAGGCTGGGTGAAAGTCTGATTAAGGAGGGAAGGGAGTTCCACAGAATAGGTGCAGCCCTGGAGAAGTCTTGAAGGCGAGCATCAGAGGTGGGGATCCGGGCAGAGGAAAGGAGTAGGTCTTGGGCTGAACGCAGGGGTCTCGTCGGGACATACTTGTGTATGAGGGAAGATAGGTATGTTGGAGCAGCATTATGTAGGGATTTGTAAGCAAGTGCCAGAATTTTGAATTGGGCCCTATATCTAACTGGAAGCCAATGCAGGGACTGACAGAGCGTGGAGGCGTGGGAGGTGCGACCGGACAGGAAAATAAGCCTCGCAGCCGTATTCATTATAGATTGCAGCGGTGCAAGCTGGGAACATGTAAGACCGTGAGAAGGGGATTGCAATAGTCAAGGCGAGAGAGAACAACAGCATGAACCAGTACCTTAGCCGCGTCCGGCGTTAGATATGGGCGGATGCGCGCTATGTTCTTGAGTTGGAAGCGACAGGATTTGGCTATCGATTGAACATGGGGAGTAAAAGAGAGATCAGAATCAAAAAGAACTCCTAGGCAGCGAGCCTGGGAGGTAGAGGTGATAGTAGCGCCGTTGACTTGGATGGCGACAGACACAGGAGTAGCAGCACTTGAGGGAGGAAAAACTAGAAGTTCTGTTTTGGACAGGTTAGCAGAGAGGCAGTTAGAAACACGAGTCAAGGTGGGCGGAGAGAGATCAGGGGAGGACAGGTAGATTTGCGTGTCATCTGCATATAAATGGTATTGGACGCCAAAAGAGCTGATGAGTTTAACAAGGGAGGCAGTATAGATAGAGAACAGTAGGGGGCCGAGGACAGAACCTTGGGGGACGCCGACAAGGAGGGGTTGGGGAAAAGAGGCAGAGCCAGAGAAAGAAACACTGAAGGAGCGCTGGGAGAGGTAGGAGGAGCACCAGGAGAGAGCAGAATCCCGTAGACCAAAGTTACGGAGAATGTGAAGAAGCTGTTGATGATCAATTGCAATGATGCAAATTTTTATGATGTGTAGAGTGACCATTTAATATCAAGCAGCTACTTGAGAAATCCGATTGATGCAGAATGGATCACAACCTATGTTTTGGTTTGAATAAGTGGTGCTGGCAAGGATGCCTGCACAAATGCAGAATGAATTCTGAAACATTAAGTCTACCTGTACTCATCTGTATGTCAAACTGGAGAAATGTGTCTTCTCAGAATTACTGTGCTTAAAATTGACTTTTCATATATATATCGCCTTTTAACACCCACACATTTAACAACTATATGACTGTAAATAACGAATGATGCTTAATAGGCAGAGCAATACATGTTGGCAAAAAAAGCCCTTTAATTACCACATTGTCAAAATGACAAAATGTGACAAATAGCCCTTTAGGTGTTAATGAAAATGCATAACAATAGCCAACAATAGTAAGAGACAGTTTCCCTTTAAGCAACAAGCTGACAATGGCATGAAAAAATAGTTTTACACTTTGCATTTAGAATTTTTGGGGGAGTAAAAGTAATGTTATTGCTTTTCCCACATTTCTCTGGGAAAAGCAAGTCTTATGGCTTGACTGGTGTGCAGATTTTTGTTTAACATTGTATTAAACTATCCACAGACTTCAGGTGGAAGGGGTTTTCAATCACCATAACCTATTTGGATTTTAAGATATGAACCATTGAGGGGAGAGTAAAATATATAAATATATGTATATTTTTTTTTAAACCTCGGTTGAACGGTTTGAACGGACTCTTGAAGCAACGTAGAAAATTAATTTAGAATCTGTAGTTTGTTTTTTTTTTCCATTAGGAATGGATCTAAAATTGTTTCTGGGTAACAGTGCTGTTAATAAAGAAAACACTTGGTGTCTAAAACATTATTACACTATTTGTCATTTACATCTCAATTAGTGATCCCTCTGCAGTATTTCACATTTACATAATTTCCCAACTTCAATAAAAGGAATGTGAACAGTGAGAAAACATGTTCTAGATATTCACGGGACACCTAACCATTAACCCCTTAAATCACAGAAGGGAGTATGAAACAATAAACTAAGTCCCACATCCAACACTTAACCGGGGGTTAAAGAACTCATTATTTTGGAAGCAGAGTTTGTCAGCCTGCCAATGATTCATGAAAGTTTTCCATTTAATTATAGAAGATGCCTTTAACAGAACCCAGAAATGCAGATGTCAGTAGTGTCTTTCAGCAGAACACACAGCATGGTTTTGTTGCTGCCCCCTCTCACTCTCTTTTCAAAGTATCTTATTTAGTGCTGAAAAAAACATAGAGAGCCTTGATGCCAGTGGATGGCAAATATACGTACCACTAAGCTGCTCCATGAAACAGATGTTGCCATTTGTGTTGAAAGCCAATGTGTCTGGAGTAATGCAGAGCGTCTGGAAGATGGCCGAATGAGCAATACTCTTCATAGAATAGCAGCACTCGAGACATATTGCCCAAATATCCTGCTCTGTAAGACAGTTGTCTCGTAGCGACAAAATATCAGCCAAGGATACATTCTCCTGCCAAGACAATTCACAGACATTTGTTAATGGCTTCATGTTTTACCACATTGCATGTAGCTCAATTTACTAATTTGTAACAAAACATAGCAATTCAATTTGTTAAATAACATGACTTTCACACAGTGCCTATTTAAATAGCACAGTAGCTTATGATTTTATCATAACGCAATTCAATTTACCTGTAGCGCTCAATATGTCAAATTAGGCCTCGATTTAATATTTTTGGATAAGCTGTTAAATGATTGATGATCTTTTCAAAATATTAAAAGATGAAAAAAAGTCATATAAAAAACAGAAAATACATACATATATACATACATACATACATACATACATATATATATATATAAATATAACTCTCACTTCGATGGTTCAAGACCTCCCCCACCCCTACATATACACGCTTCACACAATCTTACCAGCACTCTCGAAACACACCCTTTCACAAACATACGTGCGGACATACAGACAGACCTCACTCAGAAAAAGCAATTGAAGGATGGACTTCAAACCGGTTACTTGGAACCCTTTAACACAAAACCCAAGAGTAGTGTATCCTACTCTCGATACGAAGCGTTTCTTAGATCCAATCGAAAATTGATAACATCTGTATGTGTTTGACATAGATATGTATTATTTAACTGTTTGACACTGTAAGCCTTTTAGGCTACTAATCTTCACCTCACATCTTTTCTATTTTTGTGAAAGAATACCAACAATGTATTATATGCCTCTGTACTGTGCATTACCCATATTTGCATGTATTGACTCAAGTCATGTACTCACTCTTTTCCACTTCTGTTTATTACTATTTAACAATGTTCCCATATTTTTATCTTATTCTGGGAAAAAAATACAAACTTTACATATAAAGAATTATTAAAAATGTTTAAAAAGCGTATCTAAAAATATTAAATCAAGGCCTTAAAGGGCACAAACCTAGAGGCCTAGTCATTAAACATTGACACAAAATGGTTGAGCCAGGTAGGAGTGGGGGAAAAATGATCTAACTTCGCTAATATGGCCTAAATATGCAGAAACAGCTATGATTACATTGAAGAGTTAAACAAAACTCCAAAGCCTGTTAAACTGACAGCCACCGACTAACTAAAACTCTGTCACGTGATGCAGAAGCTCCCAAAGGAAAGCGTTGATTCAATGTTTTTACATGGGAAGCTTGCATGCGCATCAGGACCCCAATGCACCTCTATGAAGAGCACTGAAAAGACCCACGCCAGAGAAAGCCATGCCTCCTCCATGACGTTGAGGGAAGAGAAGAAACCAAAGCCAATGGAGTCGTGGCACTGGACGCAAGAAAAAAAAAACAACTAAAAACAAACTTTTTTTTTTTTTTTTTTTTATGTGACACACAGGGGAGGGGAGGGGAGGGGGCTATATAACAAACCAGTATTTCTAATGCTTTAGCATTCCTTAAATTATTATGGGATAGTGAATGCCAAGGAATATAAGTGCAAATCATGAAATGCGTTTTTTAAAAAAGGTTTTCACATTTGTTTTAACATTTATCAATTTATGTAATATTTTAGCAGTTAATTTACATACAGCCCTGCATGATGATGCGACAAAGAAGGTAACAAAAAGATCTATGGATGGATCTATACATAAGTTTGCTATTCTTTTAGTAAATTAAAAAAAGGTTTAGCTGACAGCGGGGTTAAACTGAGGATTACAAAAAACATTTCAACAACCCATTGTACTAGCTATGGTTAGTGGATATTACATTTTCATTTCTAAGGAGGCCATTTCCATTACATATGTGAGATATAACATTTTAGTGTGTGATTTTCGAAATAGCATCTAAAATTAGAATAGACTCACAATCTGACAAACTTGCACAAATTTCTTTAGATAAACCCAATATTTTCTATTTGTTTCTGTATTCTATACTCTTAACTAGGATAATTTACAAGGTTTAATGATTAAGCACAGGTTGGGCGTTACAGAATACAAAGCCATTTCCGTGATCTCAATAGATCATTTAACAGTTTTATTTAAGTACTTAGTGGAATGGCACAAGAGTTTACAATCCAGGGTAACCAAGGACAAAAGCACAGGCATTTAAGATTACATGGTGAATAATCGGGTTATTTACAAGATGTAAACACTCAATCACAATGCACATTTTAATGTCAACAGCTCTATAAGATAGGATAGATATAGTCAGCACTACCCCAAACAGAAACATTGCTTATTCACTTTGTTTTAATATAAAGCAAGTGATTTTCAAATTATCTAGAATACGACTGTGTGAGCTCATGTCAATGTCTGACAGTGTTATAATATCTTGGATATCAACATGGAACAATTGAAATTCCAATTGAATTGTAAATCTGTTTAGAGAGACACAAAGAAGGAAATGATAAAGGGTTATTATGCACAAAAAGGGAGAAAAAAAAAAAGAGCAAGGGAGTGTGTAAGCTAGGAAGAGAGATGACAGATGGGAGAAAGATGTAAAAAAAAAAAAAAGGTTTAGAATGGTTTATCGGTGTCCTGATATATTTTTCAAATAGCAGAATTAGTTTATGGGAAAGTGCGATGTTATTAAGAAGATGACCTGAGCCAACACAGCATAGTAAAATTACGTTTTAATGATCATTTTTTTTGAATTATATAGAATGACAATCTTGGAAAATTATATTTCCAAGTGCAACTGTCTCACTTTCTTTTTACTGTATTTCCCCCCCAGTTTTATTAATTGAAGACTACTATAATAATAAACAGAAGTGGTTGTGGAAATAATTGTTGATATAGAATGCACCATGTTCATATAGATAAAAATGAAAACCAACGTATATTGGAATTCGGTATAGCAATATCATTTATAGAAAAAATAAGGTATTCCAGGAGCTAGTCAGATTGCAATAAATAGAATAGAAGTACAGTAGATATCAGCTTTCAAATCAAGGATAAATAGGAGAATATATATAGATATATAGAAACTCAGGAAGGAGACCATAAATAATTGGTTCAAAATAAGTCCACACAGAAAGTCCTGGTTATAAAATTAATAAATGCAAATGCAGAGTATACAGAATTAAATAAGATGATAGTTATATTCCAATAGTCCCCAGACTGTAGCAAAAAGGAAATTCACACTTTTTTCCTTTTTTTGCACTTTTTAATTGTTCCTCTCGTTTTAATTTTATTTTACTTTTATATATTTACTGAGAGTCAGTGAATTATAGTGTATTTGCAATAGGGTTCCACAACTGTGTATCTCCTATATACACACACAGTATATATATTTTATATATATATATATATACATATACATATATATACATATACATATATATACATATACATATATATACATTCTCCTATTTATCCTTGATTTGAAAGCTGATATATACTGTACTTCTATTTATTGCAATCTGACTAGTTCCTGGAATACCTAATTTTTTCTATAAATGCTTTTGCTATACCTACTTCTATAGGGAGTATAGGTGGCCTCCCTTCTTTCCAGTTTAGAGCTAGCACTCTATTATTCAATTAGTTATGTGCTTTTGATCTCTATACTTTTACTCCCTCTATCCCTAGAACCTGATTATTTCTGTATTATAGGCATTTTTATTTTTCTGTGCTTTTAATATTTGTATTCTGTGTTCTTTATATTCCCTCTGTATATTGGAATTCCCCTGACTGGGAGGGAGCCCAGCGCTGGAGAAAGGTAAGTGTTTAACCCTTTCCTCCAACTTCAGACCAGCGGGAGGTGGGGCCATGAGGGTGGGGGCACCCTCAGGGCACTATAGTGCCAGGAAAAAGTGTTTAACGGTTTATCTCCTGAAATTAGGCCAGCACCAGGGACCTCTACGCACCATAACAACTTCATTCTGATGAACTTATGATGTCCAGTCTGTTCTTTACAAAAATAAATCGGTAAATAACTTGGCTTCCAAGTGTGATTTTTGGTGGCCTCTATCCTTTCTAGAAAAAGTTTGTTAGAAGATTTACCAATAAAGTGGTTTGTTTTTTGTGAGAAGCTGTGCAGATATGATCAGATGTGCAAATTCAGAGGTAATTTAGTGTTTAGTAAATGTTTTGAATTCCGACTTTCTCATGGCTTTTTTTTGTTCTTAAAATAGAAATTAGCCCGTTCAAAAACATTTTCTGAACTGTCCTTGAATTGCTTTATGTAAATTGTCCTATTAGCAGAAATCCTGGGAGTTTAGTGATTAATGCAAAAGCTTATCTTCCCCCCAGCCCAAATCTGTTGCAGGCCAGTAACGGGTAACCTTGGCCCTGCAGATGCTTGTGTATGAAAACAGCCAATGGTGTTCAGCAGTATTTTTTTTATACTTGTTTAATATCTTCCAGTGTCTGTTTGAAGCATTACATACAAGTATAATAAGTGTTAAAAGTGTGCTCCATGCTGGTTTTTACCAGTTTTTCTTGTATTATACATATATTGCATTGATAATATGTTTAAAAAATAAAAATCCATTAGATTAAAGGAACACTGCAACCATCATAACCACTACTTTGCATTTACTAACAGTTTGAAAACGTACTTGGGGTGTTAGTCACCTTTTCCATGAGAGCAGTCGGTGCAGGACTTGGGTCATTGGCTGAGAGCAATCAGCTGGCCCTTCAACCAATGCCCTGGCCTTGCATAGCTCACGCAGGTAGACCCTAGGTAAGTTGTCAAACTGTTTGCAAACAGTTTGACTACTTACACTGTAGCAGGTACCCGAGAGTTTTACTTGTTCCATAACCACTACAGAGCGCTGTAGTATAAAGTGGAATGTGCTCAATGTATTCAAGCCTCAGAAAGTGGCGCACTGATTTTGTATTTGGCTTTTGGGTTGATTAGAGTAAGAGAGCTAGAGGATATCCATACATGGTTTGCCTTATAGGCTTAACTGGGTTTAATTCTTTATATAACAATCTTCAGGAAGCCAAACTAAATTAGCATAGAAGTTTACAAACTTCTGAATGTTTGTCATTCTCGTTTTTTTTTTCTTGCAAATGTATTTCCTGTGGCAAGAATTACTGTCTCAGTGACCTCTGAACTTATATAAATAGCAGGTTGTTGGTTGATATCAACACCACAAGTGGGACATGAACCAGTGTTGAGGTTACTCTACACTAGGGATAGGCAACCGTCGGCATTCGAGATGTTGTGGACTACATATCCCATAATGCTAGCAAAGCATCAAGGAAGGTATAGTCCAAAACATCTGAAGTGCCGAAGGTTGCCTCTACCCCATTAGAACTCCAGGGAATATACCCTCCCCCCTCTCCAACTGAATACATCATGTATCTTTATGATATATGGTTTATTCCATGTATACAAGAGCATTCAAAGCTGGGATGGCTAGGCAAAGCAGAGCACAACACACTACACACAGCCAGGAGACACCACAGACACGTTACATACAGACAACACACACATTGCATACAAATAATCATATGACAAAAGTAAATGACTACTTGATGACTCTGGTCTCTTTTACAGTTTTGTGTGAAACCCTCCAACAAATAAACCTTTAAAATCGCACACTTTACACCCAAGTCAACAAACAAAACAGATTAAAAATGACAAAATGTAGTCAAAAATAGCCAGTTCAGACTGCTTACAAAAAATTATATAATTTTTTTGAATACATTTTTTTTACACAAATGATCAGAATTGCCAGATGTACCTGAACCCATACAATTGCATCTGTTCTCTGTTTCAATGTATTTTAGAATGTCATGGGCGATAAAAATATAATTATAGGTACAATGCAACTTGTCCGTGGTTTACCCAATGATTCAGCATTATGACACATATAATTATCTACCTTAGTGAGAGGCACAAAGCATTCTGGAAGTCAATGTACTCACAGCACCATACGTTACTTGAATTGTTCCCATGTAAACAAATCTGCTGAATACAAACGGTTTACTTAACGGTTTCAATGCTACTATTAGCCAACAATTGTGTTAATAAATAACAGTCGTAGACGTTTACAAATCCACAGGTCCTGCAACCTGAAGTTATTTCTACTCAGCTAAAGATCAGCTTGGCAAACATTTTTATCTCTGATACCTTGGGGGCAAACATAGCAAGGTTAGGGCTATGAGATGAGTGTTCAGCAATAAAACTTTCCAACAAGGCATCAACCATAAATAGTGTTACTTTAACTCATAACTTACATAAAGCATTAAAAGGATCATGTATACAGACATTCCAGATATCACCGACAATATATTTATTAAACTCGGAATTATGAATTTAAAGCCCAAATAGCTGTATTAGCATAGAATTTAATATCACAATATGCCAAACGGCCCCTCCTCCCCCCAAAAAATAAATAAATACAAAAATGAGTATGTCAAAGATAAAGGTGTCACCTAAGAGGCTTGCCTTGACATGGCAGGTGAGCTTACACCTAATGGCCATTGGAGTAATATTAAAAACCTCCACTTATTTAAAAAAGCATGGGGATTTGGGATAGTGCGCAAGTAACTCTTATCTTTTTTTGTTGTATGTATTGGGGCTGATGTGTACTATGGTCATTGCTGCCGCCCAGGAGTAGTGGGAGTTTAAACGCAGGACTTATTATTGTATATTTAGAATAATTACTTCATATCCGGCATCATCTGTGGAAGAGCTTGGTATATGAGGAAGCTCACACGGAAGTTATAGGCTAAAAGAGTCAACTGAAGATCCAAGCCCAGCATTGGCCACCCATAGCGAGTAATGCTCCAAAATCGTTAATACATTTTTGAAGTGTTACTTGCAATTAAAACTTAGTATACACCGAAAATCTGCTTCCGCATTTGCCAAGCAGTTCTAGAGTGGAAGCCAAATTGGCTGCTATAGCATTCAAATTAAATGTTAAACCATTATAGAAAGATATAACACTTGAAGACAAGAAGGTTCCTGGGTGGGATCTCCAGGAACCGTAACTAATACACTTTGACATCAGCTTTTTAGGGACACTGATGGCTGCTTCACTAGTGAAGCAATCCAGCAATAGTCACCGATTTGCTCTCACATATTTGCGCTGATCCCTGGGAATCAACTATAGTAATCATTTGACATAGCTATTGGTTAAAATAATGTAATCACTGTGATTGACTCTTGCAGTGATCACTCAGCCTATGGGACAAACTACTAAAAGGTTAATTGTGAGGGCAAGCAGGGCCAGACTAACAGCCCAGTGGGCCTGGTGCTGACAATTGATGGGCCTAATTAAAGAATCATATCGACCAAAAACACTAAAACACTCCCAAAGCGTCATGTATCTGATGGAGATAGTGCTAGAGAGAAAGAAAACAGCAGCTATAAGAAAAAAAAACACAAAAAAACCTATGCTAATCTCCCTCTAATTTATGTTTTCATCTTTCAAGTAAATCCATAACCCCTTACAACATTGTCCAGTCAAGCAGGAAGTCAATGGGCACGGTAAAAGGGTGTGCCACTGACACATATCACGTAACCTGCCAAAAGGGGCGAACATGCCCAAAAAGAGGACATGTCTGCCCAAAGAATTAGAAGGCCAGCCTGGTATGAATGCATGTCAGGCTGCCTGCCAATCATGCAGCTGGCCAACTAAGGGTATACTATGCAGACAGCACCCTGAGCTTGGCATAAATGCATCTAATGATGCGCTCGCTCAACGCTTTCTAAGGACTGTCCCCTAGCACTCGCTGGTCTACTTGTCTCATTACCTTCTTACTAGCAGGCAGACGCTCCTGGTATATAGTCTGGGACAGAGAAAAGTTGTATGTAGTGAGTATAGAAGAAAGGGAACATGCCACAATGTTAGAGAGACCAAAGCCAGCATTACCTTAAAGGATCACTATAGGGTCAGGAACACAAACATGAATTCCTGACCCTATAGTGTTAACACCACCATCTAACCCCGCTGGGGGGACACTGGGAGACATGGGGACACTGTGTCCCCATGTGTCTGTGTCATAATGTCTCCCAATGTCCCTTAGTTTCTCAGTGTCTGCCATAATGTTTCCCAGTGTCCCTTAGAGTCTGTGTCCCCATGTCTCCTTGCAGCCTTTCCCCCATCCCTTACTTCCCTGAGCTGTAGGCTGTCTCTGCAGGGTGGGAGTTGCTGTCTGGACTCTCTGTAGCTGCACCCCTGCAGATCAGTGAGTATAGATAGGCAGGGAGGGATATGCTGGAACTTCCTATCCCTGCCTGTCTCCACACACAGCGACCCCTACTGGCCAGTGCTGGTATTGCAGAGTAATCTCTTGTTTATACTGAGAAAAATACCAGCATTTGTATTGCCAATATCACTGCAATATTGGCACCAGCCAGGCAGCCTCAAATACTGGTTGTGCCAATAAAATAAAAGCCAGGTGGAATCCCTAAGAGTATTGTGGAGTTTTTTTTTTTTTTAAATCAATGGGCCTATTCCATGGGCCTGGAGCTGCAGCTCCATCAGCCCCTATGTTAATCCGGCCCTGAGGGCAAGCTTTGGTTAATATTACCTATTGTTAAAAATAAAGTGTCAACGTGTGGAGTATGGTGACACAGATAGTATAATTTTAGCAGATGGTGTCTCTGGGAAGCAAAGAGGCATATCTTTAATATCACCCTGAAAGCTCTGTAAACAGCTGCATCAGGTGCAGGATATGTGGGACATTTTTGTACTTGGGAGACACAGTAAAATACAAATCTAGAGTATTTGATGTATTAGGACACACTATGGCTGAGAAAATCACTATTCAATTTTTCATATGTAAGTGAAAAATATAAAATGTAGTGTTAAATTAATTAGAAATTGGTGATGAAATGGTCAAGTGATATGACTGAAAATGCTCCATATTATTATTAACATTTATATAGTGCCAACATAATCCACAGCCCTTTACAATTATAGAGAGGGGGCATTTAGAAGTGAAGAATGCCCTTCTTAATCAAAAAGTTAGGAGCCAGATTTAAAGAAAATATAAATCAAAAATACAATTCTTAAAAGGGACACTATAAATCACCAGAACCACTACAGCCTAATGTAGTTGTTCTGAAGTCTATGTACTGTCCCTACATGCTTTTCAATGTAAACACTGACTTTTCAGACTAAAGGCAGGGTTTACATTGCTGTCTGGTAAATCCTCTAGTGACAGTTACTCAGACGGGCTCTAAAAGTGCTTCCTGGGTCAGTGCTGCAGAGTCTGTCTATGGGGAAGCATTGGATTGGCTGAGATCTTCAAGATTGATTAACTTAGCCATGGAGGTAGGGCCAGCCACGGCAACTCCAGCACAACGTGGGGAAAAGGTGTGTAAAAACACCTTTCCCTGTGATTGGAGGGGGGCAGGTCCCCTAAACATACATACTGACAGACACACACACAGTTTCACTGATTTGTCACACACACACACACAGCAACACTCACTCACAAACCCTTACTTTTTTATTTTAAATCCACCCGACCTACCTACCTTTGGGAGAACTGGAGTGGATCAGCTTTCCCTGGGGTCCAGTGTTGCTGCTGTCATCTCCCTGCTATGTTCCTTAGAGTGCTGTTTAGTGATGCGGGGCTGGAATTACGTCATATACCAGCTCCCGGCATCACTGGAAGGCGCGCCAGGGAGCAGAGCAGGAAGTTGCCAGCCCTCACTAATCCGGAGCACACTCTGCCTCACTATCAGTGCTGTAGGTTAAGCTTTAGAAAAAGTCAGCTTCCAAACTTGAAAAACCCAATAATGTTTTGCAACCCTTAATTATGGCTAAGGTTCCTGATAGTTGTGCTAATTCAGGGTGTTCCTCTACACAGCCACCCACCGCCCTGATACAGCTGCCCCCTGCTTCATACAGCTGATCGTCCGCCTGCCTGCCCGCCTCAGCCCTGCGAAAATAAATAAATGTAGCCATCAGATTTGGCACAGATTGGCAATAAAATGGTTAAATTAAAAATATTAAAATTGCTCTTAGCATATGTGAATTATACTTACCTGTTGCGATCCCCTGTGGGCACCGCCATTTTTAATCTTCAGCTCTTGGTGATTCATCTTCTAGAATCTTACATAAGTGCTGTACTCAAGCATGTGTGAATGGAGGATCCTGCGGGAGTCTCCAAGGATATTATCTTGCGAGGAGCGAGATAATGCTTTAATCCCACAGCCATTGCTAGTAAAAGCTGGCAGAAGTGACAAAACTTGATGGCGGCAGTTCTATCTTTTGCCAAATTATGGATTTCCCATAAGATAAAGTAGTACCTACTTTGTCTCATGAAATCTTTTTACTGCGTAGGAAGTCCAATGAAATTCATACACAGTCTTTATGAGCATTTCATAAGGATCTTATCTTTAGGAAATGCACATTTGTTTTCGGTGACAGAGCCACTTTAATACCTTAGTGTTCCAGGTGAATATTTTAATGAATACATTTTCATTGGCCAATTTATACAGAGATTTGATTAGCTCCTAGAAACTGAGATTTTTTTTCAAAAAAGTGTCAAAATGCTCTTAATACCCAAGGGATACAATTTCTACAAATACTTTTGTGCTGTGGTTTTTAAAGGGACACTATAGGCACCCAGAACAATTAATCTCATGGAAGTCGTATGGGCGCTGTCCCATTAACCCTGCAATTGTAATTATTGTTGATAAACTGCAATAATTACCTTGCAGAACTAACTCCAACTCTATTGGTTTTGTACCAGACAGCCACTAGAGGCACATCTGGCTACTTAGCAGACTGGACATACACACGTTGTGCACAAGGACATGTTTTCACCCTTTTAATGTTGCAGTGTGGGAAACTGTAGTAGTGCTAGGAATACAACTTTGTATTCCTATCAATATATTTTCTCTTTAAGTATGTGAACTCTATTCATTTTATAGCCCCAACAGATCTAATTTTACCATGAAAATTCTGATACATTTAATAGCAAAAGTGCTAAATATTAATCAATTGTGAATGCACAGATTTTTTTGAAAAAAATCTTAGTTACTAATGGGTTAATCACAGAATGAGTCAGCCAATGAAAATTGAGGAAAAAAAGACCATTAATTATAAGGCATAAAGCAGGAAGTAAAACATATAATTCTGCTGACATTTCCTAATGAACAATTTTAGCACTGAGGATTGCGGTATTTACATGAATACTCACATTGCTTTGCTATACAAGCTATTTATCCAGTAGAATATATATTGCCGATATTTAGTCTATATGTGGTATAACTAATGTGGAAAAAAATTTAATATTCCTATACCGTAATCACATTTTGTATATACTTTCAGAATTGCTTAGGCATAACCACTAAACTCTCATAAAGACAAACATTCATAATGTGGAAAAAGTCCAGTTTCAGAGTGTAGCTGATTCACCAAATAATCCTAACCGCCCACATTTTAAGCATCACCCTACGGTTACATGAGTGAATTAGTCTACCATGCACTGGCATACATACCACGGTCGCAAGGGTCACAGCTGCAACCGGGCAGTCATTCCAGGGGGCCCGGCCACCCTGCGGACCCCTGCGACCGGGTACACACCGCCATCTTTTGCTTCCCCAGCCCGCGTGGCAAACCACCGGGGCCGCCGTCAAAGGGGTCCATCGGTTGACCCATGCTGTCAGGGCCACCCGATGGATATGGATTGTCAGGGGGCCCGGTCAGCGCTGGGCGCTTTAACAGCGTGACCGGGCCTCCTGTGATGACATCACTGCTGGGAGGAAGTGACTGCACGTCACTCCTCCCAGCTATGAGAGCCCGCGCAGGAGGAAACAGAGGGAGTCAGAGTAGGAACTCTGACTCCCATCAACCTGAGCCACCACTGGACCCCAGGGAAAGTCACCCTCTTGCACCTATGAGGTAGGAAACAGGAGGGTGACTTAAACATTTTGTGTGTGTGTGTTTGTATGTATGCGCGTGTCTGTGTGCCTTGTGTGTATGTGCCTGCCTGTCTGTCTGTGTGCCTGCCTGTCTGTGTGAGTGTGTCTGTCTGTATGTATGTATGTGTGAGTGTGTGTCTGTCTGTATATATGTATGTGTGTGTGTGTGTATATATGTATGTGTGTGTGTCTGTGTGTGTGTATATATGTATGTGTGTGTGTCTGTGTGTCTGTATATATGTATGTGTGTGTCTGTCTGTCTGTATATATGTATGTGTGTGTCTGTCTGTCTGTATATATGTATGTGTGTGTCTGTCTGTCTGTATATATGTATGTGTGTGTCTGTCTGTCTGTATATATGTATGTGTGTGTCTGTCTGTCTGTATATATGTATGTGTGAGTGTGTGTCTGTCTGTATATATGTGTGTGTGAGTGTGTGTCTGTCTGTATATATGTGTGTGTGAGTGTGTGTGTCTGTCTGTCTATATGTGTGTGTGTGTGTGTGAGTGTGAGTGTGTGTCTGTCTGTCTATATGTGTGAGTGTGTCTGTCTGTATTTATGTGTGAGTGTGTGCCTGTCTGTCTGTATTTATGTGTGAGTGTGTGCCTGTCTGTCTGTATTTATGTGTGAGTGTGTGCCTGTCTGTCTGTATATATGTGTGAGTGTGTGCCTGTCTGTATGTATATATGTGTGAGTGTGTGTCTGTCTGTCTGTATATATGTGTGAGTGTGTGCCTGTCTGTATGTATATATGTGTGAGTGTGTGTCTATATATATATATATGTATGTGTGTGTGAGTGTGTGTCTGTCTCTATATATGTGTGTGTGAGTGTGTCTGTCTGTCTATATGTATGTGTGTGTGAGTGTGTGTCTGTCTGTCTATATGTGTGAGTGTGTCTCTGTCTGTCTATATGTGTGAGTGTGTCTCTGTCTGTCTATATGTGTGAGTGTGTCTCTGTCTGTCTATATGTGTGAGTGTGTCTGTCTGTCTATATTTATGTGTGAGTGTGTGTCTGTCTGTCTGTCTATATTTATGTGTGAGTGTGTGTCTGTATGTATATATGTGTGAGTGTGTGTCTGTATGTATATATGTGTGAGTGTGTGTCTGTATGTATATATGTGTGAGTGTGTGTCTGTATGTATATATATGTGAGTGTCTGTCTGTATGTATATATGTGTGAGTGTGTGTCTGTCTGTAAGTATATATATGTGTGTGTGAGTGTGTGTCTGTGCCTGTCTGTGCGTATGTGTCTGTATCGGTCTGTATGTATGTATATATGTGTGCCTGTCTGTTTGTATGTATGTATCTGTATGCATCTCTCTCTCTCTCTAATATATGTACAGATAGAGATAGATAGATAGATAGATAGATAGATAGATAGATAGATAGATATATCTATCTCTGTCTGTCAGGGGGGATTGGGGAGGGGGCCCACGGGTCAGTTTTGCACCAGTCTGTGTGTATGTATGTGTGTGTCTGTTTGTATGTGTGTCTCTCTCTCTGTCGGGGGGGGGGCCCACAGGTCAGTTTTGCACCAGGGCCCCATGTATTGTGTGTACGCCACTGCTACCATGCCAAGGTATTGATTACTCTGTAGAGCTCAGGCTATATTTTAACTTTATACCCTACTATTTGTGCAAATGAAGAACTGACTTGAAACTCCAAAAGGCATAACTGAGATTTACAGACCTCCCGCACCACACCGTAAGATGTGGAGTAATCTGTCTATGCTTGTCAAGTAAAAGGAATTGAATGAGAGAAAGCATGAAATATTTCCAGTGCCTCACTCTTCCCATTGTGAATAGCTCGTAAAATCAATAAAACACAAGATCATTTATCGATGTAAGAAAAGAAAAGAAAAAAAAAAAAACAACACTATATACTATATTGGATCATTCAATGACTTTCAAACAGCAAGATCAAGCGGACAGATATTTACTGGCTGTTTATACAAAAAAAAAAAAAAACACACACACACACACAAACGAAACCAATACTATTCTAATCAAACTACTAAAACTTTATGGATTTCAAATACTAGTTAAAGCTGAGAAAAAGCCCTACAGCCAGATAGATCCCAAAACATACTACAGGTCTCAGATGAACACATTGTTTATAGTTCAGTCAATCTAGAAACTCATACCTATATATTTCCAGACAAAAACAGACATATCTTCACATTGTTTGTCTTTCTCAGGCTTGTTTAACAATGATAATCTTAAATGTGCATTTTTGTGAGTGCATAGCACTATTCCAAACGATAACAGATAGCAATCCGTTGTTTCTCAATACTTGCAAGCAATTACACATCGGCCAAATGCCAGGTTCCTAATCTAACAACTATTGGTGGAAGTCCAAACAGCTAAAGAACATGAGTTCAAAAAGTATACCTAAATACATTAAAAACTCTAGAAGAAATCAATCCAATAAAGGGACAGTTTAAACACCACAAAGAGTACAGACCAATGAAGAGGGTAAGGTGCCAGGGGTCCCCTTTCAAACAGTTTGACACTTAACTGGATAGGCCAGGCCCAGTGGTTTGGCCCCCTTTTTGGATATTATTAAAGCACAAGTCCTTATTAAAGAATTAACTATTCTTTCTGGTCCCCCCCCCCTAAATATACACAAATATGTAAGTAAAATATCTTTCTACTCTTTAAGACATGCGAGAAAAGAGGGCTGCACCACATAAGTGGTTATCAAGCTAAGAAACCTTCTTTTAGAGTTTAAAGAATTCCAAGAGAAACAGGATAGAAGAGAGAGCAAGAGCAAGAGAGCGAGAGAGCGCGCGAGAGAGAGCGCGCGCGCGAGAGAGAGCGCGCGAGAGAAAGAAAGCGAGAGAGAGCGAGCTATAAAATAGTTTGACATGAAAACAATGTTCTTTATTACTTTATTTAAAGCGCAAGTGACCACAAGGTTGAAGCTGCACCTGATCAGAGGTTGGACAGATATCCTGAATGGTTTAACAATCATCTGCTACCTCAACACGGACATTTTGGTTTACGGACTGCCAAGAGCGTGCATTGAGCACCTGGCAACTTCTTTTCTACAGGTGGTGAGGCAGTGCCTTTGCATCACTTAGAGAATAGAAATGAATAATCGTGTGGACATTAGAACATTGGGAGTGTTAAATAGGATCTTTTTAAAGTTTGTATTAACAAGAGAATCTTACTGAGCACTGCCCGATAGAATATAGAATTACTTGCCACTGCAAGACTGGAAACATGGACATGGCACACTGACCAGGGCTGAATTTTCACACACTAATAGGTAAAGGGCCAAAGGAAATTTTCAGCCCTGTTGAAGGGCTCTGTGCATGCAATTCACAATACAGTAGTATGGTATCTTTTTCTGTGGTTTTGCATCATCTTTCATTTTGTACTCTTATGCCCGATCTAGCATACAAATGTGACAGTGGTCCTGATATGTCAGGAGAAAAAAAAAATATATATAAAACTTTCGCCATGGTTGTAAAGTTGTTTCTAAAAAGCTTTCCCAGTGCCTTTTTCCTAAGGTATATTGAGCAAACAATGATAAAATTGCCCACTGATTAATACAGTTTCATGTTTACTGTTTTGGCATCATCTCCACAACACTAGGCTTAAATGGACAACTGCAAATGCCAAACTTTTAGCCAGATGAAATTATCTACCTCTTTGTAATCACATGGTGACAGTTGTATAAATGTGCAACACTGCTTATGTGCTGATGAAAAATAAAGCAAGTATCAATTTATTCTTTGTGGGGAAACACTTTGTATTATTTAAGGTTACATCTCAAAGACATCAATATACAGATGTATCTCTGCCCAAGAGACAAGTAATAGCAAGTGCACACCAACATAATTACTAGCAACCCTAGAATGCATTTCTTTCAATCCAGTTTGATGTAAGTGCACTGTAACCTACTGTCTAGCTTTTATGTTGACCTACATACTTAATGACAGCAAGGCTGAATACTATCAGGGTTACGCACTACAGTGAGAATTTGTCAGGAATTCAAAGTGAATTTAAAATTGGGAGACATGTTATATATTAAACAATCTGCTTGAAAAGCAATAGGATTCTTATCCTTGGCGTAATCAATTTAGCATAAATAAATACTGAAAATTCATCAGATGGCATTAAAAAACAAAAAAAAAAAACCTTTAATGTCTACCAATTTTCATTTGCCACTTATTTTTGCACGTGTTCTGGTTCTCTTATTTTCTGCATGTGATTGTGTAGTCATGAAAGCCTGTGTACACATAGGTGTAAATCGTAAAAGTATTTTTTTTTTTTTTTTAAACAGACTCACGTACAATTGGGTGTATCTGGCAGGTGGAGACTGGTGACTGTGAAGGCACCATGCCATACCTCACAATTTTGGCTGGGCTGGAATCAGTATGGGGGGTTAAGGGGTGTCAAAAAATTACACCACTAGTGTTGCCCCTAAATTGGCAGACCCACCTGGAAAGTAGGTGGGTCCACCTACTGAAGAGGTGTGTTAGCCTGGCATGTAAAGTGCTGCGGAATTTGTTGGCGCTATATAAATAATAACAATAATTAAGCCTGCCAGGTTAAAAAAACAGCCTCCTGCGCTAAAGTGCTCCCTGTATGGTCCTTGTGCCCATTACACAGCACCGGCACGTCTAATGATGCACTCACACTGTTGTCTGGAGAGAGTTCCCTAGTGTCTCCGGATGCAGTACATCAGTCAGGGAATTAAATTGGGACAATACTCCGAAATTGGAACTGCCCCGTTGAAAGTGGGACAGTTAGGCGGCATGACTGTCCTCTTTTACAGGCCTTGCTCCCCCATCCACTGCATAGATATGATCACGAACATGGTATGCAACTAGCAGACTGAGATGTGGGTGGCTCCAGTGAAAAGAGGCTGCAATTTTTTAAGCAAATTGGTGTAACTGAGCTTCTTTAATGGAATGTGGCTGTAGCTGCTTCTCCTGTAAACCTTATGTTAAAATGGAAATACAATGTAGACAAAAATCTGGATGATGGCGACCTGATGTCTGGCATTTGTCGAGCCCTGGTCTGAGTCTTGTTAAGATATTGAAGCAGAGTCCTTCCTGCCCCTTCTAATGTCACAGAATCATTGAAGAAACTTGTACCCTAAAAACAGTCATTATACATTTCCCAGTGTATGTGCATAGTTAGACACCCTACATATAAGCTCACTTGAGCAGGGCCCCTCATCAACCTATTGTTCCTTTACCATTTTGTAATTGTCTCATTTATTGTTACATTTCCCCCTTTATAATATTGTAAAGCGGTGTGGAATATGTTGGGGGAGGTTTTGTTTTATTGTGTTCAGCCTAACCACAATCTTACTGATACCAAACTACTTGCTCTTAGAGAGACATCAACTTCCAGAACCGGTGCCATGGTGGTGAGACCCACAAGGTTAAAACTAAAGCCCATCGGTGATTTCTGGTCAATGGTCCATTTAGAAGATCATCAACCATGGATTTTTTTTATAATTTTTTAAAAAGCTGTGTCTTATGATGCCTGTCTGATCATTTGCATATCAAGGAAACTATGGGATAGTTGTGAAAACAGGATTTCTCTTATCAGTGTAAGAGTTGTTCCCAGATATTCTGGCTACTTATCTTGCAAGAGCGCCAGGGCACTCCTGGCACCATAACCACTACAACAGACTGTTCCCTTAATTATCACATATCATATCCCAGTTACTCGTTAAGGGGGAAGATCAGAAAACAAGCAATGTACGAGATGTCATGAATGAAACAGATGGGATGGGATTATTATTAAATCTCTATCCATATGAAAGACCTGTAATAATGTATTCTGCAAAGTTGAAGAGAAACTAACAAGGCAGTATGCATTTTTCATAAGTATTCACCTTCAAAGTCATCACAGAGACGTGAAAGAGTAACTGAATGAATGAACAAGAAGAGTGCCTTTTGTGCACATGCTTTATGCTCACAATATGCTGCCTAGCAGTTTAATGTAAAGAGCCATCTATCTACCAGAAGAGCATATTAGCAGAACCCTGTTAACGTGAGCAATACATCTTTTGTACATTTCCAGTTTTTGTAATCAAAGACTATATTAACTAATGACACTCCTGTTTAGCAACTAAATTGTGTTAAAAAAAAAAAAAGACAAAAAAAAAAAAAAAAGACTGGAAGGCAGACACACACAGAGAGAGATCATCAAACAAATGTATAGAACAAGCAATTGATCTACCCAGCCTATATAAAAGGCACCCAAGATGAGAACTGGACTTTTATTCACATGAAACCAGAAATATGCTTAGCATGCCAATTACACATATACACACACAGAAGTAAAAGGAACTTAATGTACAATTCTCATTGTATGCATCTTGGATTTTTTTTTGTTTTCTTGCCTGTCCCTTTCTGTGACACAGTTTTTGAAACACTTACCTATAAATCTAAACATTTTTAATTAGCCCCATTATAATAAAAAAAAATCTGCTTTTATGCACTCTGATAAAGAATATAGTATATTTCAATGTATTCAACATATTTATTGTTTATCAATATTAAAAAATAAAAAAAGGACAAAAAATTGATCAAAATAGGATACATTTTATTGTAATCAGAAAAATGTATACGTACTTAATTGGGTAGAATCACACAATGCTATTAGATAATAATGAACTTGGAAACTGACATATATGGAGACAGAATGTTATGCAGTGTGACATAAGGCTGTGTTTAATCTTAAATATGATTAATGTTTGAAGCCACATTTTTTTTTTTTTAACTTGTGGTGATCTGAGAAAACATCAGCAAATATGACAGTTTCCAACTGCATAACATAAAGTATACTTAATTAGCTGGAAATATCACGGGAAAGCCCTGCTTTGGAGTCTGTCACCCACTATGACAGTGTTTCTAAAATTATTCTGCACCATCCCCCAAAACCAGTGCTTCTCCAGTTATTTTACTGACATAGTGGTCACCAGCCATATTTATCCAATATTTCACTGCCCAGCTTTTCAGAATAACATGGACAGTTTACATTTAGCTATCCAGGGATCTACTCCCATGAAGATCTGACAACATACAGATTGCTGGAGGCCTACCTGCTAGCCACCACTACAATACACATAGTACAACATATAGTGGTAGACGTGGTGACTGCCTGGGCTATAGCCACCCAGATTCCACAGTATTGTACGGATTAGTGATCTGTAAAATTACTAATATTTTTCTTGATAAAACTTCTATACAATGTAAAGAAATTGGGTAAAATGTTCTCTACTGCCATTCAGATTGCTGCCATAACTGCTGTTAACAGACAACCACACTTACAAACTAGTGCTATTGGTCCTACTGTCACATTTAAACCCAGTATCAGTGGATGACTAGTACGTACCTCAAGCCATTTTCACTGTATGACAAAATGGCCTTCAAACAAAGTGCCACCAAATAAGCTGCCTTCAACCTAACCAATACCACCAAATTACATTACTGTCTGACTTCATCCTACACAGGAACTAGCCGTCTTCACCATAACAAGCACCACCACAATATAACCAGTTGTCTTCAGCATAACAGGCACTAAGAGAGATTTGTCTGCAATTATCATAACAAGCTCCACCACCACCAGACGACCAGTCTACACCACAAGTTCCACCATCACCAACAGATCAGTCTTATCCACCACAAGCTCAAGCACCACCAGATGATCTGTCTTATCCACCACCATTTGACCAGTCTCCTTCACCACAACAAGCTCCAGCACCACCAGATGTCCAGTCTCCTTCACCATACCAATTTCCACCACTAGTTGAACGTTTCTCTGCCCCCAGATGTCAGATACATTCACTCTAACAGGGTCCATCAGATCCACTTACTTACCATAAGAGCTATTACTAGATATCAGCTGCCCTCACCCTACCTAAAGCCACTGACTGACATGTTGCAGATGCCCAACTTGCCATAATCCAATAACCAGACACCCTGACGGCCAGCTGTCTTATATCAAACCGTGCATTGAGTTACTCTCCTCTCTCCATACTTCCCTCCATCTCTCCACAAATAGAGCCTCGGTTAACTGCCCCGAGTGTCCAACAGGTACTCCCCCCCATAATACACTCCATCCCTCCACAAACTGAGCCCCGAGTCACCTGCCATGAGTGTCCACCAGGTACTCCCCCACATTGCACTCCATCCCTTCTCATAGAGCCCCCAGTCCCCTGCCCTGAGTGTCCAACAGGTACTCCCCACATACTGCACTCCATCCCTCCACACACCGAGCCCCAGGTTACCTGCCCTGAGTGTCCAACAGGTACTTCCCCAATACTGCACTCCATCCCTCCACAAACCAAGCGCCCGGTTACCTTCCCTGAGTGCCAGCAGGTACTCCCCCCCCCCATACTGCACTCCATCCCTCCACAAACCGACCCCTGGGTCACCTGCCTTGAGTATCCAACAGGTACTCCCCCCCCCATACTGCACTCCATACCTCCACACACAGAGCCCCGGGTTACCTGCCCTGAGTGTCTATCAGGTGCTCCCCCCCATACTGCACTCCATACCTCCACACACAGAGCCCCGGGTTACCTGCCCTGAGTGTCTATCAGGTGCTCCCCCCCATACTGCACTCCATACCTCCACACACAGAGCCCCGGGTTACCTGCCCTGAGTGTCCAGCAGGTACTCCCCCCATACTGCACTCCATCCCTCCACACACAGAGCCCTGGGTTACCTGCCCTGAGTGTCCAGCAGGTGCTCCCCCCATACTGCACTCCATCCCTCCACACACAGAGCCCTGGGTTACCTGCCCTGAGTGTCCAGCAGGTACTCCCCCCATACTGCACTCCATCCCTCCACACACAGAGCCCCGGGTTACCTGCCCTGAGTGCCCAGCAGGTGCTCCCCAATCTCTCACCTCATCTTCCAGCAGGGTAGGGAGAGGCTGGAAATCATAGAACTCCTTCCCATCCTCCTCCTCCTCATAGTACTCCTCTACCTCCTCGGCCTCCTCCATCCCTGCATGGACAGCTCGGCTGCCAGTCACGGTCTCCGGGGGGCTCAGCAAGCTGGGGTGCTCATGGTACCTCGGGGAGAGATCCAATCAGCGCCCAGCGCACGGCCCGGCTCTGCAGCCAGCAGACGGAGTGTGACAGTGAGTATGAGTGGGGCCCGGGCGGGCTATCGGTGCCAGCCGTGCCGGTATCCTGCCATAGCCGGCCGCACACTCACTGCATTCCAGTACGTTCGCAGCTCTGCGCGCTTTCCCCCAAAGCGTTTGCTCAGGTACGCGATACCATGGCAACGCACCAGGGAGCGACGTCACTACGTGACAGCACCGCTCGTACGCGTTATGGGGAGGCCACGCCCCTTCCCAGCGCAGAGCTCGTGCGTGTCAAGCCTCGTTCTCGATGTGTGCACTGATTGTGTGCGAGGAGAGTAGCTCTATCATGGGCAGTAGTTACCTGTAATGGCTGCCCTCTATGTGTGAGCTTCATAATAAACCACGTCCATAACGTGTAACACAAACCTGCCAACAGTTCTAATGGACAAAGAGGGACAGGAATATCATGTGACTCACTAATAATTTATACAAATAAAATATACAATGTACATTATTTTCACAGACTGAATTGTAAACACCTGTATTGCAGTTTACAAACATTACTGGGAGTATTATTGCTGTTGAGCTCTGTTATACACTCAGACATTACTGGGAGTATTATTGCTGTGGAGCTCTGTTATACACTCAGACATTACTGGGAGTATTATTGCTGTGGAGCTCTGTTATACACTGAGACACATTACTGGGAGTATTATTGCTGTGGAGCTCTGTTATACACTGAGACACATTACTGGGAGTATTATTGCTGTGGAGCTCTGTTATACACTCAGACACTCTGTTATTCAGACACATTACTGGGAGTATTATTGCTGTGGAGCTCTGTTATACACTCAGACACATTACTGGGAGTATTATCGCTGTGGAGCTCTGTTATACACTCAGACACATTACTGGGGGTATTATTGCTGTGGAGCTCTGTTACACACTCAGACACATTACTGGGGGTATTATTGCTGTGGAGCTCTGTTATACACTCAGACACATTACTGGGAGTATTATTACTGTGGTGCTCTGTTATACACTCAGACACATTACTGGGAGTATTATTGCTGTGGAGCTCTGTTATACACTCAGACACATTACTGGGAGTATTATTGCTGTGGAGCTCTGTTATACACTCAGACACATTACTGGGAGTAGTATTGCTGTGGTGCTCTGTTATACACTCAGACACATTACTGGGAGTATTATTGCTGTGGAGCTCTGTTGTACACTCAGACACATTACTGGGAGTATTATTGCTGTGGAGCTCTGTTATACACTCAGACACATTACTGGGAGTATTATTGCTGTGGAGCTCTGTTATACACTCAGACACATTGCTGGGAGTATTATTGCTGTGGAGCTCTGTTATACACTCAGACACATTGCTGGGAGTATTATTGCTGTGGAGCTCTGTTACACACTCAGACACATTACTGGGACTATTATTGCTGTGGAGCTCTGTTATACACTCAGACACATTACTGGGAGTATTATTGCTGTGGAGCTCTGTTATACAGTCAGACACGTTACTGGGAGTATTATTGCTGTGGAGCTCTGTTATACACTCAGAAACATTACTGGGAGTATTATTGCTGTGGAGCCCTGTTATACACTCAGACACATTACTGGGAGTATATTGCTGTGGAGCCCTGTTATACACTCAGACACATTACTGGGAGTATTATTGCTGTGGAGCCCTGTTATACACTCAGACACATTACTGGGAGTATTATTGCTGTGGTGCTCTGTTATACATCTGTGACATTACTTGGAGTAGTATTGCTGTGGACACATTACTTGGGAGTAGTATTGCTGTGGAGCTCTGTTATACACTCAGACACATTACTGGGAGTAGTATTGCTGTGGAGCTCTGTTATACACTCAGACACATTACTGGGAGTATGCTGTGGAGCTCTTGCACACATTGGGAGTATTGGAGCTCTGTTATACATTCAGACACATTACTGGGAACATTATTGCTGTGGAGCTCTGTTATACACTCAAACACAATACTGGGAGTATTATAGCTGTGGAGTTCTGTTATACACTCAGACACTTTACTGGTAGTATTATTGCTGTGGAGCTCTGTTATACACTCAGACACGACTGTATTATTGCTGTGGAGCTGTTATACAATCAGACACATTATTGGGGTTATTATTGCTGTGGAGCTCTTTTATACACAGACACATTACTGGGAGTATTATTGATGTGGAGCTCTGTTTTACACTCAGACACATTACAGGGAGTATTATTGATGTGGAGCTCTGTTATACATTCAGACACATTACTGGGAGTATTATTGCCGGGGAGCTCTGTTATACACTCATACACATTACTGGGAGCTTTATTGCCAGGGAGCTCTCTTATACACTCATACACATTACTGGGAGTATTATTGCTGTGGAGCTCTGTTATACGCTCAGACACATTACTTGTAGTGTTATTGCTGTGGAGCTCTGTTATACACGCAGACACATTACTGGGAGTATTATTGCTGTGGAGCTTTGTTATACACTCAGACACATTACTGGGAGTATTATTGCTGTGGTGCTCTGTTATACACTCAGACACATTACTGGGAGTATTACAGCTGTGGAGTTCTGTTATACACTCAGACACATTACTGTGAGTATTATTGCTGTGGAGCTCTGTTATACACTCAGACACATTACTGGGAGTATTATTGCTGTGGAGCTTTGTTATACACTCATACACATTACTGGGAGTATTATTGCTGTGGAGCTCTGTTATACATTCAGACACATTACTGGGAACATTATTGCTGTGGAGCTCTGTTATACACTCAAACACATTACTGGGAGTATTATAGCTGTGGAGTTCTGTTATACACTCAGACACATTACTGGAAATATTATTGCGGTGGAGCTCTGTTATACACTCAGACACATTACTGGGAGTATTATTGCTGTGGAGCTCTGTTATACACTGAGACACACTACTGGGAGTATTATTGCTGTGGTGCTCTGTTATACACTCAGACACAATACTGGGAGTATTATAGCTGTGGAGTTCTTTTATACACTCAGACACATTACTGGTAGTATTATTGCTGTGGAGCTCTGTTATACACTCAGACACATTACTGGGAGTATTATTGCTGTGGAGCTCTGTTATACAATCAGACACATTACTGGGAGTATTATTGCTGTGGAGCTCTGTTATACACTCAGACACATTACTGGGAGTATTATTGCTGTGGAGCTCTGTTTTACACTCAGACACATTACTGGGAGTATTATTTCTGTGGAGCTCTGTTATACACTCAGACACATTACTGGGAGTATTATTGCTGTGGAGCTCTGTTATACATTCAGACACATTACTGGGAACATTATTGCTGTGGTGTTCTTTTATACATTCATACACATTACTGGGAGTATTATTGATGTGGAGCTCTGTTATACACTCAGACACATTACAGGGTGTATTATTGATGTGGAGCTCTGTTATACATTCATACACACTACTGGGAGTATTATTGCCGGGGAGCTCTGTTATAAGCTCAGACACATTACTGGGAGCTTTATTGCCAGGGAGCTCTGTTATACACTCATACACATTACTGGGAGTATTTTTGTTGTTGAGCTCTGTTATACGCTCAGACACATTACTTGTAGTGTTATTGCTGTGGAGCTCTGTTATACACTCAGACACATTACTGGGAGTATTATTGCTGTGGTGCTCTGTTATACACTCAGACACATTACTGGTAGTATTATTGCTGTGGAGCTCTGTTATACAATCAGACACATTGCTGGGAGTATTATTATTGCTGGAGAGTTCTGTTATACACTCAGACACATTACTGGTAGTATTATTGCTGTGGAGCTCTGTTATACAATCAGACACATTACTGGGAGTATTATTGCTGTGGAGCTCTGTTATACAATCAGACACATTACTGGGAGTATTAGTGCTGTGGAGTTCTGTTATACACTCAGACACATTACTGGGAGTATTATTGCTGTGGAGTTCTGTTATACAATCAGACACATTACTGGGAGTATTATTGCTGTGGAGTTCTGTTATACACTCAGACACATTACTGGGAGTATTAGTGCTGTGGAGTTCTGTTATACAATCAGACACATTACTGGGAGTATTAGTGCTGTGGAGTTCTGTTATACAATCAGACACATTACTGGGAGTATTAGTGCTGTGGAGTTCTGTTATACAATCAGACACATTACTGGGAGTATTAGTGCTGTGGAGTTCTGTTATACAATCAGACACATTACTGGGAGTATTATTATTGCTGGAGAGTTCTGTTATACACTCAGACACACCAACAATATGAAGCTCCTAGAAAAGGGGCATTAGGATAGAAAAGAGGGACAGAGGGATTTGATCTGAAATAGAGTCTATTCCTTATAAAGGAGGTATGCCTAAAATGCTGTAGATAGCTTTGACACTATAATAATCGGTATCCAGACCGCCTAAAGCACTTCAGCTTTCTTTAGAAGTTAAAGGAACATTTTATTGTTATGAATACAAAGGTGTACCCCTAACACTAACATATTCCCGTGTCCCGCAGCCCCCTCCCATCATTGTAAAGGGTTAAATTACCCTTTATTCACTTACCCGATTCCAGCATTGAGGTCCCTCGGGGCTGTATTGCAGTCTGCCTCCCGTATTTGGGGGGTGGGGGACCTAATGTGCATGTTTGGCAAGTGCTGTGCGCCGTAGGCCTTCCCTACAGGAAACCATTGACTCAATGCTTTCCTATGGGGTTTTCTCTGTTGCTGGACGTCCTCATGCAGCGTGTGAGAATGTCCAGGGTCATTTTACAGAGTCAAACTCTGAAGCACCTCCAGTTGCTGTCTAGTAGACAGCAATTAGAGACAGTCTTAGTACTGCAGCGTAAACATTGCAGTTACTCTAAAACTAAGGGACTAAGGGGGACAGGGACACTGCACCCAGAGATAAAGTGGTCTGAGTGCCTATAGTATCCGTATAACCACCTCCATTCTCCATGAGAAATCAGCACTTCAATGCATTAATTCAGGAACAACCTTACCTCCTAGCAAACAAGTTCACAACCAGGAGAGATTCTGTATTCACTCTGCATCGTCAATCCATCTAGCAAAATTGAGAGCTTCTCAATAGATGCAGTAGTCAATGCTTCTCTATAAGTAACATTCTATTCG